CCACGAGTATTAATGAAAAAGGCAGTGTCATCTGAAAAGAAGAAAATAAAGCGATTCTGGCTCATCAATTTGAACTCTATGCACGGCTCCCCGTCAAATAGCAGTCTTTAAAGTTTTCCACTCTTTTCTTCCCTGGATTGTTGGATTTGTGCTTTAGCACAAAGCACTTGAATACAACATAAATTAAGCAAGTATGATGATTTCACTAACCAAGATAATTGGATTTTTAGAGAAGTTTCATCGACTAATAAAGACTGAGTGTATCGCTAATGCATCCATTAAAGCAGATAATCCAACACTTTATCATGAGGATCAGCAGAAACCGTTCAGAATGACAAAGAAGCAGCTACAGACTCCACTTTCTGCACATCAGCCATACAAAGCTCTGCAAAGTGTGACCGCCTATGAGGAAGACACAGCAACATGATGATAATCTAGGCGACCTTTTCTGGAGCCGAGACCAGGCACCGAGAATGTTTAGATGTGACTTCTGATCTCACAGTAGTCCTACACATCAGACATGTTCTCCGATTTAGAACCAGGGTAAGAGAAACTCAGTGAGATGACCTAACTTGCTAAGGAGTCACACAGATGGCAGATGCATATGGCGGGCTTTAGCCAAGGACTGTCAGATACCTCACACCGGGCCCTCTGCTCTCCCTGAAATTTCTCATCCTGGAAATGCCTTAAAATAGGCAGAGGAGAACAGGACCTTGTAGAGTAAGGACAAGGAGAAATTCCACAGTTAATTAGTGACTCTTGAGAAACCATAGCATACAGCCACAGTACTGATTTCCTTTATAATACTTCAGTACAGATAACTCTATTTATATACATATACATGCATATATACCTCCATACCATTATACATATGTATGTATATGCATATATATGTGTGTGTATATATAAGCACACACACACATAAAATGTTATATTATCCATGCAGAGCCTAAATATAGAGCTAAATAACCATTCAGACCCAAATCAGGTATCCACACTCCAGAATTTGCTATAAATTGACTATTTCTAAACCACCTGAAATATTCTGAAATCTAATATGTGTGTGTGTATAATATATGTGTGTATATATATTACATATTACTAACATGATGCCACAGTGGAAAATTCTGTTTCATTTTTTTAAAACTACTTAACATGTTATATAAAAAAACTTAACATGTTATAAAAAACCTAAAAAAACCTTTAGGTTACATGTATATGGTACATATGAAGTTTTATTAGTTAATTAATTACAGTGCTGGAATGGCACAAGGCCTCGTACATGCTACACTTCCCAACTTACCAGGAACATTTACAGCATAATACATTCCATGTCATGTCATTGGAGCACCATCTTCTATGTCGGTCACTACATGTCTCCAAGTTCCAACCACTTCTAGTCCCAAGCATAATAAGGGATACTTAACTTTGTGCAAACACATTTCAACTGTCTAAATTTGCAAGAAATAATTAGTTAACCGGTATTAAAAAGGAAAGCAAAAAAAAACTAAGAATTTTTATACATTGGAAAATGACTGTATCTATATTACAGATTATCTTCAGGGAGGTTAGGGGAAACAATCACACATACTAATATTTGTGCTCCTAGGAGGAAACCATCCACACTGAGCTACATAACGACTATAATAAATGCCCTCACATCAAAGGACAGCTTTCTGTTATCAGAGTTGTTTGGGATTTTTGACATTGTAGATAAAGGAACGAGGACCTTTAACTGTGAATGGTCGATTTCAATTCATACCAAACGTCGCCACTGAAAGCTGATATTAAATTTCACACATTACAGCCACTAACATTATTGCATATGCAAGTGTAACACCCCCTCACCTCTACAGAATTCCGCTGACAATGATGTATATTCAGAATACAGCTGCGAAGTGAGAGGAAGTGATGATAAAGGCCTGTCGGGGGGCCATCAGCGTGGCACAGTCATGGGCTAGAGATTGCTATATTATTCACAGATGCTCCCATATCTTTAATCTGATCTGCTCTCTATACACAGCGCAGATAAGAACCAGTAAACAGACTCACAAGCAGATCTGAGGAGCAAGTGCGCAGAGCGAGCATTCACCAGCAATAGCTGACATTCTGATAACAAAGAAGAAAAATTAAACTATTGCTAAAGAAAACAAGAGCCTGGCTGTGTAGGCAAAAGGACCCGAATTCTAATCCCACCTATGCTTGGTGAGCTGTGTGGCCCTGAGGAATTGTTTACCTTCTCTGTGCTTCCATTTGCTACCAATGCATGCTGATGAAGGCGCTTCAGGTCTCTTAAGACTGCTGGGAGAATTGCAGGAGAGCAGTGTGAAGAGCTTACTGCACAGACGGTCAACGAGAAGCCACTCTGACCGACACACATTAAAACCACAGCAGACACTCACCAGAGAGAGGCGGCAGCTTGTTCAGATTCCCACCCATGCTTCAGAACTCAGAGCATGGGTAGAATCGCCAGCTTTCAGTCTTACCGAAGTAGCATGTGTCTGTTCTGTGTGACTTTGAACATGGCATTAAACTTCACGGAACTTGGGGAGTGTGAGGTTAGCCCACGGGTTCTCAAAGGAGGTGTTAAGTGGATCTACGCCCAGAGTGGGGGTAGAAAAACGTACTCCTTTCTCTGCCTTACTCTAAAGCTTAAGTGCATGGGATACAAGGAGACACACAGTACACTCCACGACTAATGATCGAAGCTGATGAGGGAAGATTGAAAGTTCGATCCTAGTCTGAGCTACATTGCAAGTTCAGCTGTCAGGAAGACTCTGCCCCCAAAATAATTCATTAACTAATTAATTAAAACTTCAAAGTGGGAGGTGGGGTCTAAAAGCTTCTAGTGGGAGATAATTTTAAAATACTGGACTAAAGTGGGTGTGAAACTTCTCAATCTGTCTTTATAACAACAAAGTCAAGAACACAAAAGAAGGTTAATATAATCTCACACCTTGCTTAAGAAAGTCAGGAATGGTTGTTAATGTATTCCTGAGAGATGTCTATTTAGGACAGTGAAAGATGTGAAACATACTTAATTTCAATATAGAAGCTCTAGCTGTCACTCCTGAAGGATCCTGTGAGCTACAGGTTGGTTGTATTTTCCGAATTGTGTAAATAACAATGTTATCTAAATCGTGTCTAAATATTAATATGACTTATTTCTAAAATAATATAGAAAGAGACTAAAGTAAAGCAAGTCCTTGTAACTACAACAAACCGGGACTCTGTAGCCATCTCCACTTTGATAAATGAAAGATCACCTTGGAACATAATTCATTTTTAATTGCCTCCTCCATCTAATTTCACTGCAGATAGGGGCTGTCTTAAGATATTTACAAAGTAAAGGCAAGAAAAGCCTTAAACAAAGCAGACAGCACATTTCAAAGTGAGTGGTCGAAATTTTTTTTTTGGCGGGGGGTGGGATTGTTTGTAATAAAAACAAAGACGGTTCTTACTCATGAGATTTCTGGTAATGGATAAAACAGCTTTAAGGATTACCACACTCACTGCTGTTTTTAATTCACCTTCCTCTCTGTCTTAGTTATGAGATCTATCCAATCAATGTGTCATGATGCTAAAAATACCAAGATTGTAGGCATTCAGCTTTAACTTTCGGCAAAGTTGTGTTTGTTGAGGTATTTATCTGGAACCTGAGTAAATCTCTAACACATATACAATCTCACACTCTCCCCTCAGAATCTTCTTTCTTCACAGAGTTTGCAGAACCACTTTAAAGAATCTAAATAAACATGACATCTAGAAGTCCAACAAGGTGGCTTAATGCTTTCCACCAAGCCTAGCAACCTGAATTCAATCTCTAGAACACACGCAGTAGAAAAAGAGAACCTACTCCTCCATGTTGTGCTCAGACCTCTATATCAATGCAGTAGCACCCATGGGTACACATGTATACCACATACACACATAGACAGACAGACAGACAGACACACACACACACACACACACACAATAAAACAAATCTAGAGACAAAAATTCTTCCATGTTAAGCTACCATTAAATTATTGGAACTATTATGTCAGAAAGTACTCTGATATCAACTTTATGCACTGCAAAATAAACATGGTTTGATATCAAAATAATTTCCAGGAAATCGCAAGAGCATAGGAAAGATGTTTGGGAAGCCATAATTTCACTTCTATACAGGCACTGACAGTAAGATGTATAAAATAAATACTTTGCGGGGCGGTGGTGGCACAGGCCTTTAATCCCAGCACTCGGGAGGCAGAGCCAGGAAGATCTCTGTGAGTTCGAGGCCAGCCTGGTCTGCAGAATGAGTTCCAGGACAGACTCCAAAGCTGTACAGAGAAACCCTGTCTCGAAAAACCAAAATAAATAAATAAATACTTTCTAACTGATGATGAACATAAACATACAATCTGATAAAAATGCTAACTACTGCTTACGGTTTCTCAAACCCTACAAGATGAACCTCTCTTATAAACACATGTGTTATTTCAGGTTGTTCTAGACAACCTGTCATCTAGGTTGACTAGATGACAAGGATGGGAAAAAAAGAGAATAAATTAACCAAAACTCTGCACAGAGATGATTTCAGAGGTCAGGTGGCAAATCCATAGAGTCTGCTCCTCATCTGAAGATGTTCCAGCCAAATATCACACATTACTATAGTAATAATTAACACTAATATTACCCTAAAGTAGTTACAACTACCTGTGTTCCATACCAGAGAACTACAAAATGTATTCTAAATAACACAAAATGGCACAAGAAAACATTTTTAAAAATTACTGGCAAGGTTGAAAGAAAAATGCATTGTACAATTTCAAGAACATATACAAATACACACTCTGCGCAAAGTATAATAATGTGTACTTTGTTCATCATAATTTAAAAGTAGAAAAAAAATAATAAAATACACTTCTAGGATTAGCATATTTAGCCTACAAGAAAGCCAAGGAAATTGGATTCTCAAGTAGGCAATGCACGTGTTCCTGCCAAGGCTTTCAAGTTACCTTTGTTTGAGATTGATCCATGATGTTTTCAAGTACTCGGTGGTTTCTTTCACATTCCTGGTGTCGTCGCTACTGTATTCTTCCAGAAGTTTCTGCAGGACGTTTTCAAATGCCATGATGACACCATCGCCAGAACCCACTTCTTGAAGCAACAGCTAGAGCGTAAGTTGAGGCATAGCTGTTAGAAATGGTCACTCAGTAACTAGTACTACCCAACCCTGGTATTCCTGGGAAGTTTTAGCACATTTTGGACACAGAACTCACAAGAAGAAAGAAAATAAGAGGACAAATTCTCAAGTTTAAGCCAAAATAACTGAATCAAAGTAATTCTAGAAGTAGGGGGAAAAAGGAAAAAGGAAAGAAAAGAAAAGCCTGTCTGAGGAGGGGCTAGAGAGATGGCCCGGCATGTACTGTTCTTGAAGAAGACTTAAGTTCAGTTTCTTGTACCCACACTGGGTCAGCTCAAAAATGCCTGGAACTCCAGCTTCAGGAGACGGACACTCTCTTCTGACCTCCACATCTACCTGCACTCATGCACACATGCCCACCCCCAACCCCATCACACATATATACATACTTAAAAAAATAATTAAAATAAATCCTTAAAAGAGAAAGTGCCTGAGGAATCAGGTGCACAGTGGGTGATAATAAAAGATGACCCATCTGAGGTACCTGACTTCCTCAAGCCCTTTGACCTCTTCATGCCTCTTGCTGTATATCTGATTCTCACAAGATATGAATCATATTTGAATAAACTAAGTTACTCTATATGTGTTTGGAGACATGTCAAAGACTACCATGGTGGAAATCCTCTGCTTCTTACCCCTGGATCACTTTGCCCCTTATCCCTGGATCACTCTGTTCCTTACCCCTGAATCACTCTGAGTGTTTGCAAATATAACAGTTCAAATGGATCAAGATTTGTTAGGCATTTGTCTAAAAGTCCTCACAAACACTCAATGTACAATGGACACCAGCCCCTTCACAGTTTCCCAACACTAGAAAGAGTCTCTCAATCCATCAAGATAGTTGCATGAAATCCAAATGACAGTTGAATGTGTCACTAATACTTTTTGTAGCCATTGTGAAAATAAAAATCCACCTTAAGGTTTCAGAAGAAACCTATACACATTGTTCATTTGAGTAGCAGAGAATCAGTGCACAGTACTTGTGAAAGACTGCTCCCAAACCCTTCCCCTCCATGGATATCAAATCTACACATGTCCCTTAGATTAAATGGTGTAGTGTTTGCACAACAAGCTGTGAATTGAACATCCTTCAGTACACTGCAAATCTCCTGTAAGTTACTTGTATTGTTTAAAACAGTGGCTCTCAGCTGGGTGGTGGTGGCGCATGCCTTTAATCCCAGCACTCGGGAGGCAGAGCCAGGCAGAGCCAGGCAGATCTCTGTGAGTTCGACGCCAGTCTAGTCTACAGAGTGAGATCCAGAACAGGCACCAAAGCTACACAGAGAAACCTGTCTGGGGGGGGGGGGGGGAGTGGCTTTCAACCCATGGTTTATGACCCCTTTATGGGTCTAATGACCCTTTCACAGGGGTCACATATCAGATATTTACATTACTATTCATAACAGTAGCAAAATTACATCTATGAAGTAGTAACAAAAATAATTTTATGGTTAGGGGTCACCTGTAGTAAACTGTAGTAAAGGGTCACAGCATTAGGGAGGTTGAGAACTACTAGCTTAAAACAACATCAATGCTTCATAATTAGCTGTCATATTGTTGTGCTCAAAGAATAATGGCAAGCTAACAAAAAAATATCTATATGTGTTCAGTTTAAAATCTGTAGACATGGATATTGAAGATTTGAAGGCCAACTGCATTCTGGGTATGAGGATGGGCATACTGGTGACCATTTTTTAATTAGATGCCTCTAGTCATATGTACAAAAGCTTTGCTATTACTTTGAGGCAATCAACAAGAATCATAAACACAAAAAACAATTCAGAAACTAATGGAGTTGGCCAGTTGGATTTTAAATTATACCCATGAAAAGTGCTCAGGTGTGGAGATTTGAAGCATTATTTGCAGGTTTTCGATTTGCTTCCCACATTTTCTAGATTACTATATTCTTCCTAAATACATATTTTCATTTCCAGGCTATCTGAAGGGAAAATACAATGTTACACCAAAGTGTGACCATGCATCCAACTCAAGAAATTTTCTATGCTTGTAGTAGGAATTTTTAAATAACACGCTTTAAACCATAATTGTTCAATATTCTCAACACTATAATGAAGTTGATTACTAGCTGTTGCTACCAATAGAACATAGACATTAGAGAAATTACACTTACTTATGGCCTGACTTACACACTACAGAAGTATTCAAATGAAAGTCTTGGGAAATTTTGTAAGTAAAAGCAATCTCCAGAGTAAGCCAAAGAAGTCAATGAATGAGGTTTGCTTTGTAGATGCTCACTATGGCTCCATTCGTACAAATGCGTGTTTCTGTTCGCTGTGTCTTTAGACATCTTCCCAAAATAACAAAACCTTTGCAATTCAATCCCTATACATTTCAACATGTATGTCTAAGAATGTGGGAAAACATGAGAGGCCCTACATAGTTAACAATACAAAAGAAGTAAACCCAACAAATGAGACCACCAAAAACTATCCAGTGAGTCTTACTTGATTATCAGACACTTGTTTGCTAAGGGGGTCACGTCGGGCCTGCTGAAGCATGTAGAAGCGAGCCTCGTATTTTCTCATGAGCTCTTCGGTCTCTTCCCTGTGGTCGTCCCACCGCAGACTGTCCACCACCATGTCCTCCAGCTGCTGCCTCCTCAGCTCCACCCCGTGCTGTGTGCTCTCCCACTGGGTCTTCACCTTTTCCACTGGGGGGCAGGATAAAAAGAAACCCTCAAAAGTGGCCCTCAGGGGGAGGAAAATAAATACCTGTTCCTAAATTTGTCATGAATAGGTCTAGAAACAGAAAGAGGGCAACATGAGAAACACATCTTAAAGAGGCTCTAATGTGTGTCTGCCACAATTTTATATATACATATTATAATGTATTACTATATATCATATAGTTAATTGTATACATAGGGGAGATGGCTCAGCAGGTACGTGCAATGTGTAATAATAGATATTATATATTGCACTATGTTATATAAATATAGATATATATAGAGAGAGAAAAATGGCTTTGTAACCCATGTTGACTCCAACTTGAGAGTCTACTGACTCAGTTTCCTGAGTGCTGAGATTATCAGCACAAGCCACCATGCCCAGCTCACCACTGTTCCTACCTTCTGTACTGGGCTCAAAGCCAGGGTGTTTCACACACTATGTAACCACCTTACCACTGAGCTATACCTCCAGCTCTTCTAAATTGCTTTATCTATGTAAGTCAGAGCCTTCCTGTATTTTCCAATCTAGCCTTGAACTTGTAACTCCCCTGCCTCAGTATCTCAAGTAGCTTGGTTTACATATAAGCCTGTGACACCTCATCCAGACATATTTCTAAAACTACTCCGGGGGGGGGGGGGGGGTCTTGAATATCACTAATATTAAATGTGCTAATCATCTAATAACAAAAATATCTACTGAACTGATAAAAATTAAAGACAATTCCCTAGTTTATGTAGTCACAGAAGCTGATCTGACAAGGACAAAACCTAACAGTGTTCTATGATAAAACTTGAACACAGCCACAGTCTCCATCTGCCCTCAATGGAGAGTCTCTCAGGCAGAGAGCACTTTTTATATTTGCTCTACTCTGGCGAGAGGCCTTTCTGATGGGCAACATTTTTATATTTTCAAGTTCAACAGAAATACTGAGAATGAAGACATTGCAAGTCCTGCACACCTCTGAGTTCGCAGTCACACAGTTTCATGCTGGCTTTTTACCTTTCTTCCCCCTCTACTGTTTCCTCTTCCTCTCCCTCTTGCTTTCTCTGTATCCGTCTCTATGTCTTTTTTCCTTACCTTCTCTCCTTTCCCTCTCCAATGCTCTCTCCTCTCCTTTTTTTTTTTTATTTTTAAATCAGGGACCTACAAAAGGAAAGATCTATGGAAATTTAAACTTTTGGCTCATTACTACAGGGAAAGTTCACGATAGTGGGCTGAAATATCAATAAATGATAGTTCTACGTATCAGCCCACAGACGGCAAACACCAGGCTTGGCGATGATGCTCTGGATGCCAGACAACCTCAAGGGCCAAGAAGATCAAGCCCGAGGAGAACTTAACTACAGGACGAGACTCCAGTCGGGGAGCTGGAGTGATGGCTCAGCAAATGCTGCTCCTGCAAAAGGCCCAGGTTCGGGTCCCCAAACCCACATGGAGGCTCACAACCATCTCTTACTCCTTTCGGGAGGTCCAGTGCCCTACTCTGTCCACCATGGGAGCCAGCATACACTCAGTGCACATATTTACACACTACACATACTTACTTTTTGTATACAAAAAGTAAATTTAAAATACATAAAATTTAAAAAAATAAAAGATTGTAGTTTAGTTACTGTAGAACATTCTGGCAAAATTCTTAAAATAATATTATGTGGTTAATGTAAATCATAAAGCTATTGACTTACAGTTAGTTGTTCAGAAGGCTGGAAGGTTTTCATGTCATAAACTCTATTAAACTGTTCAATGAGTTATGATTTTTAAAAATTACCCAATGAAAGTCTATGTTGTATGTTGTTTTAACAATGTAAAGAAATTCCTGAAAGTTTTAACTCAAGGAAAGGGGAGACAAAACTATGATGATACTCTAGTTCTCAGCTAAAAACTCACATAAAGTCCTTATTGCCAATTCTGTCACTGATACAGCTTGTCCATTTGGACAAATACAAGTTAAAGGGTCAAGTGCCAGCAAGTATCAATGGTTTCCCATGAAAAATAAATTCTCTTATTCATTGTAAATGATGAACAGAAGTCACTATTAGTGGCACACAAGCTGATAAGGGCTCTCTGTGTAAATAAACAATGATAAAGACTAATTAGTTGAGACTAATTAGGGGAAGGAAAGAAAAAGAGAGAGAGGGGGTAAGAGGAGAAGAAGGAAGAGGCAGAGACCAGAGACAGAAATAAATGGAGGAGGGAAGATGTTCAGAAGATGGAAAACTTTGCTGTAAATAATAATAATAATAATAATAATAATAATATAATAATAATTAGAGTTGGGTTGTAGCTCAGCCAAGAGAGTGCTTTCCTAGCATGCAGAAAGTCCTAGGCTCACCAGCAACACTGTGTAAACCTGACAGAATGATGTCAGCAGTCCAGGTGCTCAAGAAGTCAAGGCAGGATACTTATAAATTCAAGGCAAGTTGGAGGCCAAAATGTGACTTTTAAAAAATCTATTAAAATAAGTCCTGATGGTGATGAGAAAGCAAAATGGAATGCTGCTGGAAATGGGCTGGTCCCGGGAACAGAGATCTCTCACCAAGGAAGGGAGGAAAGATCACTCCAGAGTCCCCCATTGTACAAGATCCATAATCAGTCAATTATCAAGAAGACTGAAGCAAAGTGGCTCTGAGTAGAAAGAAGCCAGTGCCACCACGTGTGGAAAGTTCTAATCTAATCATCTCCTTCAGTAACCATATTGCTCATTTATTTTGAAAGCAAAAAGCATCTACTACACCCAAAGCTGACTTCCCTCCCTCAGGAAAAATTCAACTTTATTCACCCAGTTCATATTCCCACACATATTTACAGAGTTCCTAATGGGAAAACCAGAGGCCAGAAAGGTGAAGATTCACAGTCTGCGCATGGGAGAGAAAAATAAAGGAGCTAAGAGATCTACAGTGGATTGATAGGGAATGGGGCTGTAGTAGGGAGTAAAGAGAGGAATCGGGGTCCACTGGGGAATACAGATGGGTGGGAAGGCTTCACAAAGGGGGTGACACTTTAGCTGCTGAGTAATTCCACCTACGGAGAACAGACTGAAATTGAAACAAACAAAAGAAGACAAATGTGAATAAAAGTAAGTGGCTGGAAGGGTCAGAGGTTTGAACAATGATCCAGAGCAGGCGGGGATCTGCAGGAGACAGGGGCTGAGGAAAAAGAATAGGATAGCCACCAGACACCGTTCTTAAGACTCCAAACTCGGTTCTGTGTGCTACACAAACAGAGGAACCTTAACTCAACCACTAACTCCAAACAGGGACATTAGTTTGTAAATATTTCATAGGTTCATTTCATTGGTTGTTTAATTATCCCTTTAACTAAGGCATCCCCACATGAAGGCAACCACAAAGCACGTATGGAATGAATTCTGAGGTAAGTTTAGAAGAAATGGTGACACCCAGTTTCAGTGAGTGGAGAGAAATGGCAGAATGAATTGGTGTGACTACAGGTTTGGCTAGCTTTGTTCCATTAGATGTCTTTCAAAAAAAATTCTAACATAAGAGAAAAAAATCAAATGCATAAGAGTTCAGAAGGGAGGTATGAGGAGGCTTTAAAAAGATGAAAAGAGAAAGAGAGAGAGAGAGAGAGAGAGAGAGAGAGAGAGAGAGAGAGAGAACTATTTCCTCCTAAATGAAGAGTGCCAATTACCAAATAACAATTTCTAGTAGAATAATCTTTGTAGCTGTGTGTGAACATTAAGGAAAGTGGCTGAGAATCCATAGAATACAGTGGCTCAGAATCTATAGAATAGATTTTTTTTATTTAACTTACGTTTTTCTGTGATTGCTGTTCTCACATCAGAACTGGAAGCTTTGTTTTTCAAATTCTGTGCCAATGTAAATACAAAATCAAGCTGAGGGTGGCGCTGTTCTAAATCAGCCTTTGTGATCTGTGAAGAGACAAGATCAACGGGGATTAAGGCATCATACAACAAGACCCTAACTGTGTAAACGGGTTGGCTGGTAGCAACGGCGAGTTTTCTTCCTCTCAGGGGCAATGACGCATCAGCAATGCAGCAGCAGAAGAGCAGGTGATCTGGAGTCAGAGGCCTTGGGTTCGAATCTCAGCTCTTTTATGAACCAACCAAGTAACCAGGAGAGGCATCACCCTCTCCACACTGCACCTAGCTCAGTTACATCAAGTCTAAGGAGATTAAAAGAAGGAATTCTCTTATCAACAACAGAGAGGGAGAACAAGGAATAGGAGACCATGGTAAATAAAGACCACATGAGAACAGGAAGAAGCAAAGTGCTAGAGAGGCCCACAGAAATCCACAAAGATACCCACACAACAGACTGCCGGCAATGGTCGAGAGACAGCCCGAACTGACCTACTCTGGTGATGGGATGGCCAAACACCCTAATTGTTGTGCTAGAAACCTCATCCAACTACTGAGGGATCTGGATGCAGAGATCCATGACTAGGCCCTGGGTGGATCTCTGGGAGTCCAATTAACGAGAATGAGGAGGGTTTATATGAGCGAGAATTGTTGAGACCAAGGTTGGATAAAGCACAGGGACAAATAGCCAAATGAATGGAAACACATGAACTATGAACCAATGGCTGAGGGGTCCACACTGGATCAGGCCCCCCGAATGGGTGAGACAGTTGATTGGCTTGATCTGTTTGGGAGGCATCCAGGCAGTGGGACCAGATCTTGTGCTCATTGCATGAGTTGGCTGTTTGAAACCTGGGGCCTATGCAGGATTGTTTGGCTCGGCCTGGGAGGAGGGGACTAGACCTACCTGGACTGAGTCTACCAGGTTGACCTCAGTCTGTGGGGAAGGCTTTGCCCTGGAGGAGATGGGAATGGGGGGGGGCGTTGGGGGGAAGGTGAGGGGGACGGGAGGGGGGAGAACAAGGGAATCCGTGACCGATATGTAGAACTGAATTGTATTGCAAAATAAATTAAAATAAATTTAAAAAAAAAAAAAAAAAAAAAAGAAGGAATTCTCCCTGAAAATGCTCTGAAAACATCAGCAATGATTGCTGCTGACTCCTTGTGTACCTGCGCTATATCAGGACACACATAAGGAGCCCCCTAGAACAGCAGTTCTCAACCTGTGGGTCACGACCCCTATGGCAAACCCTCTCTCCAAAGATATTTATATCACGATTCATAACAGCAGCAAAATAGTTATTTCTTTATGAAGCAGCAACAAAAATAATTTTATGGTTGGGGGTCCCCACAACATGAGGAACTGTATTAAAGGGTCTCAGCATTAGGAAGGTGCCCTATAAGGATGAAAGTGGCGTATTAGAAAAGTAATAATTAGAATAACTGCAAATGAATCAACTTAGACATGAATCACCCTTTTTTCACGGACTATGTGTCTTAGCTGATAAATAAGACAGGGGCTAAGAATTCCAGGAAGAGTCTATTTTAATTCCAGCACTAATAAATACCATAAAGATTAGAAAGCACAATTCACAGTTAGTACAAACAGTATGTCAAAGGATTTGTCTAGCCATCTCGCTATGAGCTCCCTAATTCTGTAGGTTTCACTCACTCCTACAGGGACAAGTACTTCCAAATGAATGACTCACACTCCAGTCCTAGATCCCAGGGCACGCTTCTATGAATGCGGCTGACTCCCTTCCCTCCGCACAACAAATCCAAAAGTAAATTACTCAAATGCTCATTGGTGCTCCATTTTTCCTCCTTTCCATTTCCTCTGTTTGGAAACAGCATCGTCTCAGCCCCTCGCAAAGGGCTCTTTCTCTTGATTTAAGCATCTCTCGCCTCCCATCCATCCTCACCTTCTACTAAAGCAAAGCACTGTTATCAGTGGTTCCCAGCCACAATTCAGAAAACAAAAGGAAATGGGAAGTGATCTTGCCAACTGCTTATAGACTCTTAAGTCCACAGGGTTTTACAGGGCTTTGCAAGACCCTCCTCAAAGAATTAAGTTGCCTTTTCCAAAACATCACTTCCCAACAAAAAAAACAAACCAACAAAAACATCTCTTGCACAAATGTTGCCCCTAAAGTTCCCTATCAAACCCAAGTTTTCTGTCTGCTACATAGGATGGCATGCACATTATATCTCAAAATCCCACCTCCTGTTCCCACGGCTATAGAAGCAGTACCCCCTCCTCAGCCATGTCTCTAACAGGTGGCTGACACATCCCTGTGACATTATTAGAAACTGCTTTGTCAGAGAAACCCATCTGATTTTGGTGCTCACCTCCTTGACCTCTTAGAGCCATGGTTCTCAACCTTCCTAATGCTGCAAGCGCTTTAACACAGTTCCTCATGTTGTGGTGACCCCCAACCACAAAACTATTATCGTTGTTTCTTCATAATTGCCATTTCGCTACTGTTATGTAAATATCTGATATGCAAGATATCTGATATGCGACCCCCGTGAAAGGGTAGAGGGGTCGAAACCCACATGTTGAGAACCACTGTCTCAGAAACTTGGGAGTTCTTGGTAACACAGAGTAAATCAGCGCCTCTCTCACCAGGCTGTTATGAGATAACACATGTGAAAATAAGACAATGTTCATCACACATTAAGCACTTAGTGGGTGTTAGCAATTGCTACCGTTTTATTGTGTATTTCTATCTAGAATATTCCTTTCAATGCTGCTCCACAACAGATAACCTACTAAAGACGGAAAAACAGCTTTCCAAGTTGCTACAAGATGGTCAATGTTCATTAAGAGGAAAAAAATACACACACACACACACACACACACACACACACACACACATATATATATATATACATATATATATAGTCAGAAGACATTCATTTCTAAGGTCAGAAATGAACTCATTATAAAATCAAACATGAAAACATACGTTTAGAAAGTATTCTATATCATATTGGACATTAAATGGAAAGATGGCTAGCAGTTATGCTGTGCCCAGCTTTAAGGTACCAATGTTGGAGTTTTACACTGAGTCCTCAGTTCTGTTTGATCAATGTAGCTAACAGAAGAAAAGTTTTCTCTTTGGAGTTAGCCCTGCTTGGCAGATAAGGACTACTTTAAAGTTTATTTTCTCAGAATTTAGGATAAGCAAATGAGAACCAGGGTGAGGGGGCTGCCTTGGCAAGCCTTTGCATTCTGTACCTACTTTCATCCGGGAAACTGTCTTATTGATCTCCTCCACGTCTCCCACAGTGACAATGTTGGACTTCAGCATTTGGTCGATCAATACCAGCCAGTCGGCCAGTTCTGTGATGGTTTTATCTAGATCAGCAGGAACTGAGATCTCGGGGGCACGAAGAGGAGCATCCGATGCAGATGATACTAGCACCACCTTTTGGACACTGGGGTGAGCTGAAAGAAAAGATGCCACCAGACAGAAATAGTCAACAGGATGTGGTGATCGTGATATGGAAGCGATGACACGCATATTTGTGTACTTCAACAAAATTTTGTTTCTCTAAGAAGTTCTGATTTTTCATGCTGAAATGGCATGGCTTGAAATAACCACATGTATTTGAGAGCCAAAAATCAAATACAACATGGAGCCTCGCAAAATTCTAGGCCATCAATAATGCACATATGATCAATACTAACACAAAAACAAATCAGTAGAAAAAGCACACCCACACAAAGAATAATAGAATTAGAAACATTATTTCATTGGGTCAAGGTATCTTATTTAATTATAAAGCCGATTTATTCCTAATCTTTCTGTTCTTTTTCATTTAACTTTACCACATGTGCATATCTCATTCCCTCCCTCCCTCCCTCCCTCCCTCCCTCCGTCTTTCTCATTCTCTGAGACACAGGGTCTCAAAGGGTAACCCTGGCCTGGAATTCTCTTTGTAGACCAGCTAGCCTCAAACTCATAGAGAACCACCTTCCTCTGCCTCCTGTGTTCTGGGACTAAAGGCCTGTGTTACCATACCTGGACTGTGTATCTCATCCTTAACTAGTCACAACATGAACATCTATATAAGAATACACACAGGTGTTCACTGATTTTGTAACATCCTTTCCTTTAGCTGCACATGTAGACTTCTCCTGAAATCTATTCTTTACCAAGGGGCTTGTTGGTGGTGGTTTTTTACTCTTACTGGGGGGCCTGCCACTCAGCTCCCAACTAAATCACACATGGAGGCTTATTTTTCCTTATGAATGCTCAGCCTTAGCTTGGCTTGTTTCCTTAACTTTAAATTAGCCCCACATACCTTTTGCCTCTGGGCTTTTCCCATTCTCTTACTTCTGTATCTTACTCTTACTCCGTGGCTTGCTGTGTGTGTAGCTGGGTGGCTGGCCCCTGGAGTCCTCCTCCTTCTCTGGCTGCTAGCCCTTCTCTATCTGTTTCTCCCAGATTTCTCCCTCTGTATCTTCTCTCTGCCTGCCAACTCCGCCTATCCTTTCTCTTACGACGCTATTGGCCGTTCAGTTCTTTATTAGACTATCAGGTGTTTTACACAGGCACAGCAACACAGCTTCAGAGTTAAACAAATGCAACATAAACAAAAGTAACACATCTTAAAATAACATTCCCCAACAGGGCTTAAAAGGAAAATCCTTTTGTGTATAGTGTTTTCCACATTTCTACTCTCTGACTTAGCAGAGATTTCCCAAAGTAGAATTACTGGATAGGACAACATTTTTAAATTCAAATATTTAATTTCCTTGCGAAATAGAATTTACATATCCAATAACTAGCTGAACATCCTGCATCTACATCAACAGGGCTCGATCTTGGTGCACACAAATGCATACCTGTTTCCATTATTTTAATGGATTTATAATTAGAAATAAAAGTATTTTCATGCTGCTGAACCAAATGTGTAGATTTACTAACTGTGAGTTTTGTTTTTAAATCTGCCTCCTTATCAATTTGGATGACAAGTTAACCTCAGTGGTGAACACCATGCCACTGTCTGGCCGTTGGTTTGGTTTGATTCTGTTTTGGAAGTGTGTATGTCCTCTCGCCTCCTTCCCCTCCTGCCTAACCCCTCCTGCTTTGTAAACACTTAAATCTTAACAACCTGAGGAAACCATGTTCATAAATCTTTCGGGGTGGGGTGGGGAAGGGAGGCAGTCCTATTTACTATCATTGTCTATGTGTGTGGAGGTGACAGCATGGCTTTCAGGAGTCCGTTCTCACATTTCAGAGCAAGTATCGTCACCTGTGGCACGATCTCACGTACCTTCCCCAAAGACAAGTATGAAACTCCGGTCTTCTCCAAAGATCTGATAAATGGCCTCTTATTCTGTGTTTTATCATTGTTGTTCTAGTTTTCGTTTATGTTATGTATATGGATGTTTTGCCTGGATATATACCTATGTATCATGTGCGTGCCTGATGCCCACAGAGGCCAGAAGAGAGCATCAGAGTCCCTAGGAACTGGAGTTACAGACTGTGGTGAGCCGCCAGTGTGGATGCTGGATATCCATCTTGGGTCCCCTGGAAAAGCAGCCAGTATTCTAAACCACTAAGTGGTCCCTAGTTTTTGTTTCTTTTTTTTTCTTTTTTGTTTCGAGACAGGGTTTCTCTGTGTAGCTTTGGAGCCTGTCCTGGATCTCACTTTGTAGAGCAGACTGGCCTCGAACTCACAAAGATTCACCTGGCCCTGCCTCCCGAGTGCTGGGATTAAAGGCGTGCGCCACCACCGCCTGGCTAGTTTTTGTTTCTTTTTGTTTGTTTGTTTGTTTTTTTTTTTGGTTTTTCAAGACAGGGTTTCTCTGTATAGCTTTGCGCCTTTCCTGGATCTCGCTCTGTAGACCAGGCTGGCCTTGAACTCACAGAGATCTGCCTGCCTCTGCCTCCCGAGTGCTGGGATTAAAGGCGTGCGTCACCACCGCCCGGCTAGTTTTTGTTTCTTAATGATGAGAAGTTGACAGCTACACTGCTCTAGTTTCAACATAAGATGTAGTTATCTACCCAGGACCTACTATGAATTCAGTACAATTTTAATAAAAATCCCAACTGGTATGCATGCAGCTTGGCAAAACCACAGATGCAAATTTCTAGTTGGGCAGTAAGAAAGAAAGGATGCCCCCCCAACACACACACACACACAAGGCTTAAAGGAAATATTTGTGTAAGGAAATATGCCTTTCAGCTGTTTAGTTGTAGTTTTGAGCATTGGTAACAGCCTCCCTATCTAATAAACTCAGACATTCAGACAGATGAACAGGATTGAAAAGCCATGGGGCGCAGGGGCAGAGAGACCTGACCTTGGAAGTGACAACATTACAGATGGATGCCGAAGAATTCACTGTTCGGCACACAGTGCTGCCTGGTAGCTAGCGTGGGGAACCGATGCCACAGAATTTGACCTCATGCTCATAAAGGAAAAATAGTTGCATTGAGGTCAAGGAGTGAAGGGCAAACACTATGACTGAGAGATTAAGATGCAAAAGAATATCTTTATGATTCCAGGGCACCTAAAACAGCCAGGCAAAGCAATTAATACACTATTTACATTCTAAAGTTCTGAGAAAAGCACCATAAACAGGTATTTTAAAAGTCTCTGAAAGACTAAGAGAAAAGGCATTTGCTATACACATGAAGTAATTAATTAATAGTCAAAACGCTTTTAATCTTTAATGCGCTGGACAAGGCAAGAGACAATCCACCACAGAGATACCAAGGAAAGCAGTTCAACATGAAAACTGAAAAATTAAAGCAAACCACTTGGCAGTCACAGGCTGGCAAAGTGACAGCTGACAAAATCTGGCCTCCTTGTGCCCCTTCCAAGGTACCTGGCTCCTGGTAATACCAACATCACCACCACCATCATCACCACAGTTATTTGCTTTAAATGCTCTGCCAGGCACACAATGGTGTACCATCATGGCTAGATACTGCATCATCACTACAGATGAAACCCAGAAACACAAATGAGAACCTAGCTATCATCTGTGAAATGGATCTATCATCTGGATACTTAAGAGATTGTAAAAAAGTAAGCAAAGTTACTTTCTTAATTTTCATCTTGCCAATACTATAAAACTATATTTTGTTAAAGTATAACATATTTCTTACTGTTCTTTTTAAACATATTGATAACCAACAATTTAGAAATTTCTTATGCTAAATGAAAGAAAAAGTGTGATTCCATTTGCCTGAGATACTCGAGATGAACTAATACATAGAAATGGCATGCACACGGATAGATACCAGAGGCTAGGGGCTGGGGTGAGCAGGTTGAGAAGCTGCTCAGGGGTCAAGACCTCTAATCTCAGAATAATGAAAATATTTTGGAGCTACACAGAGGTAGAGCTTGCACAACATTGCCAATGAACTAAAAGTTCTTGATTTATTTATTTTAAAAATGGTTCCTTTTACTTTTAATATGATTTTAAAGGAAAAAAACCCAGTAAACTAAAACATTATGTAAGGGCTGGAGAGATGGTTCAGCAGTTAAGAGTTCATATTGCTCATGCAGAGGACCCAAGTTCAGTTTCAGCATCTATTAGGGAGAGCTCACAACGGCCAGTAGCTCCAGCGCCAGGGAATCTGGCCTCTTTTGGCCTCTTCAGGCACCTGCACTCATGTACACATAACACAGAAACACACACAGATGCGTAACTTAAAAAAAAAAAAAAAACAGAATTTTTTAAAAGCAAAAACAGTGTGTAAAAGGAAAGTCACCCTGAGATTGGCTTTCAGGTCACAAACCTGCCTGCTGTATGGATGACTGTCTTAAGACAAACAAACCGCAAACCTAATGTAAAGTGGTTTTGCTATCAGTCCTTTATACATGTAATTATGCAGATAAAGTTTCCCTACTCTTTTGTCATAATGATGTTTTAAAAAGATAAACTTCTGCAGCTGTACACAGCGTAGCAAATCCTTTCTTTATGGTCCTTGAATTAAAGCTGCATTTATATATATATTTATATGCATTTATATATAAATATATATTCAAATATATATATTTGAATCAGCAAAATGTCAGTTCAAGTGTTTCTGATATGAATCAAGAAAACCAATAGAGCCACAGGGATTTCCGATGCAAGGTGCCAGGGAAAACAGGTCACAGAATACACACTGAGTCGTAAACAAGCCTCCATACAAGAAGGGAACAGATATTTTTTTGTTTTGAATTCTCAGAAAACGAAAAGAGAAAAGGATAAAGAGGAGGCGGAAGAGGTAGAGATAGGAAAGGTGAGCACAGGTAGGAGGCAGCAGGTGGGCAGTGGAGTGGACGGGAGAGGTGGGAGAGACGTGGGGGGCGGCGAAGAAAAGGAAGAAAATCCCCAGCAGCAGCTGGCAAAGAGAAGTGGGTAGCTGGGGTGAACCACAGCTGAAGTTCTCCCAGGAGACTCACAGTTGGTGAGCAGAACAAGGTGGTTAGGAGAGTTTGCAAGGCAGTAGTGACTGTGGCTATGTGATCTACTTGGGACAGAGATAGAAGGAAATTGACAAAAATCATGAGAAAACACACACTATTCTCCACATCTAAGGGAATTATATTTGCTAATGCACAGTTTCCAGGAAGTTGGAGCCTTCGAAACCCCACCCCGTGATCAGGGACAAATTATACACACTAAACACATGTTGTCAGGGTAGGTTGTACCCAATGACTTGAAAAGCTGCATCTCTCTATTAAATTAACTTAATATGTTGCACCTAGCCTCTCCTGCATTCAGCAAGACTATGGCCATCTAGGTACTTCTTTGACTCAGGGAACGAAAAATCTCTTCAACCAAAAAAGTGATGATTGCCCACACTGGGCATCCAAACAGTATGAATTCAGGATTATGAACAGCAATTATGATTTTTTCAATTATTATTCTAATAGGGTGCTCATACTGTAAATTTGTCCGTGCTGATAAAAATAACCCCTAAAGAATAAATGGTGTCTTACCAGTAATCCTCGTCTGTGAGGCAGAGCAGGGCTCTTGGGTGCGTGTCCTCAGCATGCCAGGCACCTCTCTGGATATCTGCAGCATCAAGCCAGACACAGAGAGGAAATAAAGATGGTCATATCTTGGAAAGTCAGCCACTCTTCTAGATGACAGCTCAGTCAGTTTTGTTTTGGTTACCGAAGCTTGCATGCCCACCTTCACTCTCCACTGTAATCTTACTGGAGCCCTTCCGTCCCCTGACTTTAAGCTCAAGAATGCCAACCAATGCTCAGCTGTGACTCACTAGTACCACTGAAGCTGTCCACTCCCCTTGCAACTCAAATCCTGTAAACGTCTTTGAGTCTGACCTTGTTCCTGCCTCACTATGTTTCCTTTACTGGCTCTGTTTTCTGTTCATCCATCCAACGCCATCACTGTACAGGATAAATCTTAGACCTTCCTACTCTTCATTTTCTATAGGGGGTTTCCAGAGGCTAAAAACCCTCCCCGTTCCCCCAATAATACATAACTTCTGTTCAGCTCTCTGTCAAATGGATACTCAGACATATCCACATCTCAATGCATGGTGTCTGTCCTCCCTGAAATGGCCTTTGTAAGCTTCTCTCAGGACTCTACCTGATCTTTCTGCATCAGTTCCTAGGATGACTCCATCCTTCCCTGCAGGATAGCTATGGGAGCTTTCAAATACAAATCTGTTTTAAAACAGCTGTCTACTTCCCTCAAAGTAGGGAATTCTTCTCAACATATTCCCCATGGGCCAGGAGCTGGTCTCTGGAACTGTCACTCACGTGTCTACTCTACGTCCTTCTAGGACACAAATGCACTTCATTGTGTCTCCTCTAGACTCCCCCACTTGCGGATCCCCCCCCCCACAAAGCCCGTTATTTCATCCCTCACCTGAGCAGTACTTAACTCATCTTTTATAAGTTAGCTTAGACAAGATCTCCTCCCACAGACCCTCTTTGGTTATCCTAAAGCAAGCTAAGTATCCCCTATATGTTTCTAGCTTCCAAATTTTAATTATTTAGTCTCTTTCTCTTATCCATGCCAAACCCACGAGGTGAAAAGCAGTATCATTTTCCCTATATTCCTCATTCTTAAAATGGGGCCAGGGATGTAGTGAAAACCCACTAAGTATGTAACAGAATCGAATGAACACAATATTCACAGAAGTCCTTAACATGTGTAAGATTCCCCACACAGTAAACGTTGTTTTGCCTTGCATGTCATAATTCTACAAAGTAGACAATATTAAAATCTATATTAATCCAATTCCTGCATAATAGAAGCTTCAATTTTATCTAGCACAGTGCTCCCAAACTGACCGCCATACCCTTTTCTCTACAACACAAACCAACACAGTCTTCTTCAATAAAAATGTATGCTCTGGCTGAATATATACAAATGGATTTGGCAAGTGACATGGGAGCCAATATGTCTGGAGAGGAGGGCAGGAAAGAGAGCATCAGATAAAGTCAGAGGTAACAGGAAGGCAGCCAGCGAGGGGACTTATAAATCACAGTAAGGACAACGGCTTTACTCCAGTAAGATAGAAAATCGTTAGTGAACATTGTTCACAGGAGGTACTGGATCTCACTTATATCTTAACAAAGCTCAGTGCTTTGCCGAGATGATGCTGAGAAAGGGTAGCAGAAGAGACCAGGGAGGAGGGCTTTTCCAGAGATGATGGTGAACTGCGACAAGTCAGCAGCAGTACAAACTAGTGAAATGTAGGCCAATTTATACTAATTTTTTTCCAACAAAAGGAAAGCTGAAGCAATTATGCAGAAACATTCATGGCCAATCAACACCTAGAGATCAGAATTATGTCCTCATCTGCCTTATCACATGTAGCTATCTACCAATCCTTCAAATCATCCTCAAGTACACGGAAGAAGCCAATGGCAGTGACTTCAAAGAATTAGTGTGAGTGTGAGTGTGTGTGTGTGAGGAAGGGAAGAGTTGTCTCTTTACTGAGATATAATTCACATTTATAATTTATGTGCCATAAAAACGACTCAGGATCTCTGATTTCAGAATAATAAGGACATATATGCCATTAACTGAGGGATGAGCTATACATTTAGGTACACAAGAAAGGTAGAAACCAGGAATCCAGTTTAAGATTTGAGACACCATTAGATATCCGAGCAGAGGCATAGAACAGGTCACTGATCATGCAAGTGTAGAGTACACAGAAAGGTCCAGGCCAGAGATGCAGCTAAGTGACCTCCTGGGCAATAAGTCATTAACTAATCACAGAGACTGAGATCTAGAAGGTATATATTTATATATTAGATACAGGATAATCCCACTTCCTTCTTCATCTCTTTTCTTCTTCAAGTTTCTCTCCCTCCTTTCTTCTTATTCTCTTCTTTTTGAGGTAGGACCTTACTATGTAACCCAGGCTGACTCGGACTATATCCTCCTCCTGTCTTAGCCTCCCAAATGCCAGAGCTAAAGATGCAGGCCAACATATTCGCCATGACTTCCAGTCTGACAGGATGGAAACAGAGTAAAGTGACTGACAGCCAAGAGCAGGACACACCCATCCAGTGTCTCACAAGGACCACAGACAGGGATCCAGCGGGTACCCGGACAAAATCAAAAGAATCCTGGGATTTCATCCACCTTGATCCATTTCCACCACAAAGGCAAGTAATCATACAACGAAACAACTCCCATCTTAGTGTGATTTTTGTCAGATGTCATTCAATTCCACCGGATCCAAATAATAAGCACATACGGAAGGAATAAAATCACCAAAACCAGACGTGGGAAAGTCATGTTTGACATCAAGAAGCTATTTTAAGGTCTTTGTTTTCGGAATGCAAGTACTGGCATTTTATTGCCAAATTCCAACAGACATTCATAACTTGGTGTGCTACATACTATACAGATCCCCTAGGACAAAGAACCCAGCATACAATAGAAACGGTTCTCTAAGAATACATGTGATGATGGGTGCAGAAATACAGAACTGTAGGGAGCTGAGTAGGCACAAGGATGCGGGAAGCAGCAGCGAGAGAACAATTCTTTAGTCATAACATCAACAAACACGGGCCAGCGAGATGGCTCGGCCTGGAAAGAGGCTTGCCACCAAGCCTGATAACCTGAGTTTGACAACTTGAATTTGATCCCTGGAATCAACAGTAGAAGAAAAGAACCAACTCCCAAAAGTTGTCCCCTTATCTACGGTACATTCTCTCTCTCTCTCTGTCTGTCTGTCTCTCTGTCTCTCTCTCTCTCTCACACACACACAGAGCAAAAAGTATAATTCTAAACACCAACAGACATGAGAAACATGGTACAGAATTCCCACACGCATACCTTGCTCCACGTCACGTTCGCGTTTCTCAAGCTCTCCGCAAGTTTGTCTCTTTCGCGCACACTCAGATTTTTCTCTGAAAGCGCTTCCAGTTCGGCTCTGTTCAGCCATTGGAGGTTTTCAGCCTGAATGTCCATCTCTTGGGCTAAGTCCTGAAAGTGTCATCAGAAGACAGGTGGTCAGAAGGTCCTGAGGGCAGGTTATGGACGCAAGCAGAACTCTCGGGAAAATACTCTTATAAATTCAGGGTCCGGGCTTCTTAAATGGAAAGCAAGCTTACTCAAAGTGTTAACACACTCTCACTGACGGAGCACGGACATAGACTCGTGTGCATGCTTGTGTATACGTGCGCACAAACACATTTTTTTGGTGTTATTTGTTATTTTTAATTAGATGTATTTGTTGGTGGGTACGTATGTACGTTGAGTCCAGAGACTAAAAGAGAGCATCAGATTCCTTAAAGTTAGAGTTCCAGGCAGTTGCAGAGACTGCCTGCCTGACTTGGGTACTAGGGATCGAACTCGGGTCCTCTGCAGGAGCAGTTAGTGCTCTGACCTGCTGGACCATCTCTCCAGGCCCAACACACACTCTCTTATTTTCATTCATTCCCTGCCCACCCTTCACCAGGATCATACTATATATATACATTGTTAATTTAAGGTTCATTTCTGATCGCCGCCTTACTTCTCCATTGGAACACACTGTTCTATCCTTTGTAAATCTTTCAAATACTTTACCAACAGGACATTTGAAGAAAATTCTTCATTCTTTAGGTAACGTAGGAATATTGGGTAGCCTCATACTTCAAGGAAAAAAATTTAATAAATAATTGCCACGTCTATCCCATCATTGCTAAAAGTTTCTTTCTCAATTTTGATCATACTTCGCTATGGGCAAAACATCTACTCAAATTGGTAATTACTTTTTGAGTATAGTTTTACGTGTGTGTGTGTGTGTGTGTGTGTGTGTGTGTGTGTGTGTGTGTGTGTATTATCTCATTCAAACACAATCTTTTTTATGATATTATTTTAAGAGTGTGTGTGTGTGTGTGTGTGTGTGTGTGTGTGTGTCTGTGTGTCTGTGTGTCTGTGTGTCTGTGTATGCATACATGTGGGGGTCAGAGGGCAAGTTTTGGGAGTCAGTTCTCTCCTTCCACCTTACTTAAGTAGGGTTTCTCTTGTACTGAGTACTCCAAGCTAGCTGGCCCCTGTGCTTCTGTGTAATTCTCCTGTGTCTACCTACAGCTGGCTGTAGAAATGCCCACACTACAGAGGCATACCATCACTTCCAGAGTTATTACAAGGGTAGAAGATGGAATCTGGTCATCAAACTATCACGGTGAATGTTATCTGATGTACCATCTTGCCAGCTCCATGATTTCCTCTGGAAAATAGATTCTGCTCACTGTTCTACTATTAATGTCTCAATTCTTAACACAAACTACAAATGCCTGTGGACATGAATAGTCACAGAGATTTGGTAGTTAGATGTCTATATCATCACATATTTTTATAGACAGTGTGTGTGTGCATGTGTGCACATGTACAGATATACAACTACTACAAATTCCCATTGGCTGCAAATCAACAAAGGAAATCTGACTGCTGAACTGTAACACTAAGCCTCCTTCCAGCTGCAATGAGCTAATAGCACAACACCTAAGATTTTCTCCTAAAAGTCACTGTGATAAATTATAATCAGAAATTATCTTCTAAATCTAAAAGTAAAAACTATACTTCATGGCTGCATTGTATTCTAAGTCACTTTACAACATTCGAAATCTTCTAATCTAATATCAAGGCCATGGCTACTTATCTTTTGCTTGATCTCTGCATGACCAAAATGATGGCTGTTGCTTCAGCCAAAATTGTCTCATTCCTAAAGGGCAATCATCCTGCATCAGAAGACTCTGGAAATCTAGAGACAAACTCCTTACTGTTAATTCCTGTGGGTTTTCCTCGGGGTCAAAGGATGATCTCTTCTGCACAGAGCTCTCCACCTTTGTTAGCCAGCAGACAAACTCATCCAGCCGTCTCCTGTAGCCGACCACCTGCTTACTTTCTCCTTTCAACCTAAGAGAACACAGTGTGGAAAAGAGTGACAGACATTACTGAGTAAACAGAACAGTATATATTTGGTTTTGGAAATCCTGATCCCATAACCCCAACAGAAATAATAATTATATTAAGTATATGTTTTTAAGTTAATATTAACAGCCATGTATACAGACTATTACACTAAAGATTATATGGATGACTAAAGGGATTTTTTCCCCTTAATTAAATTATGACACACTGAAAGAAAGTCTTATCATCTCATCATAAAAAATTAAATGCAAGCTAATAAGGAATTTTTTAAGTCAGCCATTATTGTATAATGAAGTATTAGTTAAGGAAAAATGAAAATGTCCTCGTGTAAAATAAGAGGGGAAAATGCATAATTTTCTCTGAGTTCTCCATGGAGACAGAAAGACATCCTTTTATATTTTATTCACCTAAGGCAGCAAGTGTTACTCCATTCTACCCAGACGACAGCAAAAATATAAATGAGGAGAGTGCTGAGCAGTGGATTCTTCTACAAGTATTAGAGAAATACACACATCTACGCTTGGCTGGTTCCTTAATATAAATATAATAGACGCATTATAAAAAGGAGATCAAGGAAAAATCAGAGTATTCAAGTGTGCAAGTAAAGCAATGGGATGAATATGAAAGCAGAACTCTCTAATTAGATCTTTTTAATGGTGTAAGAATAGCATTGAGGAATACCGGCCATCTGTCAGAAGATGAAAGGATGAACATATGACCAGAACCCACGTGACAAGTAAGACTGTAGACTTAAAAAAATAAAAAGAGTTTGAATGCTATTAAGAGCTTAGTGGCATCATTATTTTTAAAGCAATTAGATGCTGATTGAAAACTGAGTGCAACACTTCAATTAATTACACTGTGCCATCCCTAATGGGAATCTACATTTCTATGCTACCTTTTATGGTTGTAACCATAAAAAGTGTAAAATAATCATACAATAAATATAACATCATTTTAGCTAATATGTATCTAACAGTCATACTGGAAAAGTATAATATTTAATACTATTGTAATACTTTTAAAACCTAATGAAAATTACTTAAAAATTAACTTATTTTAAAAAAGAAGAAAATGCAGCCTCAAGATAAAAAAAAAAAAATGAAGCAATTAATGATGGTGGTTGATATGAAATGTTATCATGAATGTTACAAAGGTTATAATGAGTAAAATAATATTTAATCTAACAACTTTGGAAACACCCAAAATACCTATATAGTCCTTTTGTTTTAGAAATATTAAAAATTAAATTTCCAGAGTTTCATAATCGTGACTACTTTCATGTTTTAAAACTAGAATTATAAGACACCAATATTATCAAGCAATTTCAATAGGACCAATTTAAGAAACCCAAAATTTTCACCTGAAAACTAGCTAAATAATGTACACTTATTGTCTGTAAGAATAGAAACAAATTATAAATTCCTGGCTAAACACTGGATAGTAATTGCTTATTAAGAAATAGCACCATAAACTGTAAAACTGCAAATATTTACCTGTAGGCACTCAATACAGAAACAAAGTGGACAGTGTGGTAATTCCCAGTGACTCTGAACCTCTTGGGGTTCTAAGGTGGCCCTGACACAAACAGGTTTTGGAACAGAAATGAAGTTTAATATGAATTTGTGAAAACAAATGCTGCTTCAGTGAAAATCCAAGAAGCTAAGAAAGAGATTCATTATTCTTTTCACTTCCCAAGACTGGGTAAAATATGTGTCGTAGCCATCTTGTTAGTTTGGGGAGGGATGATGACCAGACTCCACAGATAACCATTTGAAAGTCTCAAGGGGAATAAAGAAGGAGCATGGCACGTAAGTTCAGAAGCACTTCCCCTTGCAATACCGAGTCCTCCTCTCTGTCTCCTCTCACACAGCCATGGCTGTGGTACTCACACCTCCCACATCTCCCAGTTCTACACCTTTTCTCAAGAAGGTTCACTCTGAAATGCCCCAAAGGCCCACAAGGCTATTGGGCGGTGGTGGAAATTTTACAAAACCTGACGGGAAGTTTTCAGTTCACGAGGGGTGTGACTTGGAAGGAGAATCTGACATAGGAAGCCTCCTTTTCCTTTCCACCTCTTCTCTTTCCTGGCCATGAAGCAAGTCATCTGCTCTAGCAAGCACCCCTGCCATGATGTCCTACAGAAAAGCCAAAGCAATTGAGCTAAACACTCACAGATGGACACCTGTAAAACTGTGACCCCAAATAAAACTTCTCTCTTTATAAGCTAAATTATCTCAGTTATGTGTTATCACAGCAGAAAGCTGACTACCACAAAGGCTCATCCTAGAAAAAAATTATGGAAAATTGTTATAATTGCCTCAAAACTCAGCTTCAGTATCCCTCTTAACACCAAATTCCACAGGCCATCATTCCTGCCTCTGTGGCAATATCCTCATGTGAATGTTTGCTTTAATCACACTATTTTTTTTTCCTTTAAACTTTATCTTCTCAGTCTGAGTTCTTTGTGATATTTGAATCCCCGATGTTAAACACAAGGCTCAGAGAATATTGATGAAATTGATTAAATTAACTGACTACTAGCGATATACAGCAATAACATGCTGAGAGAGTAAGCTCAATAGAAACCATTATAAGAAATGGATATTTGTAAGTGTTCACCATGAAAAGTTAAGACATAAATATTCTTCAAATACTGTCTCACTTAATCCTCATAAAACTGCCTGACAGCAGAGCTCTCTTTTGTAGAAGGGCGACAGCAATCAGAAGAGTGTGGTGACCAGCACAGCACAGTAACTCTAAGGGTGCAATACTGGGATGTTCTCTACGCTGTGAATGTGCTGCTCTGATTGGTTAATAAATAAAGTGCTGATTGGCCAGTAGCCAGGCAGGAAGTATAGGTGGGACAAAGAGAGAAGAGAATTCGGGGAAGTGGAAGGCTGAGTGGAGAGACACTGCCAGCCGCTGTCATGAGAAGATGTAAAGTACCGGTAAGCCACGAGCCACGTGGCAACTTATAGATTAATAGAAATGGGTTAATTTCAGATGTAATATCTAGATAACAAGAAGCCATTAGGCCAAACAATTTAAATAATATAAGCTTCTGTGTGTTTATTTGGGTCCAAATGGCACTCAGAAGCCTGCCATGGCCATATAATTTACAAGTAACATAAGCCTCTGAGTGATTATTGTATAAGTGGGCTGTGGGACGGCGGGAGATTGGTGGGACTCCGAGAGAAACTCTCCAGCTACAGGATGCAATAGTGGCATAAGACCATTGTGTAACCAACAGCTCTCTTACTGGACTTAAGGCCCGCTCAGCAAAATGGAAAACACGCCTGGTACTGGAATCCTGGCCAGCTACCCAAGGCTAGTGAAGTCATGGACCTTGGACGGCAACTTACAACCGCCACTTAGCTAAATCAGCATAATCCCTAAATCCAGTCTAAATAGTGACACTTATCCCCCCCAGATAAGTGTAATTCTCATCGCTCATCAAAGAAACCTCTCTTTGCAAAAGAAAAAGACCACTGCAACCTTTCGCATGGGTGCCAGGGATCTGAACTAGGGTCTCCAGGCTTGCATGGCAAGCACATTATTGGCTGAGTCATCCCCCTAGCCCCAAAGAAATTTTTATACATAGGACATCTGAACAGAATAGTGAGCTTTTCTAGGCAACCTGAAAATAGTCACAAGGAATATGGACAGTGGAAACTTTAAATGTCACCAATATTTATATCATGGTATTACATCAGATAGAATGTATTTTACATGAACTCTTCACACACACACACACACACACACACACACACACACACACACACACACCCCTGCTCAAATGTTCAGAACTGAGTCATCACCTGGGCTGCCGATCCTTCACCTCAGCCACAAGGGTGCTCCAGCGCTGGTTTAAACCTGCCAGCTTATCCTTCAGGAAGCTGGCATCCGAGGGGCGAAGTCTCTGCACGATGCCCTCCCCAGTTTGGTTTACAGCTACCATGCTGGGTTGGTGGCTGCTGATGCCCTCTTCCAGTTCCTAGGACAGATTGCACACTGTGAATTTCCACCACTTTGTCAAATTGTTCAGATGCCTTTGGTCCTCCCAATATTGCAGCATCAATCTAAGAGCCACAGAAACAAATTCCTGGGAGGGCTTTCCATGTTCGTGAAAACACGTTTTCAAACAAGCTAATTACATTTCCAGGGACACGTGGAAATGACAGCGATCTGGAAATTGAACCTATCCTTATGAAAGTCATCAGGCAAAATACACTGACATAGGACACCTTAATAACAAGAAACAAATATCAGCTGTTTATATCTAAATGTCAGCATTTGATTAAAGTAAACTGCCTGTCTTCTCCCAAACAAGTATGGAGAAGCATCTTATAACACACACATTTATGCACGCACGCACAAATATTTGGCCAATACAATTTTTATGTCCAGCTATTTATAAACAATCTTCACTGTGCATTTTATTGAGATGTTGCCTCAGTCTGAAAAAGTTTTACAGTAACAGATTAAAGGGCTGCTTTAAAGTCTAAACACGTATGTGTAACTCAAAATTTCACAAGCATGCACACCATGTTGACAAGCGGGGTTGGGGGGCACTGCTTTTGACTCTCCATGAACTGTCTACAGAAAATACACTTTGAAGATGTAGTAAAACAAGAAAGGCCTCTGGCAATGGAAGATTACACTTGTGCTTGCTCCATTACTCTCTTTAAGGATCTATTGTGTTGGCAGAGCTGACTTTGGTGTTATACTACATATCTGCAAGACTGAGCCCTACAAGAGGCTTGCCCTGTCCATCAAGGATAGTATACTTTCATAACAATTATCAAAGACACACATTCCCACAAAAAAATGGGATGTCTAAGTGTTTAGGAGCAGAAAGCACAGGTGAGTATGCATATAGTTTTCTGTCATTGATATAGTCTTTTTGTTGCTGTTGTTTTGTTTTTGTTTTTGTTTTTGTTTTTGAAGACATGGTATCTCTGTGTAGTTTTGGTGCCTGTCCTGGATCTCATGCTGTAGACCAGGCTGGCTGTGAATTCACAGAGATTCGCCTGGCTGTACCTACTGAATGCTGGGATTAAAGGCGTGCACCACCACTGCCCCGCTGATATAGTCTTAGATACAAATTTTTGTGTTACTCTGAATATAAAATTTCCAGATATGTCTTTCAAAATACTCTAAAAGACACTTGTTTCTAAAATAAGCTACTGTAGAGTACCTTTTTTTCTTTTAACTTCTTGAAAATCCTGATTATAAATTGTGTGATGAGCAAAGTTTCTTAGAATTTTTAAACTGGAAACTAGAGAATAGAACAAACCTGACAGTGATAAAAATTACAGCGATACACATACATGTGAAAAAAAATCAACAGATTTGGTTCCAACCTCTGCAACACCTCTTAGCAACAACATCTAAACAAGCATCCAAACATCCCTCCTGGGAGGGGAAGAGCTCACCAGCTGGTGTGTCCTAGCTTTCTCCAGGTCCAGACCACCATCTGGAGCACAGGTGTCTCCCAGCAGGTCTTCAGCTTCGGATATCCACTGCGTGAGGTCATTGAGGTCATGGTGGAATCGCTGCCATTCCTCCATAGCCCTGGCAAAAGACCTGGAGCACAAGAAACAGAATCAGAGGATCTTCCCAGCTTTGAAAACATTTTTTTCTTTTTTTTTTTTTTTTTTCTTTTGGTTTTTTCGAGACAGGGTTTCTCTGTGTAGCTTTGCGCCTTTCCTGGAACTCATTTGGTAGCCCAGGCTGGCCTCGAACTCACAGAGATCCGCCTGGCTCTGCCTCCCGAGTGCTGGGATTAAAGGCGTGCGCCACCACCGCCTGGCACATTTTTTTCTTTTAAAAAAAAAAAATAATAATAATGTCAGTCAATCACATCTAATTTAAACTGAGTGAAATCACAGCTTCTGGCTCTACAAAACTCATTGTCAAAGTAGGTTGTGTTTACTAATTCCCTTCTGAGAAATGAGCCTTGTGCCAACTGCAAAACAGTGTGTGAACTCCACCCCAGCCCTTTCTCTGCCTCCTTCTTGCCCACGCTCTCTGCTTTTTAAAGATTTTTTTCCTTCTCTGACTTATACATTCAATTAATTGTAGGCATGTTAATCCACCTGAATTTATACCCTTACCATATAAGTACCATGAAACATAAAAACATTATTAATTATTCTATTCTCTTAGAAAGCATGAGGTTTTACTGATGAAAGGCTTCATTTCAAGTTAGAACAAAGGCCAAGAATATAATAATTATTCTAGATCATTTAAGGAAAATTTTACTAAACTAGCTGAAGAAATTTACAAATTAAAAATGAAAATATGGTATTTACCTAAAGTTGATGGCATAGTAAAGCATAATTGGCAGAACTAAACTTATATAAAATAACATATCTTAAATTGTGACATTATTACCAACAATAAAAGCAATGAAAAGTTATTGGGGGAAAACTGGTCATTTGTTTAAGAAAAATGAGGCAAAATAGAGCCAGTCAGCGTTTAACTGTGAGTGCACAAAAAGTTGTCTAAGGAGGCTGGGTGGTGGTTTTACACACCTTTAATCCCAGCACTTGGGAGGCAGAGGCAGGCAGATCTCTATGAGTTCAAGGCCAGCCTGGTCTACAGAACGAGTTCCAGGATAGCCAGGAGTCTTACACAGAGAAACCTTGTCTTGAAACACCAAAAACCAAAAACCCAAACAAAAAAAAGCTGTCTAAGGATCATTTGAAAAGTAAAGGTGCGTGGACAGTAATCATGATACTGAAGTTGGAGTCTATAATAACTGAGCTGGGCCTTAATATATGATACAGACCCAACGCAAATTCTGATAGATCATTAAACAGAAATTTCAAATCAAGCAACTAAGTGTGTTTTCAAAACACATACTATTGCTTACTCACACAGAGAAAATATAAGGAAAGGATACATAAGTTTTGCTAATTTTATGCAATCACAAAAGGAACAACTGTAAGATATGATTTTATAAAACTAAATTTGTTGTATGTCAAAGGATACATGTGACTTTAAGTGACATGCAAAAGGCTGTGAATATTCACACAATAAACAAAAACTATAAATAATATCTTTAAGGAAGCAAAACATTTTGAAACAGTAAGTAGCAATCCCTTGGTTTAAAAGATGAGCCACACTGGTGTGCAGAATCTTCACATCCCACTGGTGACGAAGTAGAAATAAGACAGCGAACTAACCTACTACTGTAATATCGGTGAGATCATCCTATCAATGGTAGCCAGAGTTCTAAAGCAAGGGCGTGTTTATAAATCCCACTGACAAGGTACAGTAGCCAGTTCATGTTATAACAAGAAAGAGTTTCAACATTCTTTTAATTGTCTTCATCTTATGAGATTGAATGTGAAATGTTGGCCATAGGCTCATGCATTTGGATACATGGTCACCAGCTGGAGGTGCTGTCTGGGATATGCAGAACTTTTAAAGGACAGAGCCTCACTAGAGGAAGGGCATCACTCGGAGGGGTTTTGAGGTTTTACTTCACTCCACTTTCTGTTCTCTCTCTACTTCCTGATTGCTGATGTAATGAAACCAGACAGCCTCCTTCTCCTGAAGCCATGACTTGCCTGTCATGTGACCTGCATCCCCTGAAACCATAAGTCAGGCCAACCTTCCTTCTTTAAGGTGCTTTGATCAGGTATTTGTGTCAGCAATGAGGAAAGTAACTACCATCCCAGTTCTAACAAAAAATATGTACAAGGATGTACATAAGGATGTTCCCTAGCTACACAAAGAGACTATTTTAAAAATCTACATAGCAACAAAGCTTATTAAGTTCTATTTCTTCACATGAATTGTAGAACTAAAATTTTTGAACAATTTTTTATGATGCCTTGTTTTTGTATCTGAATTATTTCCAATGTATTCCTCTGGGATAACCTCCCTGTTGCATGGTATTTTTTACTGGACTATTTATTTCACACTGTATTTCCATTTTACCACTTTCCCAGCTATTGGGAAAAAATCTGACCCATTTCTCTTTACTCCCATTTCACAGGTTCAAAGTCTAGTAACAGAAAAGCTCCAAAACATTCTATTAACCAGAAGCTTATAAAGAAGAAGGAAAGAAAGAAAAACTTGGGGTGATATACAGATTCCAATTATCTGAACCTGCCTCTGCTCTCTGTTCTTCATTCACATTAATTATGGCATGTAGGAGAAAGGAACATTAATAAAATCCTTTTTAATTAAAAAAAGAGAGAGAGAGAAACTATCTTTATACTAAAAACTAAAAGTATTCCCATACTATTAAGATATTATGTTACAAATGGTTGTGGTCTATGGTCACATTTCTCTTTAAGGAATGGGGCTCATCTCTATTTATTAAGCAGGTCACATTTTAAAAGACGTGGAAAATGGTTTTCATGATCCTAATGCACAAATGTACTCTTTCAGTGACCCATGCACTTATACTCATGTTAATTTTTTTAAAATATTATTATGTATACAGTTTTCTGCCTGCATGTGTCCCTGCAGACCAGAAGAGGGCACCATATCTCATTACAGGTGGTTGTGAGCCATGATATGGGTGCTGGGAATTGAACTCAGAACCTCTGGGAGAACAGTCAGTGCTCTTAACCGCTGAGCCATCTCTCCAGCCCGTACTCACATTACTTAAAGTTAAATATTCATTTAATTCACACATACCCTTTGTGATCACTGTACATTCTATTCACTCTGTCCCACTTCGCATTCAGCTGAGTAAGCATGTCCCTGATCTGAAGGGCTTCAGGACCAGAGGCTTCAAGGATGACATCTGGCTGCTTCTCATGAACAACTGCAATCTGCTCTCCAAGTTTGTCCAGCTGATCTTTGATATTCTGCAAACATATCATCGTACGAAAGCAGAATCACGTAAAGTAACAAAAACAACAGAATCACAGATAAAGGTTTACATGTGTAACACTCATTTAAAATAACAGTGAGGCTAACTACTGTTGCAACGGGGGAATTTTCTATATATAAATCTATATTCTCCAAAATGTGAGAAATGCCACCATCACAATGGTGGAAGGGAAATGCCCTCCCAGATGTTCTGACTGGCTTCCAGGCAGGATGTAGGAAAGACTTTAGTAATATTCTATGAAGGTAAGGAAAGGCTTAGATCTGGAATTAGAGTTTTAAACACCTAATCACAGTAGCTTAAATGAGAAAATGAGTTATCAAATTCATCAAGCATGTCAGTTCTATCAGAGATTTTATTATGACTTTATATAGAAGTACATTCAAATATATGGGAATGAAACTTTCAAAGAACTGAAAACTTTAACTTGCAATCAATATACAATTCCACACCCAGGCAAGCAGCCAATCTTAAATCAATACGGATGACCTGACACCATTTGGCACAAGTGACAATCGGGCTTGTACCTGATTAAAATAACGTCTCTGCTGTTGCAAATAACTATGCATACATAAAAGTCCAAACTTACGTTTCTTTAAATTGGAAAAAGTAGTTATATCCCACCAGTACATACAGTAAGGCTTCACTACTTATACACATTATCACTAACTTGAAACAGTCAAGGACTTCAGCCATCTTAAATACAACAGCAACTTCCGTCTGAGTGTGGTGGTTCATACCTGTAACCCCAGCTCCCAACAGGCAAAGGGAGGAGGGATGAGAGCATCAAATTAGCCTGGGCCATCCAAGGAGGACCTGTCTTTAAAAATCAAGAGGGGACAAGAAGGAGGGACAGAGGAAGGAAGAGGAGGGAGAGAGGGGAGAAGGAGGGAAGAGGGAGGGAAAGAGGAAGGGAGGGAGGGAGGGAGGGAAGCCTTGCATTTTTTCTATACTTTTTCTATTAACCATGGGTACTGCAACTCAGCACTAACTTTTACCTTTAGAGAGTCCTCCTGGAAAGAGAAGTCTTCATAGACAGTGGTGTTCAGCTCAGGAATATTAAGTGATAATTCAATGTCATCCAGAGTGAGTAAAATTTTATTAATTTCAACCAGATAATCCGCAGGGAGGGCCGATGATGCAATTCCAGAAGACAGTGGAATTGTTTTCCTCTGCTGGATAGGGATTGCCTGTGAAAAAAAAATTCAAAGAAATAATGCAGGCATCTTAAAACCTCCCCAGGAAAGTAACAGCAAACTGGGGGGGGGGGGGAGGGTGGAGATTACAGGACTGTTGTATGGAAGCATTCAAGAATGTAAGAATGTCAACCAAAGTATCAAGAAATAAGGTGACTATGATCCAAATTATGTACATGCATAAAAATGCCATAATGAAACCATTATCATATAAAACTAGTAACTACTAATAAAGACATTATTAAATACAATTTTTCATATTTTAACCATTATTGCGACAGAAGTTCAACAAGCTCTATTTTAGCTTCCATTTGCCATCTGCTGCCATACTTGTATAAGTCAACGTCAACCCATGGCATCTACGTCTATCTAGCGAGCAGGAAGAACAACTACTTCTCTGAGTTGTGAAGAAAACAATTACGTTGTCCATCGTAAGTTCTCCAGGAAATAAACTATTTTGAGATCATTATTACATCCTCCTTCTACAATATCACAATTAGATTAAATACCTGTAGACCACACTACTCAAAACTAAAGCTAAACATGTTTCCCAAGCATACTCAATGGACACAGTGGCACACGCCTATATGTCTCATTCCCTGTGAGGCTGAGAAGAGGGGAGCCCTTGGTTCAAAGCCAGTGAGCACAACATAATGAGACTGGGTTTCAGTGACTGGTGTATTAATTAATTAATCAACACAAGAAATGCCACGAGGGTTTTGACTGAAATGATACCGATGTAACTTTGAGACAGCATTGCTGAGCACAGACACCTGATGGAGGTAGGCTAAAGCATCCTATAGTGCTGGACTCAGGCCTCCTCTGCTATGCTATGAAAATTCTGCATCTTCCACTCAGAATACAGCACTGTCTGAGATGAGGCTGCTTGCTCCTCTTTACTCCTTGATAGCCACAGTTTAATAAAGGTTGTCAACTACTTCTTTTTTTCTTTCTTTTTTGTTTTGTTTTTTGAGATAGGGTTTCTCTGTGTAGCCCTTGCTGTCCTGGAACTTACTCGTGGACCAGGCTGGCCTCGAACTCAGATCTGCCTGTCTCTGCCTCCCAAGATTGCCGATATACTGCTTTCAAATGGCCAGTGTTGGCTGCTGATGAGTTCAGGTAGCTTCCCTGATACATTTTTTTTTTCTTTTGAGAGAGGGTCTCATGGACACCATGCTAGTCTCCATTCTCTATATAGCCAAGGATAACCCTGAATCTCTGATCCTCCTGCCGCCACCTCCTAAGTGCTAATGCCACTAATATGTGCCATCACACCCATTGTACATGGTGCTGAGGCTCGAACCCAGGACTTCATTCACACAGGCAAGCACTCTGCCTACTGAGGCACATCCCCAGCCAAAGCTTTTGCGTCTATGCTTTATTTTTAGAATAGAGTATTCTTCTGTGAATTTCATAATGATAGTAACAATAACAAGTACATGTTTCTTCATTGAAGGATTATAATAATTTTCAAGATCTCTAAATGAAATGAAAATTCCAGGCTGCAAATCAGAGAAGCAGTAGCATGCTGTTGAACTTAAAGATCTGTGTACTCTGCCCTCTCAAATACAATTAGCCTCTGTTCTCATCATTCCTAGAGAGCCATGTTTGAAGCAAGTTTACAGTTTCCCTGAATCTATCAACAGAACTAGTTAGAATTGTTCCTAATAATGATTTTATTATCTTAATGCTCTATGTTTATATCTTATTCTGGAGGCATTTCTAGGTATGCACTCATTCAGTTAAGAAAGAAAATTCTATGTTCTAGCAAATATAAAAGAATGTCGAAGTAATTAATATCTCAAGCTTGGAGCCACTTCTAAATAAAAAGATGATAAATATTTTATAAATACTAAATATACTTGTAAAGCTTTTTTAGATTTCATTTAAAAGAGGCCAACCTGGCAGGGGTGAGGTCCCAAAATTAGGCTTGCTCATCCCTTTTCTCATCTTTAAGGATATAGAAAGCAATCCAATGAATGTATTTGCACATTGTGAACTTACGGACATCCTCCTGCTGCAACTTTCTGGCCATTAACCAGATCTGTTTCTCAAAGACCAATAGCAGCTGAAAGTCCACAAGGGCTTGGTTTTGGGTGGAGGGCTTTTATCTCTGTAGTACTTTTCCTCATTTCACATCACTGGATCTTACCATTCGAAACCACTGAAACACTTTCGCACCTCACTAACAAGTGGCAAGGCCAGGGCTCCTGAGCTGCTTCCTGGGTCACGTAACAGGCGATTATTCTGCAAGGCCACAGTGACCTGAGACTTTATAGTAAGCTGGGCAGATCAATAATAGCATTCTAAAGATCCAGATTTAAGCAAACAAGCAAAAAAGAATTCACATTCCTCAAGACAATCTCATCTACTACTCAGCTTAGGGTTTTTCTGTCGCTTTCTACTCTTTGCAGAAGCTCGGCAGTTCAAAATGTGCTTTTTACTTCCCAAATAGATTTTTCTCTCCGGGTGATCAATCAAAACGCCCTATGCCAAAAAAAAAAAAAAAAAAAAAAAAAAAAAAAAAAAAAAAATGTCCTCGAGATCTGACCTAGACTTTATTTCTGGATAATTTTATTTTTAAAACAGTAGAAGGGGAGAGGACTGTTTAAGGGAGAGATGAGGAGGACTAGGGACTAGGGGACAGGGAGGACTAGGAAGATGGCTCAGTGGGAGTTTGAATCTTTACCCCACATGTGCCTGTAACCCGTAGTGGGGAGAGGAGACAGGAGGATGCCAGGAGCTCACTGGCCAGTCTGCCCAGATGAAACTTTGAACTTCAGATTCAGTGAGGCTCTGTCCCAAAAATAAAAAATAAAAAACAATATAGGAAACTATCTAGTGCTCTCCTCAGGCATCTGCATGCCTCTGCCTTGGCCTCTGCCTCTGCATGCACACTCCCATGCATAGACCACACACCACAGTCACACACAGGCTGCTATGGTACAGAAATACAATGCCACATGCAGAATACTGAAATGAGATGATGTTCCATGGGGTGGCTCACATCCCACAACACAATCCACATAGATCAGAGTTTAACTGAATATCTATGAAGTCTTTCTACTTTGTTGTTATTGACCCATTAAGGCAGAAAAAAAAAACTGAAATGGAACAGAACTACTATTCATCAACTCTCTGAATGAAAGGCAAGTTTTAAAAATCCCAAAAGAAAACTACAGTCATATGTGGCTATACATATGTTAAAATAACTAAAAGACAAAACCCAACAAAATAATATTATTGAATTATAACACAGGGTAATATTTGTATTTTAGAAAGTGTTCATCTATTTCCTATTGTTATATAACTCAAATTTTTCAGAGTGTGTGTGTGTGTGTGTGTGTGTGTGTGTGTGTGTGTGTGTGTGTGTGTGCTTGTGCAGGTATACATGTGGAGGTGCACATATGTCATGGACAGGTGTGGAAGTCAATGTACCACTTTCAGATCGGTCCTCTCATTCCACCATGGCTTTCAGGAATCGCCTTCACATTGTCAGGACTGCATAGTCAGCATCTCTAACAGCTGAATCATCTCACTGACCCCATCTATAACTTCTTTATGTATATGTCTCTGTGTGTGGTGTGCGTGTGTGTCTGAGTGCACCTATGTACGCATGCATGTAGAAGCCCAAGGCTGCATTGGTCAGAAGTCTTCCTCTATCACGGAGGCAGAGTGTCTCATTTGAACCCAGCACTGACTGACATGACTCACTCAGCTAACCGGCTTGCCGAGACAGTTGTCCACAGTCTGCAGCCCAGTGGTTGCGGTTCCTGCTTCATGTGGCGTGATAAACAAGAAAATGGCTGAGAAGGGGACTGAAATCTCTTCCTTCCAGACAGATGGGATAGTTTGTAAGGGGACTGACTAAGTAAGGAAACACGCTGAAGTTCGAAGTGGACGGCAACTCCATTTTGGATCATACGACAAGGCCCATACAGACAGAGGCAGCCAATAGGCAGCAAGCCAAGGCACAGGAATCCACCCAGATTCCAAAGTGATCAAGTAAAATTGATTCCTGAAAGAACAGAGCCCCGGGGAGCATCACTTAAAACCACTCAGAAGATAATCAGGTAAGACAGTGAGCCGCGAATCCTACTCCAGAAAAGATGACATACTACCCCAGGTTCAGGAATTCAGATATTTAAAAACTTCAAATATTGATAGCATGGCCAACGCTCCCAAAAAGAAAACAAAGTAGGAATTCACTTCTGAAGGGAATGGAGACCTTGCAGCTTTCATACATGATCATAAATCCAAAAGAGATGACCAACAATAAGGTTTTAGATTTCTATTTCTTTGAGTAGTGCCCTATCTAAAAATAGAAACATATCTAGTAAAACACACTAGAAAGGAGGGGACTGCTGGGCTCAGGTGTAGCTCAGTGGTACAGAGACTGCCTAGCTAGCATATGCAAAGCACAGGGTTCAATCCCCAACTCTGGAAGAAAAAAAAAAACAGTACGTAATTAAACTTAAAAGGAAAGTGGAAGGAATAACATTATTTCCTAACGGGCTTGCTTGAAAGTGTCTTTATTCTATCGCTGGCCTGGATGGCACAAATGGGGTAAATTATTTCTTTGCTGCAGAGACCATCCTATCATACCTTCATTTTGTTGTAACGTGTATGCAGAAGTAACAACTGCAAACGGATCTTCTCTTTTTTACTGTCCTCCATCGGTTCATGTAACAAGTGTTCCCCTCTTCGGAGAACATCCTCAATCTGGGTTCTCTCCTCATCCATCTGAACGTTTAAAGAAAAAGAAAATGTACTCAAGACAAAAGTGCACAGACAGACTTCATACTCTCCAGTGCTCAGTGTGAGAACTAAGGTGTGAGACAGACAGAGTGGGGGTTAAGCTATATCAGCCTGGATGATCCAACTACTTGGGATTTTCTTCAAATCCTTTATATTTGAAAATAAAATATCCCAAGCCAGTTTATCACACCTTAGCTAATGATTACTTTTAGTCAGAAAGTATAGGGTGTATATGAGTCACTGGGATTCTTTTATCATCATCAACATCATCATCATCATCATCATTTTGTTTGTTTGAGAGTAAGAGTTCATGAAGTCCAGGCTAGCCTCATACTTGCTACATAGCTAAAGAAGACCTTGAATTCCCATTCCTCCCGCATCTACCTCCCAAGTGCTGGGATTAGAGGAGTGTGCCACCACGCCGGGTTGTATGTGAACTTCAAGCGTTACAAGAGTCACTTGACGGCTTTGACAATGACCGTCATAAATCACATCTGGATTTTTTCAGTTACATGTATCAGGTCAAGCAAGTAAATCCACATTGTTAAAAGAGAAAAGGAAAAAAAAAAGAAGAAGAGTAGGGTTTAAAAACAGCCCACCTTTTCCTCATCATTACTGGAGTCCAAGTGTTTATCCACAACTTTCAACATGTTTTCTATGTCATTTTCTAATCTTTCCAAGTCAGAGAAAGACCTGGCACCTTCAACAGTTCCAGCGGGGCCAAAGCATTGGTAGGATGAAGGATCCTGGCCAATCAGCATCTAGGAAAGAGAAGAGGCCAATGGAGTGAACTGTTGACTTGCTTTTCCAAACTCATCCTGAAAGGCAGGGGGGTGGTGGGGGGGGGGGGGGGGGGGAGGACGGGATAGACAGTAGGAACCAGCACTTATTTGACATGACTTTAATGTCATTCATCATAGAAGAAGGATTTTTGGCAATCTGGGCTTCTTAGAATTACTCATTTTTCAACCTTGGATCAGGGATATGAGGTGTGAGTTGACTATGGGTTGACTGTGGTTGCTGGGATTACAGTATGGCAGATGCCAAGGTGAACAGCCTGCAGGAAATAGGGCCATGATCCAAGCCATCCCTGCCACAGGCATGAAAGGAATGATGGTCTGCCCTCACCCAGTGCAAGGACACCCTAGAGAATGCCTCCCTTACATGTTCACCAGAAGAATTCCCTTTGATATTTTGATACTCAAACTTCCAAGAAGATTAATATTTCCAAATGCCACATTTTCAAGTCTATACAGAAAAACTTCATATTCAGGAAAATGAAAGTTAGAATAGTAATTTTAATAAAAATAAATGAAGAAAAGTAATATCCAGGGACGGGCAAGTATGAGGAAAGCAACACTCTCATATCCTGAGTACAGAGGCTCAAACTGCAGACCTTCTATCAGCCCATGCTGAAAGCCTTGGGAACAGCCCTTGTACAATAGCTGCAGTTCAATGAATTCTAAACTCTGATGCCAGCAGATACAAATAAGATAACTAACGAACACAACATTCCCAAGGGCCCACAACACTCATAAGATCAACTTAAGGAATTATAACAGACCATAGATTGTTACCATGAAAATCCATTTCAAGGGAGCATGTACAAAATGCTATAAAAATTTTATATGTTAGCATCATGTACCTACCAATGAGTAAAAATAGTTATGCGATAGAAATTGTTTATAAAGGTCAGTTGGGGGACAATGCTAACTTTCTTTCTCTGTTCCTTCTCTTACCCTACTCCTCTGGAATCGTTCCTAATGTCAAAAAAATATTCCCATGAATCTATTAAAAAAAAAATCAAATGGCCTCCAGTTCAGACAGTGAGGAGGAAGGCCAAGAATAAAGGAGATAAAAGCTAAAGCAGGGTCTTGCTGTGTTGTTTTCAGTTGTGAATAATTATATTCCTGAGCACGGAAAGAAAATTTATTTGGCCCACTATACCAGATATTTTAAATTAAAGCAAGGTTAGATAATACCTATTTCCTACACACATATAAAACCAAACAGGCTTTTCTCTGTGTTATTTCAATGTATAACTGTCAAGAGGTTGAATTGAATAGATTTTTAAAGTGCCATCACATGGGCACAGTTGAGATCCTGAAACACTCAGCATCCTGTGATTCCTCAGGATGGGCATCTAAGGTTCACCATATTCTCCCTCGGCACCATCAAAATGTTTTCAAGTTTTCCATTTCACATTCCTGAGGCTCCTACTCTGTGCCAGGCCTTAAGAACTCTCCAGTAAAACGTTTCTCCGCCTCTCCTCTTAAAATAAGGATGAAAAGGGAAAGAATGGGAAAGATACACAGGGAGCTGAAGAAATAATAACATAGCGGTATAAGCGCCTTTCTTTTGTAAAGAAAGTTGTTATTCATTTTTGACCCTCATTTTAATTGATATGGCTTTTTTTGAATTAGTAAATACAGGAAGCACATCTCTCCATGAACTATAAACTGAGTTACTTATAACATTTAAATCTGTCAACATATAAACACTCTCTCTCTCTCTCTCTCTCTCTCTCTCTCTCACACACACACACACACACACACACACACACACACACACACACACACACACACACGAAAAGGATGAGTTCAAGATCAGGGATTGATCATCATATCGAACCTGGGAACTGACTTCATTATTTCTCTCCTATTCCTATCCCAACCGTCAGCTGACTCTGAAACCTGTTCTGAGTTATTTGCTCAATAATACTCTTATATTAATAATCACACATAAATAACACCAACTGCTGTGCCAAAAAGCTATTAAAATTCATTTTACTTTAAAACTTAATAGGTTGGCACAAAATGATCTACCATTTAGACGTATACCCATGGGGAAAATGGTATTCTATAAAAATTCCAGGACTCACCTGGGCACTGTTGATGTGCTGGGACACCTTCTCAAAGTTTCTGTTCAGCTCAGCTAATTTTGGTTCTACAAGTTCCCTGCTGGCACTTCCACGTGCGTTCATCAAGATGATGGCTTGTTCGCGAACATTCTCAACCTGGAGGTTGACATCATCCAGCTCAGACAGTAAGCGCTGATGGCATAAAAAACAAATAAATAAATCATTACAAGGGAAAAGTCAAAACGAATATGGGTGTGATGCTTACTACGATTAAAGGTATTTGAAATAAACATCTGGGATTGTTAGGAAGACATTTCAGCATCATCAACCAGAGGAAGAACTGGTCACAGAAAATCCATGGGCGACCTCAGTTTCTCCAAATGTTAAAAAGTAAACTGCATGAGAACCCCCCACAGCACAAGAGAACAGACTACAGCATATTATCCCACGTGACTCTTGAGGTTGACTACCTTCACGATTTCCTCCTGTTTACTCGCTGGTTTTTTTTCAATCTCATCCAGTAGAGCTTCGGCTTGATAAAGCCAGGTACTGATGTGAGCAACATGCCCATCAAATATCTCCAGCTGATTCTGATGGTTCTACAAAGGAACAAAATAATGTTGACACAACTAAATGAAATATTAGGATGATGATCTTAGGAGAGATTTTAAAGGCCATCAAAGAGCACAATGTGTGTCCCATAATCATAAACAACAAAGAACAATAGTGTTTGCTACATACTTTTACTTAGTTGGCTTGTTTCTGGTTTGGGATTTTTAAAGAGAGGGGTTAATACTTTACAGTTCTGGGGTTCGAACATAGGGCCTCATGCACTACATGACTGAATATATCCCCAGCCTTCTTTTTAATTTTTATTTTGAGACAAGGTCTCACTAAGTTGTCTAGACTATCCTTGAATTTATTCTGTATACAGACTTTCAACTTGTGATCCTCCTGCCTCAACCATCCAAGTACCTGATATTACAAGCCTGGGCCACCAGATCCGACTTTTTTGAAAGGGAACGGGGTAGTGTTTTTTTTTGAGACATGGCTTTCCTATGTAGGTTGACCTTGAATGCTAGATAGTCCCATCTTGGTCCCTAAAGTGCTGGGATTACAGGTGTGCATCTCCATGGCCAGCTTTAGTGATGCACTTTTCTCTACATTGATGTGTGGTGATGTATCATATTACATAATTTACCTAAAGTTTTATGGAATAGGTCATGGACTGGGACACAAACCTCTGGCCGATCAAGACCTAAGCACATAACCTTCCCTGCCCTACATATCCTAACTGATTTGAAAAAATATTCAACAGATGATTTATTCTTTTATCTATTTCTACCCATTACTAGGGAATCATGTAAGTTAAAGTCCTATAAGCTATGTCAGAATAAAATAATAATTTGTAAATGATAACTCTCACTTCAGAGACTGGGGCTGCCATATTGGTAGAAAAGAACCAACAAACACTATGAAAATGCAATGGTCATAATGATCATAATCATAAAAATATTTTTAAATGGGATAATTAACATATTTCTATAGAATACCACTACATTTTTAAGTCATTTAATCATCATAAAATCATACAAGGTAGAAATTATAATAATGCCAACTTCATAGATGAGAAAAAGAAAAAATAGAGTTTTTAAGTAACTACACTGAAGTAAAAGTCAAGAATTTTATAGGCATCATCATTTGTTATAATCTTTGCTCTGAGCTAGTGAACGACTAAGACATTGCAATACTGTATACAATGTATATACAATATATGCATGTATGTGCATATACATAGTGTATATTATTATAATAACTAAGTACTATATGATATAATTAAAATAAAAGTATATTTACTAAAATATTAAATAATACAGCACCTATGTTTAGCATGAATATTTTACTTTCATAGAAGTATTGTAAATTCTTCCGTGTGATACCTTTTCAATAGAAAAATAAAATACATACAAATAAAGTTAATTCACAAGCAAAGGAAAACAAAACCAGGACACACAGGAAACAGATCTGGAAATCTGATAATTCAGATCTGCACTAAACATAATCAGGAAGAGAAGACATCACCACTGATGTGTTCAGGCAACATACCAGCAAGGTGTTACACCAGTCCTCGGTCCAGGTGCGGACTCGGCTCCACCCAGCATTGAGTGTACAGAGATTCTCTTCTAGAACTGACTCGCTGCCCGAGACCAGGTGCTGAAGGGCAGCACTACTCTCAGTAATGGTGTTTAAGTCAGCCTTTCTCTTTTCCAGATCCTTCAGAATATTCTAGGAAAAAAAAAAACTCACTTAAGTTTCACTCCAGGATGGGAACTCGCACGTGAATGGAATTTTACCAGGAAAGTGCACATGCATAGAAATGCACATGTATAGAAATGCACATGTATAGAAATGCAATGTGGTGAAAAATGCAAAATCTCCTGAAAGCAGCATACAGAAGCACCTCCTGGCATTGCTTCTTTTAAAAACTGTTGCTCCTTATTTCAAGAATTAATTTTAAGCTTTATATTTATTTATATCTGTGTGTGTGTGTGTGTGCGCGTGCGCGCGCGCTCACGCATGTGTTCCCTTGAGGCCAGAGGTGTCAGATCTTCTGGACCTGGAGTTACAGGCAGATGTTGGATCCTGAGAATGAAATACTGATTCTCTGCTAAGAGTAGCAAGAGCTCTTAAGCACTGAGCCCTCTCTCCAGCCCAGTGGTACACGTTCTTAAATCAACATTTAAAGCAATCATTTCAAGGAATTCAAGTCCTTATGTGAACATCGTTTAAAAACTCACATTTCGGGAAAGATACAAATCACAAATCTAAAACTGAATCAAGGTTTAAACACTGTCCTGGTCATGACACTTTTAAAATGCACACAGATATTTCCTGCACTCACTCTCCTCCAGCAAAGTGAGTGGAAAAGAACTTCAGACATGCTGTGTGTACTTCAGAATTGCTGTACTCCTTCAGTGGTTATGTCTTGACTGGCTAGAACTGGCTGAAAGAACCATAAGAAACAACTACAGATAAGTAATTAAGTTTAAATAATATATCCATGATCCTAGTGGGTTTTATGATAAAGAAAACTGAAAATAAAATTTAATGTATGGGATAAAATTCCCACTTAAGTTCACTAATAAAAATGCCACTTAAACTTTAATTTTAAATATTGCACATAATATTTAAGTGAAGAAACTAAAAATGTTATAAGATAAATGCGTTCCTTAAATCTGAAAACATATCATTGAAAAGGCGGTGGTTATGTTTCATACCAATGTTCCTCCCACTCCACTGACAAGAATGTGCTGTGTGGTTTGTATATTCCAACCTCACCATTTCAAATTTGTAAGACGATTAAGTGAAAATTCACAAGAGGCAAGCTCACCATTATATAGAGTCTATCTTTAAAAATGATATTTTACAAAAAATGAAACTTGTAAGACCAGAAAGGATCAAATATTAATACAGACAACTCAACATCACCCATTATATATACATATGTACATATATGCAATTAGTAAAAAAAAAAAAAAGAAAGAAAGAAATGTTCACATTCACATGGTAATAAAATAAAATAATATATAATAAGTATACAGGTATATATGCAAAATGTTTATAAAGGAAAAAAATCAAACATATGGCAAAGAAAGATTTAGGGGGTGAGGAAAATTGAAACATAACATTCTAATGAGGATTTAAGCCTTTCATGGTGGTTCATGCTGGTAGGATATGCTGAAGGCACAGAGGCAGGAGGATCTCCAAGGTGAGGCCAGCCTGGGCTACACTTGGGGCTCAGCAGGGAAAGGCAATTGCTGTGCAAGTCTGGAAACCCAAGTTCAATCCCTGGAAACCTCGTGAAGGTGGAAAGAGAAAACCAAACTCTGGAAGTTACTTTCTGACAAATGTTTGTTTAATTTTGAAAAGATTTAACAAGGCAGGCAGAATACTTGCATGGCATCTCTCCAGCTGTGCGTGACACACACACAAGCCAAAACATAAAGTCTCATCTAACAAATCTATAAATTGGGACTAAATCAACACAAAATTTCTTCTGCAAATTTGGGGACCATTCCTATAAAAGCACATCAACCACAGAGTCATAAAGACAAGGACCCTTTTGTGAGATAAAATAGACACCGAAATGAGAGCGCTCAACAGCTTTGGAACTGGAGGAGGGGATCGGGTCGGAACTGTACAACAGAACACAGCAAGAGTCTGTCAACTCCACGTTAGACTGGAGGAAACGAACTCATAGCTCGATAAACGATGCCGGCACCATCGGTTAGTTATCTGAGAAGACGTTCAGAGCCTTTCTCTTGATACACAACAACTTAAACTCTAGAAGGATTAAAGCATTAAAGGTTGAAAGGATGAGACTACAAAGGATCGTGAAGGAACTACAGAACCTCAGAGCAGAGCCAGCAGTTGTGAAACTTAAGACAACAGCAACGAGAATCCGATTATTCCTTTCCTTAAAAAAATACTCAAGTGTTTATTTAAGAAAATTAAAGGTCAGAAAGTCAACTCTAATGGCAAAGAAAGGGATTTTTTTTCTAATACTACACAGCACGCTAAGCATTACTAAGCCTAACAAAGAAATCTAAATTAAAAGACTAATCTGGGAATTTTTTAAAATGGTCAAAACTACAGGAAAATTATTTTTCAGAAAGGGCTGCAGGTGGCCTATAAGCTTTGGAAAAGTTCTAATTAAAATAAATCAGTGATGGGGCTATCGTACCACTGTCAAATGTGTTCTCAAAGAACAAAAACAAACAAACAACAACAAAAACCGGCAGGAACTGATGCACAAGTGGTACCTCAAGTGTCCCTAAAGGACAGACTCACAGCACGCATTTTAAAATGGGTGTCTTCTTCAGCCTGAGAATTTTCAGGCTGCTAAAACACACTCAGGAAACAATTACAGAATGCTGAGATTCAGCTACGGGTCTATTCTTCATAGAACTGTACATAATAATGAAAATAGAGGGAGGGAAATTAAATAGCCAGGAGTGGAGGAACAAGACAATAAAAAAATAAAACAACTGAAACACTATACTCGTCTCTAATATATAACAGAAAAACAGAGGTTAAAAAGGAAAAACTTTTCAAGATCACAATAGCTTTTGTTTGACTTTAGTTTGGGTCCAAAGCTCAAATTGCGACTCCAGCAATTCCCAAAGCCAAGGAAAGTATGTGATTTATGTGAAATGGTGAACACCAAAGATTTAGTAAAGAAAGAAATGGGCCCAGGCCTGATCACATTTGCCTGTAATCCTCACATTCGGGAGGCTGAGGCATCAAGAGTTCAAGGCCACTCTGAGCTACATATTGAAACCCAGTCTAAAAAGAAAGGATGGCAGGGAAGGGACTGAGGGGAGAAGAGATAATTCAATGGTGGACGAGAGGGAAGAATTATTTTCAAAGTGTACTGAACAAAGTTATCATATTTTCTTGGATTTAACCAAATCAAGTTTGGCCCTTTCCTTTTTCAATCATGCAGAATGCACTGGTGACCTTCAGTGTTCTTCATTTTCCTTGCACACCCCTCTCCACTTCTCATCCTCATACAACCCAATCCCACCCTTTCTCCACTCCTCATCCCTCACACAACCCAATCCCACCATCTCTCCACTCCTCATCCTCACACAACCCAATCCTACCCTTTCTCTACTCATCTTCATACAACCCAATCCCACCCTCTCTCCACTCCTCACCCCTCACAGAACCCAATCCCACCATCTCTACACTCCTCATCCTCACAGAACCCAATCCCACTCCTCTCTCCACTCCTCATCCCTCACACAACCCACAACACAGTTACCCTTCCCAGGAGCTGTTTTCTAAACTTGAGTATTCTTTCCAGTGTGACAGCCTGACTTTCTCCCAAGTGTCCCCTCCACAGAGTGTTCAAGCAGGTGAGACCTGTGTTACTCAGCTACCTCAGAGTCCCTTCTCATGGAGGTCACAGGAAACATGTACAGAGGACACTCAGAGAGACTTTGTGTAACACACATTTCTGTAGCCATTGTTTACCCTCTGCAGTCTCTCAGGCACACCTGCCTCTTTCATATGAAGCAAACTGAGGAAAACAGAAGCCCCACCCCCACCCCACCCCTGTTCAAAAGCAAGAAGGTGCAAATTAACCCTTTATTCCAAATAGCTAGAGGACTAAAGGAAACTGTCGTGTGGATTTTTCTTTAAGTTATGTGATTATGATGATCCCTGCATTATTTATTTTGCATTATGTAGCTAATTAGTATAAAAATTATTATATATAATGCAAAGACTGAATAGTGGGAGAAAGTGTCATGGATTTTCAAGGTGTTTAATCTTTTTTTTTTTTTTTTTGGAGACAGGGTCTATCCACATAGCCCTGGCTATCCTGGAACTCACCATGTAGACCAGCCTGGCCTTGAACTCACAGAGATCTTCCTACCTCTGCTTCCCAAGTGCTGGAATTAAAGGTGTGTGCCACCATGATCAGCTAAGGTGGTTAACTTCTAATATAACATTTTCAAATATCACCTAAGCACAATGTGTAAAGGGCCTCAATGATCCATTTGAGTTTAATGCTTGTGGAAGGAAGGTGAAGTCTTTGTTGGGCTGCAGGGGTAGCTCAGTGGTAAAGTGCTTGCTGAACAATAATGGGGACCTGAGTTCAGACGCGGGGCACACATGTAAGAAGCACATGACTGTAATTTCAACACCAGGAAAGTAGAGACAGGAGCACGTTAGCAAGTCAGTCTAAGCAAATCTGCAAACTTTGTGTTAAAAAATGAGCTTGTCCCAAAGAAAGCAACTACGAAGGACATCTGATGTCAACTTCAGGCCTACATACACACACACACACACACACACACACACACACACACACACGCACGCACGCACGCACGCACGCACTCACACAGAGTACACATACTCACAAACACACACACAGTATACACACTCACACACATCCATACATACACACACATCCATACATGCAAATACACACACACACACATACATACATGCACGCATGCACGCACAGAGTACACATACACACACACGCACACGCACACGCACACACACGCACACGCACACGCACACACACCATACTGTTAAAATGGTTGCTTTTACTGAGCATAGTTGCACATGACTATAATCCCATCATTGAAGAGCTGAGGAAGATGAGCTGCTGCAGATTTAGAGCCATCCTGTGATACACAGTGAGCACAGGGCTAGCCCAGGCTACAGAGAGAAACCCTCTCTGGAAACAAACAAATTGTATTTAAAGTGTTCTTCCCAGAACAGAACAACAGGAGAGAAGGTAATGGAGAACAGCAGAGGCTACAGTTAATACGAAATGGAGACAGCGTTCACCCAGACTGGCCCAAACCAACGCTACAAGTGTGACACCAGCAGTCCATCCCAAGTGAAACTCACTTTAGCCCAGGAGATTTCTGTGTCCAGGTCACCAATGACACCTTCTGATGTGGACTTCTGCACCAGTTCTGCCTCTGTGGCAGAAAGCCATTCAGAGAGGACGGTGGCTTCCTTCTTCATCTTCCGGGACAGCTGAGAGGCTCTTTCCAGGTCCTGCTTCCCTTCGGTCACCTGAACAAGGTGGGAGGGGGAAGGACATGGTGAGTAAGTCAAGGATGAACAAGGGGTCAAGGATGAACAAGGGGACCAAGGACATACTGAGTACGTCAAGGATGAACAAGGAGTCAAGGATGAACAAGAGGTCAAGGATGAACAAGGGGATCAAGGACATATTGAGTAAGTCAAGGATGAACAAGGGGGCCAAGGACATGATAAGACAAGGATGAACAAGGAGCCAATGACACCGTAAGAGAAGTATGACCATGAATGAGGACAAACCCAGAAAGGATGCAAACTGGCTCATAGTCAACCCCAAGACATCCGTGACCTTCATCTCCATCACCTCAGCATCACCCGGGTCTTGCATTTGCATATGTTGTAGTAGCGAGTGTTGGGAAATCCTGGGCTGCGCACACCAGGCTCTACCACTCACTTCTGTGCTGGAGGAGGCAGAACCCGGCCCCAAGACTGTTCTAAGAACTATGTGAGGGAAATGCTTACACCAGGGACTTGGCTCAGGCCTTGGAGCAAAGTTAAGAAACCAATCATCAGTGCATATTACAATTTCAATGAGAAGATGGCTTAGCATCCTCTCCATTTGAAAACATATATACAGTGGGAGGCAGCCATGTGAGGGAGAAAAAGCACTATTTTCCCAATTACATGGTTTATTGCTAACCATGAGACTTTTAAAAAAAGCAGTGGATGATTATACACCATGAATCTTATTGTTTTCTTCTTCTAAAGCAAAATAAATCAACTAACATTCATCAGACTCTTTTTTTTTTCCTAATGGGCACTCAGTACCCCAGGTTGACCTCTAACTCACTATGTAGCTGAGGATGATTTTGAACTTCTGATCTTTCTGCCTCCATCTCCTGAGTGCTGGGATCATAGACGCAGTCACCATGCCCCATTCATATGGTATTGGAGATTGAGGTCAGGCCTTTGAGCCTGCTAGGCAAGCAGTCTATACCCTAGCCCCTCATCAGCCTCTTCATACAGACTCCAGGCTGTGCTAATGAATCTTACATGTGTCATGCAATAAAACACCACAACAGCTTCTGAGATAAGCAATACTCTTCCCACTTTCCACATAAAGGAAGGTGGAATTTAAGGAGGCCAAGGCCAAATAAGGAGACATTAATTTAACAGATCTAACCCCTTAAATGACATGATGGTATTAAACCAGAGCCATGGCTCAAAACAGAAAGCAGAGAGAATTCAACTCCCTTAGGGGGCATGGCTACCTAACACATAAATCAACTGACATCTGACTTTGATAAGCACAAGTATACAGATAATAAGAGGCAGGGGATGGTATGCCACATTTGAGATGAACTTTTCTTAAATGATATACAATGACAGAGAGACCAAATTTAGTTCAAAGGTAACATGGGATCACACTTCATTTCTCTCACTCCTTTGGTACAGTTTCACTTTTTATGCCCAAACAGTTATTACTAATTTTTTTAACTGAAATATTTTCCCATGGGATTCAATTAAAACATGTAACACTAAATTAATAGCACCTGAATGCAGATGTAAATGATAAACACTTGAATTACATGATGATTCTCTGAGTTTGACATGCCCAAACAGCTATACAATCATCATCAAACTTAATGCTAACAAAGATCTGTGTATCAAGAAGAAAACAAGTCATACGTCAACTTATAAGGACACACACAGACCAATTCTCTACTTTTATCATATGACCAAAGCTGTTCTCCTACAATGTGGTTCTATTTCCTGACTTCTCACACATCCTTTGCTAAATTCAGTAACAACCCAATGGCAGCAGATGGACCCAACGGACATTTTTTTAATGTGATCACAGTCATCACAAAAAAAATGATTGAACTCATTGTTGAAATACTACCTCCCGTCGCTACCCAGATTTCATCCCTACGGTACTCATATCACATCTGTTATCTTGCTACTTATTTTAAAGCTCCTTTGGTTAATTCCTAATACTTAGTCAATGACCTCAGTTTTTCCCTCACCATATCCTCTCCCTAAATAATCTCATTAGTCCTGAAAACTTTACCACCTATATGGAGATGACTCTGAAAATCCACCTGTTCAGCCCAGATGTCCTCTCTAGATCTCAGTACAGCGATTCTCAACTTTCATAATGCTATGACCCTTTAACACAGTTCCTCATGTTGTGGTGACCCCAAACCATAAAATTATTCCATTGCTACTTCATAACTGCAATTTTGCTACTGTTATGAATCATAATTTAAACATCTGTGTTTTCAAAAGGTCTTAGATTACCCCATGAAAGGGACATTTGACCCTCCCAAAGGGGTCACAACACACAGGTTGAGAACCACTGCCTTGGTGCCTGCATAAGTACTTGACATCTCTCTCAAAAGGAGTTAGAATAGCTAGGTGGTGGTGGTGCACGTCTTTAATCCCAGCAGAGCCAGGCAGATCTCTGTGACTTCAAGGTCAGCCTGGTCTACAGAGTGAGATCCAGAACAGGCACTAAAACTACACAGAGAAACCCTGTCTCAAAAAACCAAAACCAAAAAAAAAAAAAAAAGGAGCTAGAATGTCAAAATATCAAGCATAAGCATATGATTTCTGCACGCCTCTCAACCTTTCTTTCTATCACCCCAATGCTCCGTGATGGCACCACAGTCATCCATGGAAGCACACCTAAAACATAAAGGCCATGCCTTATCTCCCCCTCCCCTCTAACAACAGGCTATTCTATCACAAATACATTGACGTCACGTCCTACAGGGGTCTGAAGTCAATCCATTCTAATCTCCAACCCCAAACCCACTCCAGCCACCACCACTTCTCACTAAGAGCACAGGATGGTCCCAGCTGGTCTCCTCACAGTCATTCTCATTTCTCTCAATGCAGCTTCCCAACTGAGATAGAGGCTGGAGAGATGACCCAGAACTCGCTATGCATGCATGAAAACCCAAAATCCATCCCAACACCATGCAAAACACCTGACATAGTTGCACATTTCTATAACCCAGCAGTGTAAGAGATGAAGTTGGGGTGGTATCTGGAGACTACCGAGCTGTATCTGTAGACTAGTAAGGACTACCTACCATCTAACATTTACTAGATCAGTAGACTAGTAAGGACTACCTACCATCTAACACTTACTAGATCAGTAGACTAGTAAGGACTACCTACCATCTAACATTTACTAAATCAGTAGACTAGTAAGGACTATCTACCACTCAACATTTACTAGATTGGTAGACTAGTAAGGACTATCTATCACCCAACATTTCCTAGATGCTGACATTAACACACCTCAGTAAACTATTCATTTTAGAAATCCAAAGCAAGTAAGATTTTTACAGTAACTATTACTTTGTTGAGTTTCCTTAGAATAACTTATAAAATGTCATCAACCATGGAAAATATAAATATTGTTCTGTATTAAATATTAAAAATGTCTACACAACTACTAACAATTATACTATTAATATGCATGTAAAGAATAAAAATATGATAGATATCGAGAGAGGGAGAGATGGAGAAATAGAGAGATAGGAAGGGGGAAAGAGAGAAATGTCCCACCTGTGCACCCAGGTCATTGTAGAGAACTTTCAGGAAAGTCAGCTGCTCGTCCATGCCTTTCGGGTTGTCCGTCTGCTGCTTCTGGACAATGTGCCTCCCGGTTTTGATGACAGTCTCAACTTCGAGTTTGACTTCACTCAACGTTTTATATAGTTTCTTCAAAACAGAGGAACATTTTACATTGTCAACAGAAAAGTCCCCAACTGGCATCATTTCAGAGCACAACCTCTATGGCTGGGTAGCTAATCCCTCACCCCAGACATCAAAGGGCATTATCTTTCTCAAATGTGGTTTGAAGGTTGAGCCAAGTGAAGTCAAGGCTGTAACACCTTTTCAAATCAGATAAGACAGCAAATTAACAGCGTTTGGTTTTGTTTAAATATAAAACAGGATGTGTGTATTAAATGTCAGTAGAAATCCTGGCATTTGTCATAACCATGTTTCCTTCAAAAACTAGGGAAACAGCAGGAGGTGAATTGGAATGTCTCTGTGTAGAACGACACTGTAGGGCTGGCAGACTTCTCAATAGGAACACACAGGCTTACTAAGCACATGGTCCTTGGTTCAATTTCCTGCACCCAAAGAATACTTTTATAATTCTAACACCATGACTAGAAGACAGCTAACCCTGATGATCTGAGCCTGAAGGAACGTGGAATCCCTAACACTTACTTGTCTATTTCTCTGAGAAAGCAAACAAACCTACCATGAGTGTAATCTACATCCTGCAAATATACATAAAACTTTAAAGTACCAGGGTGGACATGATTCTATGAAACAGGAGTTCAACAACATGTCAATCCCAAACGGCCTTCATCCCTGTCACCTTGACCCCCCAAACTCTGTCTAGGCAGCTTATCCATATATCAGCATCCAACCCAAAACACCTCAAGGACACAAAGCCAGTATCTTGATGTCAACAACAGTGAGTGATGTCTGCCACTCTATCCCAAAAAGTAAAGAGATGCTTACAACATTTGCATGTAATTCAAATGTGTCCTATCCATGTACTCTTCCCCCCCAACACACAAAAACAAGCAGTGGAAATGATGGCCTCAACAAGCACCAGTATCTCCTCCTGACCTCCTCTCAAGAGACTGCCAGGCATACAATAAGGCTAAGTTCAGATCCTCTCACCAACATCATTTAAAATTTTCTGTTCAACTAACTACAAAGAATGAAAGAGTAAGGTCTTATCATTCCTTTCTTCCCATCTTGTTTAAACTTTGACTTAAGTGTCATTTTCCCGGAAGACCTTTTTTTTTAACTCTATAATATTCTTGATATCCACATTAGATATGGTATGTCTAGTGACTTCAAACTTATTATGGAAGGTTTAGCTTATCAGTGCATCCTACAGAGGTTCTGCCCACTTCATGTTGTGACTTACGCGTTTGTTTTTTAACACATGTTACTTATGTGCTTAATCTACTGCCTTTATCTGCCCAGACCATAACCCCTGTTTTCACCACCTATTTCTCTTCTATCTTCTAATTTTCCTGGGAAAGCTATTTTTCTTATTTTTTTAACATGTTCTCCATCTTTCACAAGGACAGAACAGATGCTCTGGACTAAACCGTAAGAGCAGCTCCAGCCATGTGAGCTGCCTCTCCGGCTCACCATGCACTTGTCCAGGTGGGTCTGGATGACATCAGGGTCCACATCCTTCACATCCAGGACGTGAAGCTCGGCTTTCACTCCATCCAGCACACGCTTGCAATCAAGCATCCGCTGCTCGAAATTCGCAGGCTTCTGGAAAAGCTGGAACTTTGTGGAAACCTCTCGAAGTTTCCTCTGTTTGTGGAAATGGGAGTAAGCCACTCATGATCTCTTCTACTCGATAACACAGAGTGCTGGAAGGCTTTTCAAAATATAGGCCAACCTGGGAAACCCCAGAGGAACTAGGGAGGTTCTGATCACGTAAAGGAACTGCTCAGTGCCATGGATGAACAACACCTAATATCTCAATCTCAAATTAATAAATCTGGATAGAGATGGTGTCTCTGGAATGAAAGTCTATGAATTTTCTCACTTGTTCAAGAAACTCTAGTTCACGAACATAGACCTTTGGCCATAAGTTAGGAGTGGAAGTGCCTTTGGGCACAAGTTAGGAGTAGAAGTCATTCTTGTACCACCCACTAAGCACCTGAGTAGTACTGCATCCTACCCAGCAGCCTCTGTGGTCAGAGAACGGTCTACACAAAGCCAACTGCTAGGCCAAACTCACTCTCTCTTCTCAATGCAACTATTAAAACTCAATATTTTGTTACCCAGTTTGCTTCTGCTGCCATGGGATGCAATGAACCCTTAATACTCCACTCACACTCCATATTTGCATCACGGTACAGAGCAAAGGTCCCAATGAGCCCTTAATACTCTACTCACACCCCATTGTTTGCATCACAGTACAGAACAAAGGTACCCAGTGAGCCCTTAATACTCCACTCATACCCCCATTGTTTGCATCATGGTACAGAGCAAGGGTACCCAAGGAATCAAGCCTTTCTCTTTTGCTTTTCTATACCTGCCATATATAAAAAGCAAAGGGAAAGCCTGGTCATCACCTGCAGCATGTCCATCTGACTTCCTCCTCTCGTGGTCCTGCCCTCAGGGGAGGTCGGAGGCTGGGAGCGGAGATTCCGTCTCAGCTCCTCCAGCGTGAGCTCATGAGCTGAGATCTCTGCTTGGATCTTCTACCAGGAGGATAAGAAAGGGAAAGGGGGTGGTGTTTTTAAAGTACACAAAGAAGCCTGGGGTAGTGGTTCATGCTTGCAATCCTAGCACTCTGGAGGCTGAAGCAGGAGGATTGCTGTGAGTTTAAAGTTGATCTCGGCTACATAGTAAGTTCCAGGCAAGCATGAGCTACAGAATGATATCCTGTCTTTATACAACAACAAAGTACACAAAGAAATAATAATACAGAAGTTTGATGTAGTCATAGGATACATAATCCTGTATTTGATACACTGTAATAAGCTTGGGGATACATGACAATAACATAAACTTTGGTGCTATAAACTACAGTGTGTCTTTGCATGTCATTTCTGTTGTTCACATCTGATTTATACAGAATATACTGTCTAAACTCTATAGCTAAATAATAATAATTAATAATAATAATAATAATAATAATAATAATAATAGGCCATTTCTAATGTAGAAAATGGGAGAGAGGAGCTGGAGAGATGGCCCAGCTGTTAAGAGCACTAGCTGTTCTGCCACAGGATTCATTCAATAGGTTCATTTCCCAGCACCTACACAGTGCTTTACAACATTCTAACTCCAGTGCCAGGGCATTCAATGCCCTCTTCTAGAATCTGCAGGCACTAGGCATGAACACAGTGCACATATGCACACATAGGCAGAACACCCATTCACATACAACAATAAAACGTTAAAGAGAAAATGTGTGAAATTCCCACACAGGGAACGAGAACAGTTCAAACCCAGAGGTTGTTTCATCAAGAATGTCCATCATTCTCCTGGCTCCGGTAGCTGAGGAGCTGGCTAACAAGGGCTCTTTCTCAGAACACAGAGGCTCTGGACTTCGAGGCAATACCTGAGCTTCCTGTGGCAGTTGGAAGGCATCGATCCTGTCCGTCAGGTACGTGGTGAGCTGTTTGTCCAGCTCCCCCAGGCTCTCCTTCAGCACCTGAAGCATGTGGTCAGTTTCACGGAGGACCTGGAGTTGCTTCTCCAGAGAAATCTGTTTGCTCTCCGCCTGTAGAGAAAAGACATTTCCTTTGTAACTGCTCAGCACAAATATAAATAGCTGAATGTGCTTTCTGGCCATGAAGATTATAATAAAGTACTGGTTCAAGACTGGAGCTTTCCTTATAAATAAATAACTACTATCAATAATAAGAGTGTGAATGTTCTTCCAGGGTCTCATGGACAAAGCAGCTGAATCTCTCATTTTTACTTCTTTCTGTTAATGTATATGACAAAACACAAATATGGAAAGATCTCCTGTGGGACATATAAAACAGAGAATAAAAATGTCATTTTAGGGGACCAGCTCAATGGTTAAGAGTACTTGTTGCCCTTGTAGAGAACCAGGGTTTTAGTCCCTCCTCGGATTTGGTGGCTCACATCTATCTGTAACTCCAACTGTAGTGGATCTGACACCCTCTCCTGGACTCCATGAACACCAGACACACATACAGTGCACATATGTATATGCAGACATTCACATACGTAAAATGTTTTAAATTAATTAAAATTCATAATTTATTTTAAAATCTTTTATTTATTAGAGATGTAAGACAATTTTAAGACTCACCAATGCCTAGCAAAAAAATAATAACGATAATAATAAGATGTAGTAAGGATGTCTATCAAGAGAATAAATACCTAAATTTTTTTCTAAAATTGAGAACAAATTCTAATTGCCTCACATCTTTGGATTAAGCTCAGTGCTATTTATAGTCTAAATCTTAACAGTTGTTATTTAGTAATCTGTAAAAGCTATCTAATTATCTACTCAACCTTCTTACAAAAGAACAATGCCTCTTCTCTTAAACTGATATGAACATGCATGTTGAGATACAACCTTGGATATGAGCCAAGTGCTGTTGCTTTCATAATAGTTAATAAACTCTGGTGGCCTTAGTAGTTCCTGGAAATATAGATATAGGAGTTACTATTCTTTTTTTTTTTTTAGATTTATTTATTTATTATGTATAGTGTTCTGTCTACATGTATACCTACATGCCAGAAGAGGGCATCAGATCTCATTATAGTTGGTTGTGAGGCACCATGTGAGGACCTCTGGAAGAGCAGTCAATGCTCTTCACCTCCGAGCAATCCCTCCAACCTCCCATAATTTTTAAATGTAACTGTAATATGATCCTTACAGAAAATCACATAGTTCACAAATAGAAATAATAACAAATACAGGGGTGGGTGAGTATCGGGAATTTCCGGGGCCTTGTACATACATGCCAGGCAAGTACTTTCCCACTGGGCTACATCCACTGACAAGATTGGTTTTGGTTTTGTTTTGTTTTGTTTTGTTTTGTTTTGTTTTGTTTTGTTTTGAGACATTGTCTTGCTACGCAGCCTCAGCTGACCTAGGAGTCCCTACGCAGACCAGGTTGGCCTCAGGCTCAGAGATATGCTTGCCTCTGTCTTGACTGCTAGGATTAAAGTCATGCACTACCATGCCAGTCCTGGCAATTTGGGTGTTTGTTTGCTAATCATCAAGTTGTGTCTGACCTACAAATATTAAGTCTATTCTTCCATATGTACCTCAAAGCCCTCGGGCTCACATTAATATTCGCTGCCTCCTTTAACGCCCACCACACCAAAGCCTTAACTAACGGGGACCAATTTAGACATTACCAGGCATAACCAGCATGGAAGCGCCAAGCGGGTCAGCTTGCGCACTAACTACCTAATCACACTGCGCATGTCTGGTTCTCACCAAGCGACTCAGCTCTTCATAGCGGCTGTTAAATGCCTCCAGCTTCTCACTGATTATATCATCCAGGATCCCACCATCAATCAGAGTCTGCCCAAGTTCCCGAATCTGGGTGCGATTATCTGCTGGGTGGCGCAAAACAGATTCCAGAGACTGCAGCGGGGGCAGGGGAAAAAAAAAAAAAGATAATACATTTACTAAGTCTAAATGTACCAAGATCTGCAAAATGCCATAGTAAGACAAGTAGCAATTACACTTTCTAGAAATCTACCCAAGAAATAATAGCAAAAATTCAGGAAATAACTAATTCACAAAATTATCTACCATAGCATTAACAAAATCATAAAACTAAAAGCAAAACCTCCAGGAATATAAGTGATAATGTAATCCCATAAAATAATTCCAATAATTATTAATTTTATGAGATTCCCAGTGTGTGATTAAAACTATACTATACAAATAAAATTATCCCAAGTGTTAACTACATTAGTGAAACCGGTGATTCATTTTCCTACCACATGATAGAGAAATACACTAAGTAGTTCTATGTATACAGTTTTATAGAAATAAATCCAGTTAACCTTATGAGCTAAATATTACTCCTATTCCGCAGATGGGAAAATAGAAACATAGGAAGTTTGATTTGTCTGCATATAATAGTCAATTTAGAAAGAAAGAAAGAAAGAAAGAAAGAAAGAAAGAACGAACTAAGGTTCCTGTTTCCAAAGCTGTTAGGACTATGAGCCCTTTGACTGAGTATAGTGCCCTGCAGTATACATGTATGAAAGTAATAATGATAAAAAAGGAGAAATACACAAAATGTTTAAAAGTGTTTATCATGGAGCTTGCTTTTACTTTTCTCTATTCTCTGGATTTCTAGACTATATTTACTCTCCTACACGGAAGCTTCTTTGTTTAATGGGTGTCTATTGGTTTCCACCCTCTCCATCTTTGACAATTCTCCTCCTGCAGCACATCCATCTTCAGGAATGTAGGTCCCCTGGAATGTCTCTGCCTTCCCATTCAGTTGTTCATTCAATCTCCACATTGCCCTGCCGCTTCTGCACAAAGTACATTCATGCTCCCCCTCTTTTTCATAAGCAAACGTCCCTGGTTACACTGTAATTCATTTCAGAAGCAGTTACCACAGTATCATGTGCATTCATGGGCTAGAAACTGCAGAATAAGGAAGCCTGTGGGACATTTCTTGGCCCCAGGGATCTGAAGCCCGGCCCTGCCATCTAGCTCCCATCTAGCCCTGCCCTCAAAAATGCACATGTCATCGGGCTGGAGAGATGGCTCAGAGGTTAAGGCTGCTCTTCCAAAGATCCTGAGTTCAATTTCCAGCATCCACATGGTGGCTCAAAAAAATGCATATATCAGCCTGCTTTCACCTTTAATATCTGAACACAGTGAACTAGAAGCCACCTTAACCATGGTTCATGCCTTATTCATAACTGCAAAGAAACAAAACAAAGTTAGCCCCTGCCTTACAAAGCTGATTCTAAAAAGAGTCCCCAGGGACAAATGAGATGGCTCAGTGGGTTAAAAAAAGATGTTGACACCAAGCCTAACAACCTGAATTTAATCCCTGGGAGCTATGTGGGGGAAGGAAAAAACAACTTTCGCAAGTTGTTCTCTGCCCTCCACACACATCCTATGGTATGCACACATAGATAGATAGATAGATAGATAGATAGATAGATAGATAGATAGGATGGAGATAGATAGATAGATAGATAGATAGATAGATAGATAGATAGATAGACGGATGGATAGATGGACGGATGGACAGGATGGAGATAGATAGATAGATAGATAGATAGATAGATAGATAGATAGATAGGATGGAGATAGATAGATAGATAGATAGATAGATAGATAGATAGATGATAGATAGATAGATAGATAGACAGATAGACAGATAGGATGGAGATAGATAGGATGGAGATAGATAGATAGATAGATAGATAGATAGATAGATAGATAGATAGATAGGATGATGGTAGATGGATAGATGGATGGGTGGATGATGGATAGAGATGATAGATAGATAGATAGATAGATAGATAGATAGATAGATAGATAGATAGATAGATGGATGGATGGATGATGGATAGAGATGATAGATAGATAGATAGATAGATAGATAGATAGATAGATAGATAGATAGATAGGATGATGGATGGATGAATGATGGATAGAGATGATGATGATGATAGATAGATAGATAGATAGATAGATAGATAGATAGATAGATAGATAGGTAGATAGATAGATGGATGTAGGTAGGCAGGGAGACAGACAGACAGCACATCTGTCCTCATCACAGTGATAATAACTGCGACTCAGACATCAGGTGCCAACCTCCAGAGCTTCATGAACAGCATCCATCCTCTCGGGCAGGGCCTCTGTGCTCCTCACACGCTCCTCCAAAGTGTTCAGCCAAGCGGTTTCCAGATCCAAATAGTGAAGCAGCTCAACCCAGCAAGACCAGACCTCCTAAAGAATGAGAAGGGAAATTAAAACTGAACGAAAAGCCATAGCACATGCCATCCCTTCAATCAATAAGAACTCCATTTCAGTGTGAGTAACACGCAGGAGTTCAGAATGCGATGATGCTGGAACATCAAATAAATGAAACAAAACTGAATTTGTCAATAAACTAGAGCAATTGAGATGGAGGGAAAAGGGGAAATGGAAAAGAGGATGCCTCAGTTTCCATTAAAATAAATTCCAAGGACCTAGTTAAAGGTCAAAAACAAACCTATATAATTAACAAGAGGAGAAAAACAGAACAAAAATGCTATTGCTTTGTTTAAAGAGAAGGCAAGAGCTGGAGACTAGTTCAGTGGTTACAGTGATTACCTGACAGGCAAAGACCCAGTATCTAGTAGTACCACTCAACAAATAAATAGATGATAGATAGATAGATAGATAGATAGATAGATAGATAGATAGATAGATAGATAGATATTAAAAACAAAAGGTTAAAAATCATTCATGGTATTTTTTATAGAAACTTAAGTTTCCTGGGATATACTCAATTCCAATTCCAAGACAAATGATGGCAGCAGATATCTCTGTAGCCTTTTGGACTTCTTTCCAAGTTAATAAGGATACACCAGTGTAAGAAGATGACCCTATTTTACCAAAACAGAAGGCAGGTAGTTCTGTGCCCTCACTACTCTGAGATAGGAGGGGAGGCTGGGAAAGCATGCATTTAGAACCTCCTATCCCCTGGCTCCAGTGGAACTTATCTGACTTAAGATAAGAACTCAGCACAGAATTCTTCGTTTAACTTTCTTTTTATTTATTCTTTGTGTCTTTTACATCATGCCTCCAGATCCCATCCATCACCCCCCAAAAAATAAAACAAAATAAAATTTAAGAGAGAAAAAAAAGGAAGAAGGGGAAAATCTCATCATGGAAGCTGCAGTGTGACACAGTGAGTCACACAGTAAACTCCTTTATCCATACGTTTTTACATGCAGGCGTTCATCACAAAGAATCATTGGTCTGATTTGAGGCCCCGATCTCTACTATACCACCGACTCTGGACCCTCACTGGGACTCTTCCTGGACACCCCACTGCTTTCTTGCTTTGCAGAGATCCTGCAGCCCTGGGTCTGCAGGACCAACGCCTCATCCCCACCCCCATGCTCCAGCAGATCACAGATGGGGTGGATGTTGGGGTGGGCCAACACATAACCCTGGTTCTGGGCCTGGGTAGTTGCAAGGTTGGTCAGCCTGCCAGCTCTCCCCTGTCTTTACAACCAGGGTGAGTTCTCCAGCACTGCCCTGGCTACTTGACCCCCCATTCAGCACAGAATTCTAATCTGTCCTCTTTAGATCTACTGACACAGTCCCATTCATACCCCATATCAGCTCTGTTTGCCAGAATGGGGGTCAGCAGATATTTCTACAGAGGCAGAGAGAAGGTATTTTGGACTTTAGGGGCTGACATTCAGGGTCTATCACAGATTCATCTTTGGGGTGGGTAGGTAGGTGTATTTATGTTTTTCCACCCTTTAGAAATACCACACTTAACCAAACAAAAAGATGCACAATTCAGACATGAGGCCTCTGCCATAATCTGCTGACTTTGGGTTCAGAACAAAAGAAGGAGGTTTCTAGTCCCCCCTCGACCCCCCATTTCTCTAGCAAACAGCAGACTGAGAAATGTGCTCAGGTCTTAGAGGAGGGGACAGGTGACAGAGAATCATTCCCAGGATGCAGGCTCATCCCTAATCAAGTACCTTTCTTACTAATTGGTCTCAGTTTGCTTATTTATCTCAACACAAAATAGATGAGAGCTGGGCAGGGGACTGAACAGCTATAATCCCAGCCCCAGGGCGGCAGAAGTTGGAATGATAACCGCCAGTATGAGGTCAGCCTGGTCAACGCAGTGAATTCCAGGCCTGCCAGGGATACCTGGGAAGACCCTGCCTCAAAAACAATCAGTCAATAAGCCAGGTGACAGGTAACGGCCAAGCAATGAGTAAACTTAGTTTAAATCCTCCCACTGACATTGTCACGCCTGCAGAACTCACCACAATATAATCACTAATTTCAGGCTGTGTTTCATTGAAATCTAGTAACTTGAAATGTTTCTTAAATCTTTCAACGAGACATTTTTTTAAAAGCCGTGAACATGAGAGACCACTTCATTAAATTCGTCCTATAGACTAATCTATATCTTCCATCTAATGGGGGAGATATTTACCTAAAATGCAATGAAAAAAATCAACATATTTAAGTTCTTTTTCGCGCCAGTAACTTTAGACGCTACTCAAAATAAAAATTAGAATTCCTATCTGTGTAGTAAACCAGGTAAAGGAAACCAGGCTAGATTCTTAGAAAATGGTCAGGAATTTGAGGATTAAAACAGATTCTGTGGCCCCTTCATAACCTGAGAATGCTGGTGAACACATAAAAATACCAAAGCCTGAAGAAGGGAATAAATTACTGCAAACAAACTTTCTAAGAAAGAAATGGAGACAGAACTTGGTCGAAGAAGAAGAAGAAGAAGAAGAAGAAGAAGAAGAAGAAGAAGAAGAAGAAGAAGAAGAAGAAGAAGAAGAAGAGGAAGAAGAAGAAGAAGAAGAAGAAGAAGAAGAAGAAGAAGAAGAAGAAGAAGAAGAAGAAGAAGAGGAAGAAGAAGAAGAAGAAGAAGAAGAAGAAGAAGAAGAAGAAGAAGAAGAAAATCTTTCTTGTTTTTATATACCTAGTCCATAAAAATTACTTTGATAACCCAATGTTTGACAAAATACTGGAAATGTTCATTACATGACACAGCCTGGATCTCAGGACTGTATCCCTGGGGGGCGGGGAGGGGGGGGATATCTCATACCTCTAACGTGTGGCACTTCCCTCGAATTCTGTTACAGAGAAGTTGGTAGCTCTCCAGCACCATATTGAACTCCGATGTCAACTCGTGGCCACCAGAGGGCACCTTGGTGGCCAGCAGCTTGATACTGTCCTTCAGAATCTTCACCCTCACCTCCTTCTGCAGCACCTCCTCTTTCGCCCTCTGTCCCAAGAAAGGAGCAACTTGACACATGGTTCTCTCTCTCTTTTTTTAATAAAAATAACTAATGCAAAATTAAAACACCCAAACTATCCTACCTGCCTGAGTAGAACATTATTTAGAGAACGATAGAGCCTGAGTTTTTCTATAAGAAGAACGCTAAAAATAAAAATCTCACTTTTCTAGTTTCCAGTGTGCATGCCCAGTGCCCAAAACATTTTCATTTGGTAACACCAGCGTTCACAGCCAAGTTATCTTAACTAGTGTTTACTGACAAGAAATACTTTCCAATTCTGGGTACAGGGTAAGGATCTAAATGAACCCATTTTAACTGACCACTGGAGGTCTCAACACAGGAATCTGAAATAAATAAACACCCTCAAAAATGGCAGGATACCATGGCAGAGGCATCCATTAAAATGTCCCACAAATCCTTGTAAAAAAAAAAAAAAATTTATCCTCCCAGAACATAGGTACATCCATCCTTCCCATAATGAACAGCAGCACATCAAAGATGATGAAGCTCCACTGGACAACCTGGTCTAGAAATAGCTGCCTCCCGGCTTCCTCTTTACACTCAAGGTGCTTAATCTCATATGCAAGAAAATCCACCTGCAACAGCCTTCCACTTTCCCTCTTAGCTTTCTTTACAGCTTAATGGATTCCAGCTCCCCCGGGGTGAGGGGAAAGTAATTAAGTGTAGTCGCTTTTAAATTCCTAATGGCTGCTTGGAAGAATAAAAATAAATAGAGTGCTGCCCAATCAAAGATTTTAATCTCATCTTTCTCAGCTCTCAACTGTAATGACTTTAAAAGAAAAATAGCACCAAACTACAATTCCAACAGTGTGAGAGATAAATGGGGTAGTTATGCTTTATATAGTAGGGCTACCTTTAAAATGTTGTTTATACTGAAAATACAAAAAAAAAAATTTCGCCGGGCGGTGGTGGCGCACGCCTTTAATCCCAGCACTCGGGAGGCAGAGCCAGGCGGATCTCTGTGAGTTCGAGGCCAGCCTGGACTACCAAGTGAGTTCCAGGAAAGGCGCAAAGCTACACAGAGAAACCCTGTCTCGAAAAACCAAAAAAAAAAAAAAAAAAAAAAAAAAATTTCAAAAAGAGCTACAAACAAAAAAAAATATTTCAGTGCTTTCCACAGCTTAAGTAAGCCTCTTTTCATGTGTGCTGACTTAGAGATGGCGTGCATGAGCATCATATAAAATCTCTTTTTAAAAATTATCTGCACAGAAAATTTTGCCTTAGATATACTATTGGGCGAGTTAACTGCAAAACCATATACCATGTCACTTGATATTTTAGGAAAAGAGAGACTCGTGTCCTCATGTTTGAAGAATAGTGGAGGCAATGTGGGACTGAGGCCCAGTTCTTTCATTATATAAGAGCAGCTATCGACAGAGGAATAGAAGTTTCTAGAACCCTAGCCTGTGACTTCAACTTATCTTCACCTTATCTTCTCTGGCTATCCCCGCCTCCTACTCAAAGGATGTTTTGGGGTTCCTGTGTACCCCCAACACTAACTCTATACCCCCTGCTTCCTGCTCTAAAGATATTCTGGGGTTCTCGTGTGCCCCCCAATATTGACAGCAGACATGCTTCCTGCTTCTAGGACATTCTGGGGTGCCTGTGTGCCCCCAATACTGACTGGAATGAAACGCAGTCGAGCCAGGATGGCCTCCAACTAACGTGAAGTCTCCTTTGCTCCTTACCAAAACTTACTCTTCCTGGAAACAGCCACTGTGACGATAATTAACACCACAAAATATACACTGAGAAAATGCTAAAATGGTTAATTTATATTATTTGTGTTTACTACGACAAAAAAGAAAAAAAGCACAGTTTCTCTGCAGAGCCCTTCTTGGAGACGCTGCAGTCCTCTGTAGCTCCCCAAGGCCATATAACCTACATGACTGTCCGCAGGGACCTCATGGCATCAACTCTGAGGTAGACTCGAACCAGCGGACTGGCGTCAGCCTCCTTTCCCAACTAAAATCACCACAGCTGCTCTTCCACTCATCTCATTCTTTTAAAATTGAAGTCCTACTGTGAGAGCAGACTAGTCTAGATGGCTCTGTGCAGTGCCATAGGTGATGGACTGACAGACTGATTAGCATAAAGAGGCAGGGGCTGGCGGACTTATGAGCATAAAGAGGAGGGACTGGTAGACTGATTAGCATAAAGAGGAGGGACTGTCAGACTGATTAACATAAAGAGGAGGGACTGGCAGAGTGATTAGCATAAATAGGCACTGGGCAGCATGGAGGGTCTCACCTTCATTTCCTCCACGGCACTCTCCAGTTCTTCCGGAGATTTGTACTCGAAGTCCCTCTCCAGGTACTCCTCTTCAGCCTGAGCCATCCACTCCTGCATCTCGGCCAAGTCCTTTTTCAAGTTCGTGGCTTTTTCCTGACTATCAGACAACTTACTTTTTTGAATAGCAACCTAGAAAGGAAAAGCCATCCCACTCGGTAAATAAATTTTAATACACTAGATGCCGAGCTCTACCCTTTAATATTTAAAGACACTGCGATAAATTTCCAGTCTGATGTTTTAATATTCAAGTTAAAACTTTTTATGCATCCTGTGCTGATGCTATGTAATGTAAGAAATAATGAAAATATAATGAATTCTATACAACATTTTAGACATGAACCGAGCCTGAAAATACCTACTATAACTCTGAAACTAGGGTTCACAGCTGGTGCTTTTTTCTCCCTGGTACCCTGCACAGTACCTTCCAGCACTGTGAAAGCTAGGCAGCAGGGAGGAGGCTTCTGCCTCCAATCCAGCTTGGTTTCTGACCCGTTAATTCCACATGTAGGAAATTAACCTGTAGCAATAAAGGCATGTACATCAAATATAAATTTATTGTAACACTGTTTATTATTTAAAAAAGAAAAGCAGGAAGCGGAATTCCCATTGTGTCCTCACTTCTTAAAACGAGAGTGGAGCTAGGCATGGTTGCATACTCCTTTAATCCCAGCACTTGGGAGGCAGAAGCAGGTGGATCTGGGGCCAGCCTGGTCTACAGAGTGAGACCTGCTCTCAAAAATAGGGAGAAAACTGAGAGTGAGAAGAACTATTATAAAAGATGTCCATAAGATATTATCCTACAAAATGCTGGTTAGAAAGAAGGCAGGCTAGAGAGATGGCTCAGCGGTTAAGAGCACTTGCTGCTCTTCCAGAGAATTCGGGTTCAATTTCCAGCATCCACATGGCAGCTTACAGCTGGCTGTAACTTTAACTCCAGTTCCAGGAGATCCGACACTCTACACACACATACATATAGCCAAAATAGCAAGGCACATAAAATAAAAATAAAATTACATTAAAGAAAGAAAGTAGAAGATATGTTTGAAAATAGCTATTTATCTGAATCTGGTTCGGTAACTTTGCGAAGTTCTTCAGAGAAGTCTGGAAATAGTTCCAGAGTGCCTTCCCCTAACCACAAAGTGACTTCAGCTGGAGGAGCCGATCCTGTTGCACAGGAATAGCACAACCTTCCCCAGACGCGTCCAACAGCCTGCTCAAATTACATGTCAGTGTGGAGGCCATCACCAGAGCTGCCTGGCAGTAACCGGAGGCCAGGACAGGAATAAGAGGGTGGGTTAAGGGACAGTTAGTGGCTTTCCTGTTCCCTCCCTCCAAACAGGAGCCCAGGCTTAAAAATAGACAGGGAACTTTTTTCAGTGCCCACCCCGCAGCTGGAGAAGCCAGGCAGCACAGTGCTGCTCTCATGCTGGATGGTCAACACTTTCACGTAGGCAGCTCTTACTAAAACTATGTATCTATAGTGTGTGTGTGTGTATGTGTGTGTGTGTGTGTGTGTGTGTGTGTGTGTGTGTGTGTGTGTGATGTAATATAATCATATAAAATGTAGACTCTTAGACTCGCTTCCAAAGGTTTTCATTGTTTGCATTTTCTGAGTTCTAACATTTTAATAGATTCATAGAAAAGTAAAAAACAAAACCTGCAAAAAAATCATAACTATATTCTTTGTATTTTAGAACAGTGACAATTTCTTTTGTGAGAACATAGGTGAGACACATTTCTGTGGGTTTGTTTTTTTTTTTTTTTGTTTGTTTGTTTGGTTTTGGTTTTTTGGGTTCTTGGGGTTTTTTTGTTCTTTTCTGAAGGCGTGTTTGGCTTGTATGCCATGTGCATGCAGTGCCCATGGAAGCCAGAAGAGGGCATCAAGATCCTCAGGAACTGGAGTTACAGGCTGTTGTTAGCTACCATGTGGGTGCTGGGAATGGAACCTGGGTCCTCTGCAAGAGCTGCAAGTGCTTTGAACTGCTGAACCATCTCTCCAGTCCCAGACACACCTATTTTTGCTAACTACAGTAAAAAATATTCTCCAAAACTTTTTAAAAATTTTAACTAATGACTAATATAAATTGTCTAGAACTGATCTAATTAACTAACTACTCATACAACATGTAGCTACTTCTTGCTGAAGACTCCGAAATTTTCTTCCCATATTTCAAATCAAATAGAATTCACAGCAGATTTTATATTGTTATAAGTGAATGAGGGAGCAAGCAAGTGAGTGAGAAGATGAATGGGGAAGGATGATAGATGGGTGGCTATATATGACACACAATAGATGGTGATGACAGATGATAGATGGGTGGAGATGATGAAGGATGAAGGATAGATGAATGAATAGATGGATACAGGGAGATAGCAGATAAATGGATGGATGCCACATAGCTGCTTGTTTCTCAATATCACTTAGGAACCACGCTGTCTATTTACTTAAGACAAAACCCCAGCTGCTTATACATTATGAAGCAGATACAGAAATACAAATTTGGCTAGTGTATTCAATGGTAATACAAAAAGATTGTTTTCTTAAGTTTGGTAATGGCATTTTGACTTTGTAATAGTCTTTAATATTTAATTTCAACTTCCTATCTAAAGCAGATTTTCACAGACAAACAGGAAGGGTAATACAAGACTAGCTAGTGACCAATCTTGAAACCAGTCCATAGGTGTTTCCCTATACCAGTAGGTGAATTTTTCTCCACATTTAAACATGTTCAGAATGAAGGAATTGGGCTAAAACAAGAACAAAACATTCAATGATGCCACCATAAGATTTACCAATATAAACATCAGTCAAAAAGCATTATATCAAGAATATAGTAGTCCCAGCATGGTCTGTGGAATAGGATGGAATTTTCCATTTTCTCCTCTTTTTTTTCACCACTGGCAATTCACTCAGTTACATCTAAGCCACCACTATTTTTCCAAGGTAACTGAGCAGACAGAGACAACCTACTGTGTGGGTCTTCACAACCCTGACATGCTCTCCTTTGCACGGCAGTAAGTAGACATCCCTTGGAAGTGGTCCGCAGTCCCTATTCTCTCCATGTACACGTGGCACATGCACCAATACATTTACACTCATAGTAATAACAAACAAAAAAAGTTAACAACTGTTAAAATCCTCTCAAACTGGTTGACACGATCAAATCAAATGCAGAGTGCTTGCCCCCCAGTGAATGCCTATCCCCACCTTACCATCTGACCTCGGGTATTCTTATTCTCCATGTCACTAGCTCCACTCACTCTATTTCAGATCCAGTGCCTGGGGTCCTCAATAAACACACGACACACACCACAGCTGAGCTTTAGAACTGGAAATTCCCCATACTGCACATTCTCACCCGAATCTGGCATGGCTTACCTCCTCTTTTACTCAGTTCTCTACTACAATGCCCCAGTGCGAGCAAGTCCCTGGCCAACCTATTCGAAACAATATCCACCTTCTCTTAGCTCTTGGCCATTCTCCCTGATAGTTCACCTGCCTCACAGGAATGTGAACTTCTTAAGAGGAAAGTGCTCCTGGTCATTGCTGTGTCCCAGAGCACAGAGAGAGGCCGGGCAGCAGACGCTAATTAACAAAATTCTAAACTGTAGCTGATTAATGAGTATCTGCTGCCTCAAAGATTAATAGCTATAATTAGTGGATACCACACTCAAATGTCCTCAAGGCAAGACAAGTATCATAAATGAATGTGTGGGGCTGGATTTAAATAAGAAAGGAAAGTCAAGTCCTGAGTCCCACTGAGTAAGCAAATTCTTCCTTAATTTTAATATATATGTATATATATACACATATATACACACACATACGTGTATATGGGTGTGTGCATATATATACACACATGTATATGTATATATATATATATATATTTGTGTGTGTGTGTTTTATGTTTTCCTGTAAAAGTTCTGTACCCCTTTTTTTTCATTTTAATTTTTCTGGTCAAGAGAAGCCAGTAACAGTGTGTCCCTCTTCCTAGGGAAGGTGAACCACTCACCTCTTTGCTGAATTTCTCCAGTTGAGCTTGGTAGTCCACCAGTCTTGTCTGTACCCACTTCTTGACTCCAGTGACAGGACAGTTTTGAAGGTTAGTCTCTGTTTCTCTCATGTTTTTCAGAGATGATTCAACTGTTTCGATCTCATTAGCAAATGTCTGAATATAGGAAAGAAGCCCATGTTGAGTCTACTCCCATGTAAATGGATATCAGTATCACATCTGTCTGTCCAATCCTGAAGATACTTCACGGACATACTGCCTGGGAGTCAGGATTCTCAACTACTTAAAAGATACCTCGCTTCAAGAAATTCATTTCGCTTGGCATTTAAGACAGTCACTTGCTAAAAAATAGATTAAAAATACTTGAATTTCAGTGGGAAACACTTTTAATTAATTTAGAGCAATGCTTCTCAACTTTTGGGTTGCGATCCCTTTAGGGGTCATATATTAGATATCCTGCGTATCAGATATTTACATGATGATTCATAATGGCAGCAAAATTATTACAGTTATGAAGTAGCAACAAAATAATTTCATGGTTGGGGGACACCACAACATGAAGAAATGAATTAAAGGGTGGCAGAATTGGGAAAGTTGAGAACCATTGATTTAGAGACGCCTGATGACTTCATCGAGCATACATTGCATGTAGGATTACCAGCACATTTCATTTGTTAGATATGCTTCTCAGAAAGGCTCATCAGGTGATACAATGACAGCAACACCCTCGTGGTGCTCTTTACATCAAGATCATCACTGTAACAGAAGAGAGCAGCTTCTGAGGAAATAAATTGGCTCTTGTTCTCGTCACACATTCTATAACCGTGGCCGGCAATGAAATGTGAGCAATCTGCCTTTCTTTTATTATCTATAAAGCCAATATAAAAGCTTTAGAATAAAAGACACTTTATCTAGACTTCATATGTCCCATTCTTACAATTTTAATAACATCAAATGACAAAGAACAAGAAGAGCATGTTATTTATCTGAATAGGAGTGCCCGCCCAGCAGAACTCACAGCACACTGGTCAAGCTGCCTCTGCAGATCAGCGGTGTCTCCTTGGGCAGCCTGCTCTCTCATTAGGAAGTCTTTTACAGCACCCACCCACTTCTCAATGACTTCTGCGTCAGCCTAAATCGAACACAATAACAGAGGGGGATATTATCAGTGACATTCAACCCACTACATCTCAAGCTTGACAGCAACTAGAAAAAAAAAAGAGAGAGAGAACTCAAAACTTCGATAACATCATTTTCATTTACTTCATTTCCTTTTAAGCCCCCCAACTTGGAAAATAATTCTTAAAAGAATGACACCCTAGCAATAAGTCCACAAGCCTCAAAACACTCTGGAATGAACTACTTTTGTTTAAATGCAAACATATTTAGGACTAATATTCAAATTACAAGAAAAAATGCTATTCTAGTTATAATCAACTGAAAAAAATCTTTTCTTTTTAACTAACCTAGAGCAATTTTTCTCTAAACTAGGTACTGGAAGTGGGAGTAAATATACAGCATCATGAAGGAAATACAATCTATGACTCTTCATTCTTCTGTGGGAGGCCTCCTTCCTTGAAAACAGAACTAGTCACTGTCTACTTCAGATCTTTCAACTGTTCAAAGTTACCAAGAACAAAGAGAAGGCAAACATTTCTTAGAAGAAGACGACTTTGGAGAGGAGATCGCATAGGTGTGGCTGGATAGAAGACAACATTAGCCCCCTAAACTTCAGTACTGAAGAAGTGGCCATTTTTCCCAAGGCCTCCCATTCCATCATTGGTTAGTCTGCCTTGTAAATTTCTCTAATATGTTTCCTTGAAGTCTCTCCAGTTCTTTCTCGTTCAATCCTAGATATAAAATCAACTTGAATGATCAAATTCGAAAGTGGCTACCACGTGTCTCCCTAGTCCTGTGATGATTAAATATTTCTTCTTTTGCGACATTTCTAGGGCAGTACAGCCAGGTAATGCACAAACTATTCTGATCCACCTGCTCTGGAAACAACAAAAATTATTTAATATTCCTCTAATATGCCAAACAAAATCAATTTTTATTATTTTTATGAAGTTGGAATGAATCACAAAGACGGAACTTACCATGCAGACGTTACATTTATAAAATACCACCAAAAATGATTTTGGATTTTTCTCACTGTGCATTTGTCCCATGCTTCTTTTGTGTTTGGTCTTAAATACATCAGTCTTTGCATTGTGATTCACTAAAACCCCAGTATTCTCAGTAATTACTTCAAAATAAGCTTCCCGTCTCAAACATTGCTTGACTGCTAATTTAACTATAGAATTTGATCACTGTAAATACTAAATTTTGCTTTGTTATGTTGACAATAAAAAATAGACCAACAGCAAGCCAACAGAATAATTAAAATTTTTAGCCTTTCCAATCTCCTACCTGCCACTCTACCTAACTTTCTTCTACTTGGAAGTCTGACACAGAAATATAATTTTCTACTAGGCATGTGGCTTTGGTTTGGTCGGTTAGTTGGTTGTTTAGATTGGGTTCCTTGTTGAGTTTTTGGATTTTTCCAACTAATATTCATAAGCCAATGGCACTGCTTTCCTGCAAATGTCATAATGACACCCATTGACTAAAATTAATAGATGCTAATAAAAATAAAAGTGGTGCTGGAGAGATATCTCGGCAGATAACAGCACTCACTGCCCTTATAGAGGAAAAGGGCTCTGTTCTCAGCATCCCCATGCCCCAAGGGCACTCAGCTAAGTTACAAAGAACATAAAAGAGCTCCAAGAATAATAATACAGTTTCTCTAGCCACTTAAAAATCACACAGCTAAAGCACTTATGTGTTTCTAATCTACAACAATGAATTATAGTCTCTTTTCCTCCATCCAAGTTAACAAACACATGAATACACACACACACACACACACACACACACACACACACACACACACACACACATACATGCACACAGTTCTTTGGGAAACTTCACTTTTTTTTTTTTTTTTTTTGGTTTTTTGAGACAGGGTTTCTCTGTGTAACATCCCTGACTGTCCTGGAACTCTCTCTATAGATCAGGATGGGAAACTTTACTTCTTATAAATAAATTTGTTTCAAGTTCCCAGTAGGAGCTTAGGAGCTTACTCAGTCCATAAAGTCCTTGCCTGGTAAGTTTGGGGACCTGAGTTTCACCTGGCACAGCATGGTGAGAAAACAATGGCATGGCATTGTTTTCCAAAGGCTGGGAAAAGGAAAACAGGTAAATTCCTGGGGCTTGCTGGCCAGCCAGAATAGCCTAGTCTGAGAGCCCCAGGTCCCACGGAGAGACCTTGTTTCAAAAAATAGTCTGTAGACAATCATCTAGCCTTTGGGCTCCAAACAGTCTTATGAGCACACATATATTCTCTTTATCTCTGTGTGTGTGTCTGCCTGTCTGTCTGTCTGCCTGCCTGTCTGTCTGTCTTTCTCTATGTTTCTGTCTCTGTTTCTCTCTTTCACACACACACACACACACACACACACACACACACACACAGAGTAAATTTCTAGTAAAAATACCTGCCCCCCCCAAAAAAAGTAATCAGTCCTAATGTAAGACAGTAATCATTTCTCATTTCCATTTTTTTTCCCAAATAGTCAAGTGAAGATGAAATTGGAGGGACTTAAAAAAAAAATCAAAGATTCTCCTTTGGAATGGTCAAAATTTTGAAAACAATGACCATCCCCCTGCAGAAACTTCTTGGGCAGGCAACACCCTGGTTCAGGGTCACAGAGAAGGAATGTAAGGTCAAGGAAACAATCCTTTCACACCTTCCCCTCTTCCTCTCCTGAGCTGGAGACAGAAGCATTTTAAAGCCTGGAGACGCTGGACACAAGAGCCTGAGACTCTAAGGTACACAGCAGCCCTCACACTTGATGACAGCTACATTCCTGACATTTTTCTCCCCCTGATCCCCCATCAGCTGGAATGTCTGCAGGTTTTTAAGCTGTTAATTTCTACCCCGAGACACAGAGAAAACCAGCTGTGAAAACAGAATTAGTACAGTAATGTAAAGAGCTTCCTATTTTGCTCAGTTTTGAGGCATTCCAGAGCCTGTAGCAGACACTACCTATAGCTTGAACAAATAACAAAAACCTGCTCAAAATACTGTCGTGAAACAGTGTTATGTCACAGAGATGAGGACAAACAACAACACTGCCACCACATCAGCTTATCTAACCCCATGTCCCTAAATCCAGGATGTGGAATTGTCCCCTGGACTGAATAAAAATGATGGAGGAGGCAATCTATTAATTATTATACCAGGTTTGTGTTCCTTAGAAAGGTTAAATTAGCTAAGTACGGATTTTATTCTTTCTTATTTTTTTATTCTGAAATACTTCCGAAATAATAATTTAAAAACCTGTTTCGTCGATGGCAGAGTGCCAGCATGTCCTTTCTGCGTTCTGGGGCGGAACACAATGGCTGCGTGAGTGACTCTGAGCTTGAGCAGCTGCAGGAAGATGAGTGAGCAGGCAGCTGTGTGGACAGTGGGGATGAGTGGCTTTTAGACTATGCAGTCCAAGACAGGGAACACTGTTCTGACACACCTACTGAGCACTTCATTCAGATCGCTGCCATTCACAGCCTCCTTCACATCCTCTTACTTGCCCGGGCACCCTGCAGAGTTCTATCTTCAAAGAGATCATTCCCTGGGAGGCAGGAGAAACCTATAGTTCTAAGCATGGTAAAAACTCCACAGGGTGTAGATGGGAGGCCACCTAGTACAATGACAGAGGGGGAAGGCTGTGCAGGTGAGTTTGTTCTTAAAGACTCTGCCACGGGGAGGTGATGTGCAGGCAAGTACATGACATGCCCAGAGGAAGGCAACTGTCCAGGGTCCATGATGATCTGCCAGTCTGATGCTGCTCACAGTGGGGGACACAGACAAGCTAGGCAAGGAAGAAGCAGGGACCACAGGATAAGGGTGAACATTTTACTCTGGTGAGGATAACCAGGCCCCGTGCCGAAGTCTTTGGCATCAATGGGAAGATGAATTTCCAAAGTATGAGATGAGAAGCAGGAGTTGAATGAAAGAGTGATGGAATTTTGGGGAAGTAGGCTGTAGGAGGGCCTGTGCCTAGAGGGAAGGGCTGCAAGGTGCTGTCCCCAGAGCCAAGGGGCACACCAGGTTTTGTGTGCACCTGGGGATGTGCTGGTAATGTTCCAGGTATATTCTACACTGTAGGATCCGGAGTAGGGGGAAGGAAATGATACAAAATATATCACAGGCCCAGTAATATCCAAGGTATTACTACTGGGGATGAGAGAGGAAAAGGAGCTGAGAAAAAACGAGCCTCCTTGGATTTTATTTTGTCCTCATGATTCATAAAATCCTATCAGTAAAATCAATAACAAAAAAAAAATTGCCTGTTTCTTGCTGCCAGGAAAGGAATGATGGTTTGTCAAAGGACAAATGACCATTTCTGTAGTCACGCACAGCACAGAACAGAATTTAAGCCCTCACTTGTGTCTAGCACTGTGAAAGAGCATAGAGGCCTAACCTCAGCCTATACAAAAGGAACTGACTGTGAAGACAAAGGAAATGTCACCAAATGCCAAGAAAATAAGAGACAACTACAAGCATTTACACAAACACAGAGACACCCCTGCCCCTTACAAATATCGCAGGGCTAACAAGAGAAGAAAAAAAAAAGCACATCACAAAAATGAATTCACCCTCTAAAGGTGTTATACTCTTGAAAGACTTTTTCTGAGTACTGAGACTCATTCTCTAAGCTCTGCTCTCTACTAGCTACTGAAATGCCTGTATAAACTTACAATGTGACCACTCCATGCTATGGGTAAGGGAAGGTACTTATAGAGCAGAGAAAGTTTAAAGACAGGAGACTGGGGGACCATTTGCTTTGTGGGAGAAGGTGTTACAATCCGTGAGCATTTGGAAAGCTAATGTGTCATCTTTGGACACTGACCAAGCTGTACTGAGGCCCTTGGCAGTGAAGCACAATGGAATCCCTGAGCCTGAGGAGAAAGAGATTAGAAAAGGAGAAGAAAGGGTGGACAACAGGAACTCAGCCAGAGGGAGGATTCCACTAAGCTCCAGGGGGGAGCTGAGGGCATGTGGGGAGGAAAGCAGGTGGAGAGAAGAAGCAGCTGAAGAGGTGGGTGGATTCCAGAATTTGGAGTCAAATATGGTGGGTGGCAGAAGCCAGCAGAAACAAATGGTCCATATCCTAGCAGAGTCAAATCAGCAGTTAGGTTTGGTTAGGAGAGGCCCGGGCCCCTTGGAAAGGGATCCATTCATGCTCCTGCCAGGATTTCAGCACCAGATGTATAAGGTGACGACATGAGCACCTCACGATATGGTTAAGTGGAAGGTTTTTGTGAGATAAGTGAGAGAGAGCACAGCCAGAGGCATCGGGAAGAGTCCAGAGCAAGGAAAGAGTGTAGTAGACCGAACATGGCCCACAGACTGGGCGTGGCCATGACAGCAGGCGCAGAGCGGAGAGGGAGAGTGGGAGAGCACGTGCATAGGGAGGACAGAGAGAGGAAGAGGAAGAGTGGACAAAAGACAAGGCACGGCTGAAATAGCAGGCTTGTACGGAGGATGAGAAGGTGGGGGAAGGGAAGCTCCCGAGCTAGAGGGAGCTTAGGGTAAAGGAAGGCTGTGAGAAGGGCTAGGATGCTAACTAGTGTGGACTTTGGTGTATAGCAGGTGCTTGGGATGCTGAGGGAGCCTGGAGGCCAGCATGCGCTTTGGCATGCTAAGAGGCACCACAAGTAGACATTTGTCCCTTCTGCCTTTTGGAATTTGGGGAAATGGAATTTCCTTTGGATCTGACAATGTCCTCCACCAGGATCTACTATAATGTATTCTATCAAATACAGGGAAAAAAAATACAGATTCAAATTACTAGTATGTATGGACTGCGTGTGCCTTAAAACCCTTCACAGATTCACTGTAAATATGAGCTGTCACCAGGAAAGGAAATAGAAATGAAACTAAGAATATTGTTGGCAGTGAGTATATCTATATTGTTCAATATCTGCACAATAGCAATCTTCATGTATTTTATATATATATATGATTAAAAATGTACTTTAAAAAATTGGAGATCTCTGACTTTCACCATGCACAGTAGTGTCCACACCTACATAGTGAAGCTCTGTCTCAAGAAAATAAGTGAATTGATTTAATTAAATGAAACAAACAGTTCCGCTACTTTATCGCTAAGAAACTCCATGAATTGGCAGTAAATCTAACACCTGCTGGGGCACAACGCTTTAAAGAATGAAACTTAAAAGACTAAAACATGCATAAGGACACAGAATAAGGAAAAGGCTATCCTGTGAATGACTACTGACTGCAATTATCTTGTGACTTTGCAATGGAAACTTTGAAGTTTTCCCATGTGAATTCACAAGCAATTCCTTTGAAGCCACTAAGTAAGCATGAGTGCCTTTAGCATTAAAATCAGACACGTGTTTGCGTCATGAAGTTGGACAATTAAAGAATGAATACAAATAACTATCAACAGCCTTGTTGTTAACCTGTCAAAGAAAAACAAAAAAATAACAGGACATTAAACTCTGCTACTGTAATTGCAAATATTTGAATAGAGACCCGTGTGTTTGATGGGGAATATCGTTAATATTTATACTTAATATATTTAACACAGTCTCCAACTGACCACTAAAAGTACTTGCAGTAGAATATTATTTTATGGTATGTTACTTTTGTTTATGTTGCATTTGTTTAGCTCTGTGAAGCTGTGTTACAGTGCCTGTCTAAAACACCTGAGGGTCTAATAAAGAACTGAACAGCCAATAGCAAGGCAGGAGAAAGGATAGGCAGGGCTGGCAGGCAGAGAGAATAAACAGAAGGAGAAATCTGGGAGACAGGAGTGAAAAGGAGAAGGAGCCAGAAAAGGAGGAGGACTCCAGGAGCTAGCCACCCAGCTATACAGGCAGCCACGGAGTAAGAGTAAGATACACAGAAGTAAGAGAATGGGAAAATCCCAGAGGCATAAGGTAAACAGGATAATTTAAGATAAGGAAAGCTAGCTAGAAACTAAGACAAACTAAGGCCAGGCATTTATAATTAAGAATAAGCCTCCATGTGTGTGATTTATTTGGGAGCTGGGTGGTGGGCCCCCCAAAAGACCAAAAACAACCAATGACAAGTACTAATAATTGCAAGATTAGTAACAACACTGAAGTAAAGTCTAAAACTAGATTAGGCTAAGCCCAGGACTCTCTTCTGTGTTTTAGAAGGATTTTTATTCTCTTGAAATTCCATATTCAAATACTGGCACACCATTCTAGTTAGCTTTAAATGTCAACTTGACACGGGCCAGAGTCAGGGACTCTTAATGGAGGGACTGGCCAAATCCAATTGGCCTGTGGGCATATCTGTAGGAAATAGTCTTGATGGCTAACTGACTTCATGTAAGAGGACCATTCTCTGGGCAGGGGACCTAGGACTGTATACAAAAAGCCAGGTAAGCATAAGTCTGCAAGCAAGCCAGCAAGCTGTGTTCTTCTATGGTTTCTGCTTTAAGTGTCTGCTTGAGATCTTGCCCTCAACAATGGACTGTGATCAGAAGTGTAAACCCTTGCCTCCCGTAAGTGGCTTTGGTCAGTATGTCTTATCACAGCAGCTACAGGAAAGAAACTCTTCAGGAGTCACTCATGAATTCCCCTAACATAGCTAAGATTTAGATCTGAAGATATAGAAACAGTTCACACAGCATGGGTCAACCTTGAACTACTTCCATTTGGGACTAAGTGGTTCTGCTTCTATGAGGGCCAACCTGTGTGCTATAAAACAACCAGCTGCATCCTGGGTTTCTAACCCTCCAATGTCGCCTGCTGACCCCATCCCTATGCCATGGCCATGACAACCAAAAATGTCTTTAGACTAACACACATCTTAGGATGGGAGGAAAAATACCACTGTTGGTTGTGAATCATTGATAAGTCACTGTAGGAGCATCATCAAAAAATTTTGCAATCACAGACATAAATCTCATTTACATCATTGTAAGATGTACACATTCTGTGAGCATGGCAGAAGGTTGTAAAAGTTACTCACTTGCAGGAGAAACACCTGAAGTTGTGCGGCAGAGTGCTTGCTTAGCATAAGACCCTGAGTTTAATCCCTACACTTTAAAAGGCAGGTACAGTGGCACACACCTGTAATTTCAGCACCTGAGAGGTGGAGACTGAAGGATCAGAAGTTCAAGGTCATCCTTGACTGTGTAGCAAATTTTAGGCCAGCCTAGGGTATGTGAGACCTGTCCCCATGCCCCTTCTCCATTCTCTACTACTAACTAGGTAAACTTCTTCCGCTATAACTAGTCACCACAATACTCTGATCACTGGTTCAAATGCCATGTAGACCCCCATGCTGAAATTTTATTTTAACCATTATTAAGCTATGTGCTTGTCAAGGTCTAGTTCACCTCTACCAAGAAGCCTTCTCTACAAGACAAAAGAAGTGCATGAGCTTACCAGCACATTAAAAATATGCCTTTGATAAGCAAATTATAAATCCCAACTTAAGCATATAATAATGTGGGACCAGAAAGAATGCCAAATATTCAGAAAGCAGACATTCCAATCTTGCGTGATAATCACTATGTGCCCTGAAACAAGCTTCAACTCCTCTTGGCCTCTCGATTTACCTCAAAATCTCTGAGTCTGGGGATGATTTCCTCGAGCAAATGTAAATCTCTGGAAACCTTGGCCTTTACTTTATTCCATTTCCCCTGGACATCATCAAATTCTTGTTTATACGTTTTTCCCACATCGGGAAGCACATTTTTCTCCAAAATCTTTGTTTCTTCTGAAAGTTTATGTAATGTAGGTTTGTGATTCTCAAGGGTTTCATCAAGAGCCTGAAAAAGTTTCAAAAGATTAAAACCATACACAACAATGTAACACTGTATGTATCTGTACAGGTGTAGTAATATGAGATATATATCATATACAACAATATAACAATGTATATATCTGCACAGGTATAGTAGTATGATACATACACAACAATGTATGTATCTGCATAGGTCTAGTAGTAATATGATACATATATATATACATATATATATATATCACACATCAATGCAACAATGTATGTATCTGCACAGATGTAGTAGTAAGATATATACTGATGGGCACGCGCGCGCGCGCGCGCGCGCGCGCACACACACACACACACACACACACAGTGAAAAGAGAGGAGGAAAGTTTCTTACTTAAATAACATTTAAAAAGTCATAATCAGGGGCTGGAGAGATGGCTCAGAGGTTAAGAGCACTGACTGCTCTTCCAGAGGTCCTGAGTTCAATTCCCAGCAACCACATGGTGGCTCACAACCATCTGTAATGAGAGCTGGTACCTTCTTCTGTATACATAATAAATAAATAAATCTTAAAAAAAAAAAAAAAAAAAAAAAAAGTCATAATCAGAAAAATCAGAGCTTTCTCTTCATGAGTTTTGTGGGGACGGCATAATGTATTCTGTACACTGAAAACCCCGGGCATAGCACACACAGTGGGTCAAGAACACAAGGTCAAGAGTTGGTCTCTTTTATCAGGCACGACAGTGTAGAGCCTTAAGGCCACTAAGAAAGAAGCAGGGAAACAATTTAACCAACAAAACACTTAGTATCAATTCAGGCTTGGCATGGTGGCTCATAACAGCCACCCCAGCACTTGGGAGGCTGAGGCAGAGGGATTGCTGTCAGTTCTAGGCCAGCCTACACTATAGAATGGAACCCTGTCTCCAAAAAAAAAGAAAGAAAAAAATCAGTTCAACTAATACACCTCCCCTCATTTTAGGAGAGATATTTAGCAGACTATGAACTGGTTTAGAATTTTATGTGAACTGTAAGAAAATACATTTTTTTCCCTAGTAACATTTAATGATGTATCTTTTCTGGACCTCAGATAAATTGATTGAGGTAATTAAGCTTCAAATTATAAATTCTTAGGCCTTCAGGGTAGTGAAGACAGCGGCCACACAGGCTGAAGACCTCAATCCTATCCCTGGAACTCAAAGCGAAAGAGAAAACCGAGTCCCCAGCATTACCCTCTGGACTCAGCACACACCCACCTTCACAACACTACTACTAACAAATAATAAGCAAAAGTCAAAATCTTCTTTAAATCTGCCACTTTTATAATAAAGTTTTAATCATTTTTAAAGACTTAATAAAAACAGCCGTTTTCTTTTTAAATCACTGAAAAAAACGACGACTTCAAATGCATAACATGAACCGTCAGAAATAGAGTTCTCAGACACAGCTTACCTTTTTCTCCTGCAGGGCCTGCTCCGCCTTCGTGAGATCATCAAGGGCATTCAGAGATGTCTGGGCTTTTTTTTCTGACTCACTTAGCACCTCTTTCAGGGTCTTCAATGTTTCCAAGTATGCAGGTCCGGGTTGGCTCTTCAGCTCTGATGATTTAAACATACTTACTTGGGGACAACAATGTAGAAACCTAATACTATTATTGTCTGCACCATTGATCTTTTATATTTAGTAAAAAGATTCCATTAGATAATAAATTAGACCCCATGATTCCAATTGAAAAGAATCTCTGTTGGTTAATAAAATAGGTCATCCCTCTGGCATTTCAAACAGACAGACTGTGGCTTCATTCCTCCGGAGGCCAATGTTTGAAATATTAACTTGCTATCATTTTTCTTCATTTGATCATGGTGAAATGTCTGGATGAAGCTTGAAGGACAACATTCCTTTTGTCTCACACGACCTCCCCTTCCCCAACCGCTACACAAAGAAGAAAAGAAAGCAAAGATCCCTCCCCTAGCCTTCCTGAAATCCCATGAGTGTACACAAACTATATGGGAACCCCACAGACAGTGAGGAACATGGGTGTCTGGCAAGAGCCAGCCAGCACAGCGCACCCCTCTGTGGCTCTGTAAAAAATCCCAAACAATCAGCATTTGTGCAGGAGAGGAAGTGAGCGGAATGAGAGGGACCAAGAGGTGAAACCAATTAGCAGCATAAGTTCAACTGCCTGCCACTGATCCTCATCAAAACCTGAAAGCTTGGCTTGTACCAGTCAGCTGAGAAGGGAGTCTTCTCTGGTATTTCTGTCACACTGTAAGTTAACTGATTTCCACGAACAAAATGCATCAAGTCCAAATGCTCAGTTAAAAGAAAGGCAACATGATGCATTTGTCTATCGCGAATACATTCCTAACATCTATACATCAGGAGCTAACGGAGTAGAGGGGACAGTCTCAGCACTGAGTGCACACGGCCATCAACAATCCAGTGCAGCAGCTGAAGAGAAGATATACGTAACAGGATGTAAAAGCTTTCAAAATCCTTCAAAGCCCGCTTCCCCAGCAAGGTTTATTCCAATTTTTCCAATTCCAAATTCTTTGATTTTGTTCACATTCTGGGAGCGCAAAGTGATTTCTTTTCAAGGAGTAGGTGGGGCTGCTAAAACCCTAACCACTGGGAGCAAATAGAAATTGATGCTGTTTTTGTTTGGTCTGAACCGGTCTGAGCAAAGTTGTTTCTCCCATAAAAATCTCCAGAAGGGCAGGAGTGCAAACCATGTGCCTAGCATGCATAAGGTCCTGGGGTTCAACACATGCCCACAAAAAGAAAATAAAAATCTTTCAGAAGTCATTATACCCAATGGATACAATTTTAGAGCATGTGACGCTCTCTATTTTATGCACAAGTGTGAGCATAGGAAATAGGGTGAATGCATTGTAAGACCTGGAGTCACCAAAGTGCAAAGGAAAGCAGCAGAAACTCAGATACACTGAAAGTTTAAATATCGGGAGTAATGATTAGATTAAGGCCAACTGAGAGGGGAGAGAGAGACGGAGAGACAGGGAGAGACAGAGAGACAGAGAGAAGTGACTGCCGCCGAAAGCCAGGGTTTACCATTCTCTAGTTGCTGTTGGCGCTCCTCTAAAGCCTTCTGCACGGCCTGGTAGTGACTTCGAAGGTCATCGAAACCCTGCTGGACAAAACCTGGGGCAGAGGGCCGAGACCTCAGGGCTGAGCAGCTGGCACACAGTGTATCAATTCTGGGGTGAAGGCCAAGGAGATCTGTCAGCTCCCTCTGTGGAAGAGAAAATACAGTCACTTCAATCCATGAAGAAGAGCATCCCCAGAAAGAGTTCGGAAACAAATAAACACAAAGCTCACGATACACGATCCATTCTCTCCTCCATTCTGCTCTCTCTTCAGATTGTAAAATCTTTTGCCTTTTACAAGACACAGCCTCTTGGGGTACAGGCAGCTTGGTGGGTACGAGCACTTGCTAGGCAATCCTGCAGACCTGAGTTCAGATCCCCAGCACTCATGTAAAACTGTGGGCATGAACATGTTTGCCACCCTCGGGTTGTGGGAGGACAGAGAGAAGAGGATAGCTGGGACTTACTGGACAGCAGGCTCCAGGTTCAGTGAGAGACCCTGTCTCAAAGAAATAAGGTAGAGTGTGGTAGGGCAGGATACCTAACGTCCTCTGCTGTCCTCTGGCCTTCACAAGCAGAGATGGGCACACATGTGTGTGCGCACATAAACACGTCTTCACCACACACATTGAATGATATATCCTCTTTACATATGAGACTCAGCACAGAAAGGCTGTATAGTCCAGCTATTTGGCACCCTACCTGGCAGGAATCCTTCAAGCTTGGCAAGGGCTGCTGGGGCGATTCAGAAAAGGGTGTGTCCCTCAGCCACTCTTCCTTCGCCCTGATGGTTTTTTCAAGGGCATCGAGCTGCTTGAAATAAGCATTGATATCTTCCTGAAGCTGGACCTTCCTTCCCAGATCTTCCAGCTGCTGAGACACCGCCTTCCACTCTGATGAAACCCTCTCCAGAACATCGTTGATTTCTTCAGTCGAAAGGCCCTCTACACAAAACAGAAAAGTCCAAGTGCATCAGAGCAGACACTTCATCTAGTAATACCAAGGTTGTTTAGAATTGGTCCTACACACTCTGATACCCTGAGAGATGAGGCCATGTCACCTTTAATGATCACTCCCTTAGGTCCCTTCTAGTACAACCAAAAATCGTAATGATCCACTTATGAGTAGTTGGATGTCCTTTCACTCCTTGACCTAAGGGAGCAGCTCAGGAGTGGTTATTTCGCAAGGCACATCCATAGAGCATCCGCCAGTTCCTCTTCCAGGAACGCGTGTTGCCATCCGTGACACCCTACCATTCTGATAGCTTCTAGTCTGATGCAGCCCAATAAGCTCAAATGCCTGAATTTGTGCAGAGCTGGAAAACAAAGTAGAGAGCTAGCAAAACACAGAGCTGGCTCAGGTCTGTGGCAACGAAAGATGAAATGGTCCCCTCCCCTGCAAGCAACTGGGTACATGTAGGAACATGAAACCAGGAGCCAGGCCCCAGAAGCATCCACAAGCCTACTACTGAACATTCTAAACATATAAATGAATATGAAAAACGCCAAAAGAATGATAAAGGTAGCTGCTTGGGAGACATACCTCAAAAATACCACTATTCTTATTATGTTAATCTTATAAGGTTTACATCTATTTGCTTATTTTGTGTTGGGGGCTGCCCACGCGCCAAGGCATGCACATGGAGGTCAGAGGACCAACTGCCGGAATTGGTTCTTTCTTCCCACCATGTGGGTCCCAGGAAAGGAACTCAGTCGTTATGTTTGGTGGCAAAAGCCTTTACCCACTGAGCCATCCTATCAGTCACTGAAACTCTTAAAATGTTTTCTCAAAGTTTAAAAAAGTACCCAGTGTTTTTAGAAGTGATTTTTTAAATTATCTATAACAATAGGTCTTTCCATATTTTTTCCAGTGCTATAAATACCATCAAATCTTTTTTTTTTTTTTAAAGATTTATTTATTTATTATGTATACAGTGTTCTGTCTGCATGTATGCCTGCAGGCCAGAAGAGGGCGCCAGATCTCGTTACAGATGGTTGTGAGCCACCATGTGGTTGCTGGGAATTGAACTCAGGACCTCAAGAAGAACAGCCAGTGCTCTTAACCTCTGAGCCATCTCTCCAGCCCGACACTTTTTTTTTTTTTTTTTTTTTTTTTTTTTGGTTTTTCGAGACAGGGTTTCTCTGTGTAGCTTTGCGCCTTTCCTGGAACTCACTTGGTAGCCCAGGCTGGCCTCAAACTCACAGAGATCCACCTGGCTCTGCCTCCCGAGTGCTGGGATTAAAGGCGCGCACCACCACCACCCGGCTTCATTGACTCAAATCTTTTTAAAATGAGTGTGAAACGGTATAGGAAAGCGACAACAGGATTATTCTGTTTGGCAAACATCCTCGCTGAAAAGGTAGACTCAGCATCTTCAGGAAACGAGGACACTGAAATGAGTCTTCTTTGTAAACATATATGGCCAAAATCCACAGTAATGAAAAGTCAACTTAAAAGGAAAATGTCACGTGAAACAAGAAACCACTCCTGTTTCACCAACAACACAAGTTTAGAAGGTTGTGTGTCACACGACACTCTCCTAGAAATCTGAAACAAACATGCACCCCATGGATGAAAAGTATCACCCACGTTAGCTGTTGAAGTGCGCTTCCACCATCAGGCTGGTAACAGAACACTAAACCTAAGCCAGGCCTTCATACCACAGTCCTCATGCAAGTATCACTGTTAACAGAGTCATGGACAAGAAAAGGCACCATTTTTCTTGCCAAATGTGTGAACAGCGGTGATTCAGGCTGTGCTTCGGCACGGTTATTTCCATTCTGGTAGATGCAAGCAGAGTAACATCAGCCACTTTTTTTTTGCTCTGGGGTTTTTTTGTTGTGATTATTTCTTTCTCCCCTTTTTTGGTTTGGTTTTTGCTTTCAGCAGTTATTTCTGTGTTATATACCCATGTGTGTGGGCAGCCGTGTGTGTGTGTGTGTGTGTGTGTGTGTGTGTGTGTGTGTGTGTGTGTGTGGTGTGTGTTTGTGTGTCTGTGTGTGTGTATGCATGTGCACACACACAAACATGCACATGCACAAACATGCACATGCACCCATGCTCAGACACATGAAAGCATGTTCACGGTAAGGCTTGTAAAAATGTCTTTCTCGATCACTCTCCACCTTATTATTGAAACAAGGTCTCCTGAGGAACTCAGAACTGGTCCATGTGGTTGGTCTAGCTAGCCTGCTCGATCTAAGGATCCCCTGTCTCCGCCTCCAGAGTGCTGGGTTGGCTGCCAAATAACAGCATTTATACAGTAGATTCAGGGGATCCAAACTCCACTGCTAACACTTGCAAGGCAAATATTTTAGCCACTGGGCCATCCTACCCCACCCCAGCCCAGCCACTTCATTTTTATGTCAGGGCAATAGATGCTGAACAAGGAAGAAAAGAAAAGCTGGAAACTAACATTTCTGAGAGGGAAGATTAGCACCATTCATCTAAAAGCTGATGAGAGGCCCTCATTGTGGTACTAGGGCAGCTGAAGAAACCTCCACTACACAGTGAGTTCAGGTCCAGCCTGGGCTAATGAGACCCGTTTTCAAAATAATAATAACAATAATAACAGTTTGGAGAGATGATAGTTAAGAGCACCCAATGGTCTTGCAGAGGATCTAGATTTGGTTTCCAGCGCCCACATGATGGCTCACAACAGACCATAACTCCAGTTCCAGGAGATCCAGTTCCCTCTTCTATTCCCAGTAAGTTCTAGGTGCACACATACAGCAAATATGCATGCTGGCAAACACTTAGACACATAGAAGAAAAATAAATCATCAAGAAAAATTTAACCCACAAAGCAGTAATAACAAAACAACTCATACACACAAAAAAAGTTAAAGATTGAAAACTACTCGTTTGAGGATTTTGTCTAACTCATCTGCCACATCATGCCATGGTTCTTTGTAGCTTTGATCAGGGGCAGAAGCAGACACAAAACACTGAAGATAGGTGAGGGAATCCCACCTCTCCTGGATAGGAGTTGGACATTATTCAAAGTGCGATCAAACCCCGTTAAAACTGATATGAACTTACTAATAAGTTCCTACTGTAAGCATTCCTTCTGTTGTTTATTTTTCTGTAAACAAAATCGTAAGGGAAAGGGCAACCTAACTCCCCAAATGATGCTCCTAGAGTCTCCTTACTGCCGTCAGCAAGAGGACTGTCAGTAAAACAGACAAGCAGGCAGTCCTCATGCCAGCCTCAGCCGCTTGGAAAGCCCCTCAGGTGCCTTACATGGCAGTCACGGCGGTAGCACAACCCCAGCTCCTGAACGGGTAGCGCCAACCCTGAGAGTGTCAAACTTCTCACTGAACATTTTGCACCCTTCAGCGAACACTGGATAACAACACTGCATCCATTAACAATGAGGCCGGAGCGGGAGCACTTTCCCCAGCGGCCCCAAAGCATTGCTGGGACTGCTGCAAAGGGGGGGCGATACGACACTTGGTACAAACACAAAGCTTTATTTATTTGGGGGGTTTTCAGAGATAGGTACAAACACCCTTTCTCTGGCTACGTGAGTGAGTTGTTTAGCTCACCGGGTGAACTGGCTGGAAAACACACTCTTAAACGGCTTTCCCTGGTATTGCAACGCCAGGCCCAATAACAGGCTTCTCCTGAGTGGTCCTTTGTCACCTGCTTGCAGGAGGATGGGTTGAGTGAGTGACAGGAAGAGAGAGGAAGCAACAGAGACTGCAGAGGTGACACCAGTGAAATCAAAACTGTCAGATCTGAACCAGGGCAGCAGTGGGGGACATGCGGAGACTGATCGCCTAATGCAGGGTAAGCCGGGGCGGTGGTGGCGCAGGCCTTTAATCCCAGCACTCAGGAGGCAGAGGCAGGCGGATCTCTGTGAGTTCGAGGCCAGCCTGATCTACAAAATGAGTTCCGGGAAAGGCGCAAAGCTACACAGAGAAACCCTGTCTCGAAAAACAAAAAAAGAAAAGAAAAAGAAAACGCAGAGTAGACCACTTGGCTAGTGTATGCAAAGCCCTAGCTTCAATCCCTAGCGGGGTTCAGGGAAGGAGTTGGGGGCAGGGGGAGTGGGCTGGGGGAAAGAAGGACGGAGGGAGGGAACACAGAACTGAGCAGACCAGGAGATCTAATCCTCAAAAGGAGCAAGGAAGTCGGCTGCTTGACACCTGAAGGGACAGACCTGAGCAACCGGCTGACCACGTTGCGCAAACAGCAGAGGATCCAGCTGCCTACACAGCTGCAAAGTAGACAGGCCTCGACTGACCGCCACGAAAGGGCAGAGGTAGCCAGGTCCTGAGCCGCAGCCAAAGCCACAAGCCGCAGCGGAGCAGTGTGTGAGAACAAACTGGGCAGGAACAGGAAGGAAGGTGGAGGTAAACTGAGGTGAAGAGCTGAGGCTGGAGAGAGATAGAAGGCAGTAGAAAGCCTGAGAAGAAACCACAAGCTAAGGTCCCCGGAATAGATCCCGAAAGCTGCCAAGTCTTTAGAGCCAAGAGCCTTAGCCACCACAGGCACAGAAGCGCAACACTGGCCACTGCCAAGGGGTCGAGGAATTCCTAGAGCTTAGGCCCACTCACAAGGTACAAAGCCAGCCACTTTCCAGGGCTGAGGAGGCCCCACTTCCTAGCCGACACAACAATGCTTGTAGAAGAGCCCCTCTGCGGGAAGGCGGCACAAGACCTCTAACACTAGAGGGCACTCCCTGCTACTGCTCCTGCCTGCGGAGGCCATGCACTGCAGTCCCATGTGAAGAGAATCAAGAGCTAGCTGCCTGCAGGGGACTAACCCTCCCCTTGCAGATCCATGAATTCTACGCAGGTGGAGCTAAGACCCCGCCAGCTGACGGACAGCCTAAGTATTTTTAGAATAAGGAGCAGGTGCGCAGGAAATGTGCTCTTTGGTGCCCTCCATCTAGAGTTCTCAAGAAGGGAGGTTCTGCAGGAGGCCGACCCGGTCCTACTTGCTCCTCCATACGTGCTACAGTTGGTGTGTACCCACTACAGTTTCCGCCCTTCTACCGTCACCCAAGGCACCACGTGACCCTCACCAGATGGGAACCCCCACCCCAGTCTGTGACTTTCTCAGCTCATCATCTCTTTTCTCAAGGGGGCGGGGAGGAAGGTCCACCTCCAGCAAAGAAATACCTACATGCCAAACTTAACAGCCCGTCACAAAAACAAATACAAATTTTAGGTTTCTCTATGTCTATGAAAGACTTTAGTGGGGGGTGGGGTCTTCATTGCTTGCAAAAATTTCAAATACAAGTGACACCAAATTTAAGTAGAAAAAAAAATATTCCTAGAGTACTTTAATGTGATCCTCTGACAATGACCAAAAATCGAACATCAGTGAGTGTCCTAGTTAGCTTTAATCGTCCATTGGACACACCTTAGCATCATCTCAAAGGCAAACCTCAACTGAGGAATGATCTAATTATCAGACTGGCCAGTGGGCACATCGTGAGGGGGAATGGTCTTGATTGTTAAAGGATGTGGGGAGGTCCAGCCCACCATGGGCAACGCCATTCCTTAGGCAGGTGGTCCTGGGCTTGACAGGCCAGGCAGCTAGCAGGCTGCATCCTCCATGGTTTCTACTGTCAGATCCCTGTCTTAGTTCCCACCCTGACCTCCCTCAATAGTGGGCTGTGACTTTTAAGCTGAAATAAACCCTTGCTTCCCCTGAGCTGCTCTGGGTCATGGTATACGTCACAGCAACAGAATGAAACCAGAATACTGGGTTTACCATAAGGCAACTTCATATCTAAGATATTGCCAGCATAAGAATTTTCCCTCATCTATATAAAAAATTCAGAGTATGTAACCCCAAAGGTGAGGTTCTGAAGTCTTGTGCACTGTTGGATTTTAATTGCTCTGCTGAGGTTTTCAAGGTTTCTAGTTTTCTGACACCCCACCCCCCACCCCCACCCCATGTGGGAGCAGAATGACTTTGATTTTATCTGTTTTTAATAAAAAGCTTCAATATAAGATTTCAGTTTTTTAAGAGATTCTGCTGCCTCAAAAAAAACCTGAAAACCAGCTTTCTTTTTTTCTAGCTTTTTCTATGAAATGTTTTATGTGTTAAACTGCAAATATTAAGTGTGACCTTCTAAAAAAAATCGGAAAGAAAAAACCCCCGCAGGGTCTCACCTTTTCCCATTTGCTCTAGAAGGATTTGTCCGGTTTGCTTCAGTTCATCCAGTCGGGGGATCCTCTCTGTCTGCTCTTTTTCTAATCCCTGGAAATAAAGCCCAAATATAAAATACCGAAAACTTCCTCTCAATATAATGTCAATGCTATTTTAAAATCTCATGTTTAGTGGCCTCTTAACTGTTCTTTAGGTATTTCAAAGTTTACCTACAAAGTATTACAATGAAAAAAAAAAAAAACTAAGCAATTCCTGGTCACTCTCTAGCACTCTGAGAATTAATAAATCTGAAAAAGAAAATTCCAAAAACAATGATAACAGTGACTATAAATTTTAGATTCTTTTAGAAGGAAAAATGATATACCCTGTAACTATGAATTATGTAATTATGAATTATGAATATAATTATGAAAAATATTACTATCAAGGGGAAATCATTCAAATTAGCATTTTGGGTCTAAGATATCCATTCACAAACATAGTTTATTTCATATCATAAGAATAAAGGTTTGGGCATGCACTTTTAACCTCAGCACTTGGGAGGCAGAAGAAAGAGGACCTCTGTGAGTTCAAAGCCAGCCTGGTCTACAGAGCAAGTTATAAGCCAGACAAGGCTACACAGTGAGACCCTGTCTCAAACAAAATGAAAAGGGCTAGGGGGTGGGAGAAAAATAGAAGAAAAGAATGGTTTGGGGACAAAAGAACTCGACATGCTGTGACAGAGCTCACCAAGGAGAAGCCAGAGAGCAAGAGAATAATTTTGAGCCTCGGAATTATCTGCTGGCATTAGAGTTGGTCCAGGGTCTAATTCTAACTCAACACAGCACATTCCACGCACAATTTTAAAATAACGACAAACTGCTTTAGAACCCAAACTAAAGTGTTTTTGGTCTGAGAAATGGCCCTGTATCATAATACAGTGGCCCTCAGTATCTGTCTGTGGAGAACTGCCAGACACCAGAATCTGAGACTGCTCAAGCTTTTTATGTAAAGCATTGTACTATTTGCATACTGGCTGTATCTATCCTCTTGTAAGTTCAAGTCACCTCTGGTTTGCTTAAAATACCCAACAAGATGTAAAGGTAAGGTGAACAGATGTTATGCTGTGGTTGGCCGGGGCAAGTGACGAGTGTGTGTGTGTGCATGTGTAACTCAGATACAGTCATCCGAGGACTCACCACATGGTACCTGAGCAAGACAGAGAGTTGCAGCTCTCTAACAAGGCTGTTAGGTTGGGATGAGGGGGCTGTGAAACGGTGGCAGGTCACAGCAGGGTGTGTGCACACTTCATTCAGATTCTCTGGAATGTTTGGTGTGCAATGAGTTCAAGTTTTGCTTTCAGTAACTTGCTAGAAATGCTCTTCCCAGTATTTTCCATCCTCAGTTCATTGCTTCCATGGATCCAATGACAAATTGTAATTTAATTTTAAAAGCTATCTTGTGTAAAGAGAATATATTGAGGAAATTTTAATACACCAAATGCTTTGCTGTATACACAGGCGAAATATCTTTGGAACAGCACCAAGTCCTAAGTTACTTGATGTCAGACAATGTAGATTTAAACATACTTAAAAGGCAGAAATGATAACTGTATGTGCAACTCAATGGTTCAGGAGGAAAAAGGGGAAAAAAGTTAGAATTCCTCCTCCATATGGGGACCTGATGTCTAGTGTGACCCTCTAAAAACCATCTGCGGCTACATTTATTTCACAGAATCTTCTAGACCCTGCCACATCTCTAGGCCAACAGCAAAATTAGCCTGATGGGTTATTTTTATTTCCTAGCATACTTGTTTTATACTTTACCTTCAATTTCTTTTTCATTCCCGAAGTCTCCTGCAACTTCTTAAACTCTTTCATCTCTGTGTTCTCAATGGCGCTCTTGGATTTCAGAATCCAGTTCAACAGCTCCGCACTTACAGCATCGAACCTGGTTCAAGACGGAGACGTTAGCCTCTGCCATTGGCTTGCTCTCACTGTTGCCTTGGCCCAATAAAGAACAACCTGAATGCCCGCCAGGCATGTGCTCTCAACCAATGCCCCCAAATAGAACAACTACCCACAACAGTATCACACTTTCACAATTAACACCCTATAGGGTGAACATACTAATAGGGTTAATAAAATAATAATTAACATTTTTTTACTTAATTGGAAATCATTTGTATCTTTATAAACTATTATAGATAACAAAACCCAGATTTCGTTAGATGATAACAGAAAAGAACAAGTATAAACATTCCCAAAATTGTCTTGTTTTATACAATACGTAGTTAACTAGACCTATCGCAGCCTTCAAGAAGTTTCATGTCATCAGGAAGCAATGAAAAGTGACAGGTATAACAAAAGAATTTGCTAGGTACTAATTGCAGAGCTCCAGAGCAGTGACTCCTCACCCATCCAGGGAAAGGATGGTCTCAGGGCATAACAGTGGTTGTGCTTAACAGCTTTCCTTGCAAAAGGAAGACAAAGGAAAGGGAGGTCATATTTTGCAAGCTACAAATGGGTGTGTCTGGTACAGTGAGTGCTGTGAGGTAAGACTCATTAGCAATGAGGCCAAGAGTCACAGGGGCCAGTGACTGGAAGGCCCTGGTGATTTATTACAGAATCTGGACTTAAACAAAGAGCCATAAAGGGTGTTAAGCACAGACCTGATAAGAATCTGTTCCTAGGGTCCCGTTCACTGTGGGGACAGAACCAAAGACTGCACAGAAAAGGCCGCCATAGGAAGCAGGAGGAACTCAAGAGAGTGGCAATGGGGGAAGAAGAATGGGCAGGTTGAGCATGGGATGCAGAAGCCAGTTAAAAGCATGGTGAGAAAGGTGAGCAGGCCCTTGGCCAAGCCTTTCATGTCCATCACTAACACAAAGAATCCTCAGCACACCCTATGAAAACACACCTTTGATTACTCCTGCGAGAGTGGAGGCAGGAGAGTTCAGAGAGGTTTTTAAAGAACTTCCACACCAATAAATGAAGTGGGACCTACTCAAGCAAAGATAGTCCATGTAGCCAACCCCCTCACCCCGGTGTGTATCATAAGCAGAAGATGTATTTCACAATCCCTTTGGGAAGCATCCCTTAAGATTTTTCGAGTAGATTCTGAATAATTGCCCCTTCACTAAGGTAAGTTTCTGTATAATATGTGATTTTTAAAAAGGCATGTCTGCAAGATCTTGAATCTAAATCACTGAGGCCTAGGGTAGGGAAGGTAAGAGTTAAGAGAATTAATCAATTAATAGCTACCAACCAGAACTAACTTGGCATCTGGTGGCTGACCCCAGGCACCATACCTGTTAATATATAAGTGTTCCAGGCTAGTAGCCCAGAAGCAGCAATGCCTCTTACGGACTGTGCACCCACTTACCCAAAACCTTCCCTGCCTTGCAGCCTCTTCTCTATCTGCAGCCAATCTAAGCACAATGTAAACCGAAACCCCCTTCCCCAATCTTTCCTTATAGCTCACACCTTTCATCCCAGCACTCTGGAAGGCAGAGAGACAGGGATTTCTGTGAGTTCGAGGCCAGTCTAGTCTACAGAACAAGTTCTAGGACAGCCAGGGTGGTAACACAGAGAAACTGTGTCTCAAAAAAGCCAAAATGATGACCACCACAACCACAAATGCCTTGAAGGCTGGGGAGATGGACGGCTTTTGGAGTGCGTGCCCTCCAAAATCTGATTAAGACGGGCTTTTTGGTGGCATGTTTATAGACCCAGAGCTGGGGAGGCAGAAACAAACAAATTCCTGAGGCTCACTGATAAATAAGCCAGGTAGACCATGCCTCAGGAATGGTTGACTTCTGGAATACATGCATGCGCGCGAGCTCTGAGTTCCAAAGCACCCATCTCTTTCTGCTGAGCAGATTTGCTACTGCGGGATTCAAAATTCGTCCCCGGGCCACTCATTAAACCCCTTCCTTTTATTTCAGAGGTGGAAGGGTCCGTGAATTTTACTTGAACATAACTTAAGAGAGTGTACGATGCTCTAGGTAAGTAACCAGAATCCAGGTGTCATCAAACACCTTACTTCTGTCTTCCGATTAAGACTGCTACATAATCTTTCAGAGAAGAAAGCCCAAAGAGCATACAGTTAAAATGGCCTTGGAAACTAAGTCAGTTTCTGCCCTTAAAAAAACGAGTTCGATACACTGATCCCAGGACCAGATAACCAGATAGTTGGGAATGCCTGTTGTGAGCAGATTAAAAAAGAAAAAATCCATAAAGAAAACCAAATAAAATTGACTACAATCTACATCAAAAGAAAAGAGAACAGACCACCATATTTAAGGCATGCCCTGGAAACGGAGCCCTGGGAATGAGTGGTGATTTAGGGCTCTCAACTGTCTGCGGCATTCACTTCCAACACAAGTTCATCCCCATCTCTACAGCAGACTGCATATACGAAAGAGTCTGAAAATTGTGTCACACCAGGAATAGCTAAGAAGTGCCTAGGGCCTTAGGACAATGGAAAGGAATAGGAGAGCTAACTTCAAATAGTCACATAGGACCATTTCGAAGAGGGGCTGATCAGGAGACTAGGGGGAAATCGAACCGCATTAAGGCTGAGAGATTCTCACTGGAAGAAAACTAGAAGCCTCCCCAGCCAAGGCTAACAGGAAGCCGCTACTGCAGCATGCAGAGAAGCAGCGCTGCACATAGAGGAAGTTCAAGTGTGACAATGACCCCCTCAAAGGTCACAAACCCTGGGCTCGGAGTTTAGGCTTCCGTCTTTCCTCTCTGCTGTGGCCCACAGCCTCCTCCTAAGATGTGCATACCACTTCTTAACAAACTGTCTGTGCTTCTGCTATTTCCTAAGTCTCCCTGTCCAATTTCATCTTCTAGGAACAGGAAACTAGAGATCCCAGTGGGCAGCCACCAGACTCGGAGATGCCTAGAGAAGCACTACCAGGCTCTGCAACAGCCCTACAAAGACAACACACAGGACGTTCAGAGCCAAACATGGGGCACAGAAACATTACAGATGAGGAGATTCCCCTGCCTTCTGCTACCAGGAATTACATGTACTCAGGCCTTGGTCCAGGAATTAATCCAGTAATGAATGTCCACCTCGATCTAATCTCAAAGGCCATGACTAGCCCCTCGCAGCTCACTGCTGCTTACAAGTCCATCTTTGTACCAACTGGATAGACTGGGACAAGGGGAAGGGACACATGACACAGTTCATCTGGACCTCCAGTACACCGAGGGCTGTTTATGCACTTGAAGAAACAAGCGACCTGGCCAGTGACATCGAGGACGCAGTTTTCTAAGAAGACAAATGGCTAAAAGTGAAAGCCACCAAGCCAGTGACCGCAAGGACTATAGTGGGAATGTCTGCTGCGGCACATCCTCTGACCACAACTGGACCACCTCTGGACTTTCTTGTCATATGACATGATAACGAGCTGTTGAAGTCACCTTGGGTACAGCGTTCCGTCTCTTGCCATCGTGGAAGGCTCGCTCGTTATTCACCACAGGCAAGTATAAATTAAGCTCACACCATGACACACCCTGTCTCTTCCAAAGTCAGCCCTGGAGACACACGCCGCCAGATGCGCCTGGCAGCTAACGAGGGCTCGGGAAACGGAAGACTGCTGCTAATATTGACATCCGCGGTATCTTCTCCCCCGCTGCCACTGCCAAAGCAAAGGTCCTACATACAGCAGCTGCTTGCAACCCCAGGTGTGCGAGTCAGTCACGAGACACCATTAGGAGGCAGAAAACAGGCTTGGGGGCAAAGAGAAAGTCAGCTGGTACACCTTGAATCCTGCTTTCTCTAACAAAAGCGAGACTATGAAAAGCATATCGTTTTTGATTCGGGCCCCTCATAACTGCCCATGTACCTGAGTCCCGGGATCTCACTGCAGGGGGAAGCATGAGAACAAACTTAAGGCCGTGTTGAGGGTCACTGTGACCGGGCCTATGAGATCCAGGACTTGACACAGCCAAGGCCCAGGGAAGGCCGCTGAGTTCCCCTTCTTCTAACAAGCTCCAGTTTTCTCTTGCATCAATAAGATAAAAGAAATATTTTAACCCAAGAGAGGTCTTTCAGCTAAACAGGAAGACACTATTTAGAAACCTGATAAAGAAATTAACAAAGAAAACCTGGACTCATGGAAGAAGAGGCGGATGGGGAGGAAAAGGGGGGAAAAAAACGAGAGACCAAAAACGTATTATCTCCCTGAACTGCTATTTTAACAGTGAGAAAAGGAAAGAGATTCACAAAGAATAAGGAATTTATCAGAAGCCAAACTGTCAGTACTTTAACATCTGAAAGACAGAATAAAGGAGGAGCTGCAAACAACCCTTCTGGGGTTGGGGGATGGATGGGGAAGGAGAGGCGAAGAGTTACATCACATCAGTCTCCAGATTTAACAGAGGCTGAATAAAATCCCTCGGGGCAATTTAGATGCTTAGATCCTGTGAAGCAAAATATTCCAAAGACTCAAAAGGCAGCAAATGCGTTCAGGACTGAATTTCCATAATAATGAGTATGTCTAAATTCGCATGTGATTAGTGATTAGTGCAAGTTACGTTATGCGCAGGCCTGACGTTGGGATGGAGTCTCTCACTTTTTCTTGGCCTCCGCGTCCACATGGATCTGCCTCTTCTTTGGCGGGGGAGGAGGGGGCAGCTCCTGCTTAGACTTTTTGGTTGTCCCTTGTTCTCTTACATGAACGGTCTCCAAAAGATCCTTCTGAGAAATCTGGGACATGCCAAGCTTTGCTACAGCCTGAGTCACCTGAAAGAAAAGTCACAGCAAGCTTTGTCTTTACACGAAGGCCTTTACTGAGAGATAGTCACACAAAATTCTCCCTATGAAAACGTACAATTCAAACCAAGCATGGTGACACACACCTGTAATCCCAGCACTTGATAAGTAGAGGCAAGGGTTAGAGGTTCGAGGCTAGCCAGAGCTATATAAAAGCAAAGGGAAAAGTCTACTTCAGTGGGTATTCGTATGTAACTGGCTCCAGATTTTATCTCCAAGTTAGCCATGCCATGCCATCTTGTAATGTTCCTTCATTATGTTTGAATAATGGCAATTTCCAAAACCAAAGTAATTTTGTTTCAAGAACTACAGTGACTTGTTTTTCTAGATTCTTGCTCTGGTCACCTTGCTGACTCCCAGTAATGGCTGGCCAAAAGAGATGTTTATTGACATTTTCTAAGTTACCACTCACCTTGTCTTTGCACAGGACAAAAGAGGAACATGTTAGTGTCCTTTGCCTCTCCCCTTTCTGCCCTGTAACTAACTACCCTGGCCCCCAAGCAGATGGTAGGCTCTAGGTCCTGAACTGGAGACCCTCTCTGCAGGCTTTTCTCCCAAATGAAAATTGTGTACTATCATTGAATAGCTCATACCCTTGCCTGTCTTTTCTTCTCACTAGCCTTATACTCCAAGATAAGTTAATGACCCCCAAAATAGAACCTTCTATCTGTTCACAGCATCCCATGCCCCATTCTCCACCCCTGGCAACCTCACAGCATCCTATTCCCCAGTCCCCACCCCTGGAAGCCAATGAGCGCCTCTCATTCTGCCAGACTTTGTCCATCCTGCACATTCCATATATCCAGAACCACACTGCGCATGACTGGCTTCTTTTGGTTTATCACAAAGTTTTCCTGGTTCAGCCACATTATGTCTCCCAGTTAGCCATGGCCATGCCATCTTGTAATGCTCCTCCATTGTGCTTGAATAATGACAGTTCCCAAAACCAAAGTAATTTTGTTTCAAGAACTACAGTAACTTGTTTTTCTAGATTCTTGCTCTGGCCACCTTGCTGACTCTCAGTAATGGCTGGCCAAAAGAGATGTTTATTGACATTTTCTAAGTTACCACTCACCTTGTCTTTGCACAGGACAAAAGAGGAACATGTTAGTTTGTCGATGTCTCATTCATTGTTATTGTCAATTAGTACTGCACACTTTGGATATGAGACCGCAGTTATCCGTTCCTAAAAACTTACAATTTTACTGCATGGTGGAATATACTACCCAAAGCAAAAGGTACCTGGTTCGAAGAGTCTTCTAGTCTCTGAACCAAAGAATCCCATCTCTGTGTTAGTTCCTCTGAGTCACTGCTCATCTTCTGAGACGCCTTGGGATTATTGAGTAGTTGACCCACATCCTGGCCAATCTCACTCAGCTGGTCCAATGTTTGCCTCTTCATTTCCATGTCTTCCTTCAAGATCTAGCATGTGAAATATTTATCAGACAACTCTCTCTCAACAAGGCTTCTCTTCCTCGGGGAGTGTAAGTAGGTAGATGGGTGGTACTACGGACAACATGTTCTGCTATTCTCTATGCTGCAATAAATGGGTCTTGGTTTGGTACCATAGATGGCAGTCTTAAGTAATGGGAAACGAGCCATAGGCTATGTTCACTCAACTGTATTAACACTTAGTTACAAAACACTAGACATCACTGGCTTACAACGGACATCGACAGCCACACACTTACCGCCAGACGCCGGACACTGACACTCAGTTCCCTTTGATCTTTGAAGTTGCTGGTCTGGACTTTATTCAACGCCTCTTCCTTTTCAGTGAGCCAAGCTTCCAACAAGCACTACGAGTAATAACGAAAGTTGGAAATATACATGGGAAATCATCTGGTGATTCGCATAAGTTCCCAAATATCTAACCTGTATTAATGGTGTCACATTTAATGGAGGATAATAAGAACTTCAAATACCCAAGTCCAAGAAACAAATGACTGGCAGAAGCATTAGCCTCCAACAACTTACAACAGTTTAACTTGCCATTAGTCCTAAACTAGGGTAACTGGTAAGGTGTGGACAGAGTTCAGTGTGTCCCCCCTCCCTCCAAGGGCTACTGTGCTGGAAGATCATGGTCACCAGTGTGGCAGGTGAGAGGTGGAGAGTTCAGTAGGAGGTCACTGAGGGTGCTGCCCTCACAAGGAAAGAATTTTCTGGGGCTTCCTTAAGTCCCTGAGAATCACTGTTACCAAAGAGCAAGGCTGACCCTTTCCTGACCTCTGGCTTCCTACGTCCCCACGTGATCTCTCCCTTTGGGGTCCATTCCCACCACAATGCTAAGTGTTGTGATGTGACACACAAGGGCTTCTCACCAGAGCTAGCACCATACTCTTTGACGTCTCTATCTCTAAAACTATGAATGAAGCAAGCCTTTAGGACTGTGGGCGCAACTCAGTGATAGAGCCAATAGGTACAGTCCTTAGTAGCACCTCATGAAAGACTATAAATAAGCCTTTTTGTCCTTATACATTACCAGCCTCTAGGATGGTTTGGTTTGTTTGTTTGTTTGTTTGTTTGTTTATGGGGTCTTGCTAGTGTATCAAGCTGGCCTTAAACTCGAAATCCTCCTGTCCCAGCCTCCTGAGCTCCTGGGACTCACAGGTATATGACACCAAAGCTGGCTAAGGATTTTATTATAACAGAAAAAAATTATTCCATATAGTAATCAAGCATAAATCTCAAGAAAGTGAGCAGATAAAAGATACTTAATCCAATTATGCCAAGTTTTTAAAAAAAATCCTATAATAACTCTTAAGTTTTTTTGTTTTGTTTTTTTCTTGGGATAGGAGGGTTCGAGATGGGGCTTCTCTTTGTAACAGCCCTGGCTGTCCTGAAACTTACTCTACAGATCAGGCTGGCCTTGAACTCACAGAGATCTTCCTGCCTCTGCCTTCTAAGTGCTGGGATTAAAGGTATGCACCACCATCACCCAGCATAACTCTAAGTTTTAATCAAAAGGAAGCTCAGAGGTTTTCTTGTCCCTGCTTCTCATTTTAGAGAAGAGGACAGAAGTCAAGTGATATGTTCGAGGTCAGTTAGCTAGTTACTGGCTGAGCTGGGTCATGGACTCCTACCCCTAAATCAAAGGTCTGTCCACAGCACCATGCAGGAAAAGTATGCATATGGTCAAAGTTCAAAAGCAATTACATTGAAGGAGGAAATCTGAGGATGGCCCAAGGCCAACACCAAAATATTTCAAAGTCACAGCCAAAAGCGCATGTTCTTTTAGAAGATGCTGAGTGATGTAGTAAGATAACCTTAAGGGGCCAACTGTGGCCGAGTTAAAACCGTCCCCCAAAGGAATAAGTATTACAGAAATGCTTTTCTGTATCTTTTTAGAGGCAAGGGCTTACTTCTGCACTTAAAATGGGATGAATTCTTTCTTGATTGTCTTATTAATCAGTTTATTGACAGGCTATACCTTATCTTTATAGTCTACCACCACCACTACCACCACCCCAAAAAGATAAAAAAAAAAAAAAAGACAAATACAGATCCTATCTACAGTCTAGCAAAGTTGATAAGATATGTGCAGGCGTGTGTGCGTGCGCGCACGCACGCGCGCGCACACACACACACACACACACACACACACACACACACACACACAGAGTTAACGTGTCCTAGCAGTAGTCAATAGTGAATGGATGGTTAATTTAAAGCTTCTAGTGATAAAAATGACCAAAACTTGATATCCCTTGGCTTTTAATTTTTTTTTTAATTTTAAAGTTATTCCAGACGTCAATGAATTATTTCACTTAGATGTCTTAAAGTTTCTATGACTGTGATGAAACACCATCATGACCAAAAGCAACTTGCTGAGGATAGACTTTATCTCCTCTTTCAACTCTCAGGTCCCACCCCATCTCTGAGGGTCTTGGGTAGCACAGCAGGGCTCGGAGGCCTCAGTGAATGAGATAACTGCCTTACTCTTCAGGTTTGCTCTGCTTTCTGCTACAACTCAGGACCACCTACCTGCCCGGGAGGACCACCACAGTGAGCTGGGCCCTCCCACATCAATCACTAATCAAGAAAACACCCCCACAGACTCGCCTACTGGCCAATCTGATGGAGACATTGTCTCAATTGAGGTTCCTCTTCCCCAATAACTCAAGACTGTGTCAAGTTGACAAAAAAAAAAAAAAAACAAACCAGGACAGTAGAAAAGTCACACTGACTTTTTTCTGACAATACCGATGCCAATTATAATTACTGAAGCAAAATATTTATCTACTGGAGGGGACACTTTGACCTGAACATGAAGTTCCAGGTTAATGTACATATTGCTAAAGTACAGCAGTCACATATCAAAAAGCAGAACTGAGTCTATTATATGATCTCTGTTTTGAGATAGGATCTCACAGCCCAGACAGGCCTCAGACTTGCTACATAGCTGAGTATAAACTTGAATTTCTGATCCTTCTGTCTAGTGCTGGGATGACAGGTACCCACCACCACACCCACTTTATGAGTAACGAAAGAATTAACCCAAGGTTTCATATATACTAGGAAAGTGCTCTACCAAGTGAGCCACATTCATATATCCATCATGTTATCCTTTTATCCTTAATTAAAAGAAGGAGAGGGCCGGGCGGTGGTGGCGCACGCCTTTAATCCCAGCACTCGGGAGGCAGAGCCAGGCGGATCTCTGTGAGTTCGAGGCCAGCCTGGGCTACCAAGTGAGTTCCAGGAAAAGGCGCAAAGCTACACAGAGAAACCCTGTCTCGAAAAACCAAAAAAAAAAAAAAAAAAAGGAGAGGAGGAGGAGGAGGAGGAAGTAGAAGAACAGCAACAGGGGCTACCATGCTGATCAATCACTTAGGTCTGGACAAGTTTTTGCAACACGATATTTAAAATGTATGTACTCTCAGCCACCGCATATGGTGAGCCACAAGATCTCACCCATCTGGTTCCTGATCCCCAGGTAGAGAATAGAACTGCTTTTTCTGGATAGAAGTGCGGTGTATTTAGAAGAGTCAAGATGGACACTGTGGGAACATTGCATCCGCTTATTTTCTAGACTACAAGTGTTTGGCACTGGGGAGAAAAATCACACTTTTTTGTATTCTGTTTTGATAATGACTCTTGTGGCAAGCTAAAGGGTGAACAAAGGGCCACCATTCTAACAGAAAAACTGCCACAGTGCAACTGAGTGTTCATTCGAAGGCAATGCGAGAAAGTACTTTCTCATTCATTTCAGCCCATATGCTGCTAAAAGTTAGGAGGAAGATAATAATTTAATGTTCACAGGGTATTGAGGCTATACCTTTACCTGTTATTTACTGACCACAAACTACATGCTGGGAATTGTGTTGGTATATGTTCAAAGGGATCACTCAATGGAAACCCAGTAGTAATTATAATGTGAAATGTTAAGAATGGTACAGATGTAAGCACTAACATTATGAATAATGAACAGAGATCAAATGATTATTACCGTGGAGCTACATACCATGACCATAATGAATAACCTATATAAATGGACATAATATTGATTAGAAATTTGACTTTCAAAATAATAAATAGGGGGCTGTAAAAGCTGCTCAATCGGTAGGGTGCATGGCCATGTACAAGGTGCTGCCCTCACTCCCCAGCATCACAGGAAGCAGCATAGCGCCCCATGCCTGTAATGCCAGCATTTACAGGCTGGAGACAGGAGAGTCAGGACCTCAAGGTCATCTTTAGCTACACAGTGAGTCTCAGAACAAAATAAATAAGTAATCAAGCAAACCAAAAATGTAGGCAAGCAAATGAATTAACTACTTAAATAAGCAGCAGTCAATATTGAATAGACGGTCCATTTAAAGCTTCAAGTGACATAAGTGGTCAAAACACTTGCTTTCCCTTTGTTTCTAAGCATTTGTTTCAATTTTAAAGTTATTTGCAAACTTCAATCAACTATTTCCCAAATTTCAAAATGATTTCAAATTATCTCCTTCCGAAGGAGGGGAAGAGGGTAGCTGTGTTCCACAGCCATAATGAAATGATGGGTTCCATGTCACTTTTGTCTTTGAGGGACAGAAGTTTCATGTCATACCTGTTCTTCCAGTAATTCCTGCCACAGAATGCTGATTTCCTGCAGCCTGTTCCAGCGTTCTTCTGTCCATCGGCACACAGCAGTCCAGCGCTCGCCCAGTTTCTAGGGAAGGGAGAAGCCCGCCTCCGTCAGAACAGCCAGGAGGCACAGTCACTACAGTTTCCCTAGAAAGTCGTGATTGCCATCGCTCCTTGTCATAAAGCACCAACTTATGAAAAGTACTTTTAAGGGTATGGGTGAGAAAAAGAACTAGCTTGCATAGAATGTAATTACTTAAATTACTCAGAACTGAGAAAAAAAAAAAACGGCTAGAATTCCTGTTCCTATTTCACCAAGGGGTTTGTGTGGGAATGCAATATATTTTCAAATTGGGTACATGTGTCTGAGATTTCTTATTTATTTATTTATTTATTTATTTATTTATTTATTTATTTATTTTCATTTTGTGGAGCCAAATCCAGAGATCTGCATGTGCTCAGCAAGCCTTCAACCACTGTGCTACAACTGCAATCCACATTTACTTTCTCTACTGCAAACTTTCCAGGCTACGTTTGCCTCCACAAATTCTTCAAGTGACCTCACACAGGAACGCCTGTGGATCATTTGAATGGGTTCCTGTGCTTTCAAATTTTGTTAACATTATAGTCTTGCTGAATTATAGTCTCGTGCCTTCACTACAAGGAAGGAAGGAACACCTGGCTAAGCCTGTAACCCACATAATGTGGAGCCACAGCGGGGAAGTACAACCAAAGGTGGGTGTCATGGCTTGTGCCTCACCTTCACTCCACCCCACCCAGAAATCAAATAGGAATTTTAATTCCCAAAGCCTTGCATGAATAGTTTCAAGAGAGTAGAAGTTTAGCTTGAGAATGGGCTTTGTTTGGCGGTTTTGTTTCGTTTTTGTTTTGAATTAGATTAAATCAGGGCATGAAGGTGGTCCCAACATGATCAAATCCTAATGGTTTAGTAAATTAAGGAAGGGACACCACACAGACACACACATGCTCCAGTTCCATTGGGATCTAGCCAAGGGAGAACATGTGTCAGGCTGTCTGGACTGCCAGCCTCCAAAACTGTGAGCTAAGTAAACTTCATTCATTATAAAGTAGCCTGCCTCGGGAACTTCATTACAGTAACAAAAAGACAGCTAACAGAGTCTACTTTTTTAGACTAGGATGCGTAGGAGGAGCAAGTAGGCAGATCTTGACTAGAGAGAAGACCTTTAGGCCCACCCTATTTTTTTTTCAGTGTCCTTACCTGTAACTGATCTTCCAGAACAGCTGTGGCACTCTCCCCACTGTTTTCATCAACAATTACCACCATGTGAGTTAAGGAATTTACCTTCACCTGCTCGGCTTCAAGGTCATTTTGCAAACTCTGGAGGAAAACAAAAATAATATACACTATGATTTCTGCTCTTCCCCTTTGTCAGTAGTAATTAAGGAAACCTAATGAGGCATTGTATTGCCACTTCCAATCATTCCCCTGAGTACTTCTAAAGAAAGAAGCCCGCACACACCTGTACATTTCATTATGAACCAGTCTGAAAGCGCAACATCCAAACTGATTGCAAATGTAATGTCATCTTTAGTCCTAATTCTGCCCAAAAACAAAAGAAGAAGAGGAAGAGGAGGGAAAGGAGGAGGAAGAGAAGGATAGCGTGTGTCTATTCTAAGAATAAAGACACAAATATATCCAAGTGTGGTTATCACAGCACTCAAGAGGCAGAGGCAGAAGGATCTCTGAGTGCAAGGCCAGCTTGGTCTGCATAGAAAGTCCCACATCAGCTGGGGCTACATCATGAAATGCTGTCTCAAAAAGACAGAAATGCAGGACTGGTGGATCTAAAAGTCCAGGGTTTAGAGTTTAACCACACAAAATCACAGGTCATTTTCTCTAGCCCTATAAGGCGTGAGATGTGAGATGAGGAAAATGCTATATGATTCATAGACGCTATTCTGATTAGCTCCCCAAGAGAGCAACCAAGAACAAACATATGGACGTCTTCACTTGCCCCTTCCACAGGAAGAGAACAGTCATCAGACATCTGTAGAGAGTAATTTGTTTCAACACTAGCAATAGTGTTATGAAATGCCTCTTGGGTAGTGTTTAATGTAACCCTAAGGCTTTATTAATTGGTTATCTAGATGTTCTCCTGATCAATAAGAGTGTCTCTCTACCTTTCCTTTCTTCTGTTGTGAAAACTGAACCACTGACACTGGAACCAAGTTACACTGCCTGCTACATTTTGGCTCATCACACAGTGCCCCATGCATGCCCTTGTGAGAAGAGGCAACAATTATCCTTGCAGGATTAGGTCTAGATACATCTTCCAATTTGTTTCTCTGCCCACATTCTGCATTAATGCCCACACACCCAGGTTCTCATGCACTTGTGAGTCCAAAACCATCCTTGCCAAATGTCATACACTTTCAGAAGAACTACACAGACATCTATGCAAAGCTGTCCCTCTCAGCCCTGGCTCAGAAATTTCACCTCCCCAAAAACACCACTATAAGCTCCTAAAAAAAAATAAAAATAAAAAATAAAACACAGAAGTATCCCAACTCCATACTGAGAGAACATCGGGTCCCAGGAAGGCTGAGTGCCACCTTCATATGCGATGAGGTAGAAAAGAAACAAGGGGCCAATTTACTTTATGTTCTTCAAGCAGCTTTTGCAGGGACCACAGGTCATCACCCGGTGGGGCGCTTTCCATCTTCTGAATGCGTTCTTCTGTGAGGGTCAGCCAGCCCGAGAGCTGCTGCAGCTGCTTCTTCTGCAGTCCCATCAGCACGTCGTGCAGCCTGGCCAGGGGGACACAGCATTAGTCCCTCCAGCATGGTCCCTGGCAGAGGCACTCACTCCAGGCACCAGGAAAGTGGGATTGAGACAGTGAACACACCCTTGTCTAACCTATTTAAGCAGCAGAGCGTCCATTGATGTAGAAACTAAGAGGGAAATGCCGGGCGGTGGTGGCGCACGCCTTTAATCCCAGCACTCGGGAGGCAGAGCCAGGCGGATCTCTGTGAGTTCGAGGCCAGCCTGGGCTACCGAGTGAGTTCCAGGAAAGGCGCAAAGCTACACAGAGAAACCCTGTCTCGAAAAACCAAAAAAAAAAAAAAAAAAAAAAAGAAACTAAGAGGGAAAGTTTTTATTATAGTCATAACTGGAGTCCATTAAATGCAGCCCAAGAACATAAATAACAGCTCCCAGTATTCATAACAGAATCATTGTTTCTACACTCAGGAATTCCTGCCTATTAAATTGGTGGAAATGGCAATGGAATGTGAAACACAGTGTGGAAAGTGAAACAGACCACGGGCTAAGGTTGCTCCAGAACACTGAATGGGAGGCCCGTGTCACACTGTCCTGCCGTCACCTCCCAGCAATGCCTTGCTGATGGTAATGCTACTCCAAAGCAACAGCCGTCCGTGGGGGTAAGTTTGAACTGCCAACTCAGCACAGCCTAGAATCACCTGAGATGACAGTCTCAATGAGGGGCTGTTTAGATGAAGCTGGCCTGTGGCATTGAATTGATAACCTTAATTGATATGGGAAGGCGCATCTGAAAAAGCAGCACCATTCCCTGGTTGGGACCCTGAACTGTATGAGAGTAAAGAAAGGTAGCTGAGCACTAAGCATGGGTGCAAACATTCCTCCTGGTCCTGATGGTGGAAGAGATGTGACTACTTATTTCCAGCTCTTGTCCCTGTGATGTCCCCAAAATGATGAGACCATAACTTGGAATTGTTAGCTAAGATAAGCCCTTTCTCCCTTTAGTTACTCTTTGTCAGGGTATTTTATCACCACAACAAAAACAAAACGATGGTATATCATCTATGCAAAATATACTTTCCCTTCTGACCCCCTCTCACATCCCAGCTTTCTCCTCAAAGAGGAAACAAAGGTCATGAACATTCTAGCGACATGACCCACAGAAAGGAGTCAGAACCCCGCCCAGCCAGCTCTGTACCAATCCTACTCACAGGTCCACAGACCTGTACTTAAGCTTCACTGTGCAATGCGGTCTGGGGAGTGAGGCTCTTGTTTCTGGAGTTCCACTCACCGGGACTGCCTCTCCATGCTCTCCACCCGGAGGGCCTCCCACCTCGCATTCAGCAAGGTCATCTGCTCCTGGATCTCGAACTCCTCCTCGTCGGACAGAGTGCCTTGCGTCATCAGTTGGTTCCCAGCCTGCAGGACACTCCCCACACTGCTCTGGTGTGCTGTCAGCTCCATCATGAAAGCCTAGCAAAGGACACGGTGGTGAGCGGTGAGGCACTTATTGCAAAATAAACAAAAAAATTAAAAAAAATAAACTGCTAGTGCATAACCTCCATATCAATGCCACAGAGAAAGTGGCCTACAGGAAGCAAAGGTAAAGGAGCCTGATGGGATGTATTAAGCTCCAAAAACACGAAATAAGCATCAACTAGAACTCAAAAGGCAGCTAGGTCAAAGGAAACAATGTTGTGGATGATAACACTTGCCTTTCAAACTTTTACATTTGTTTATTTGTGTAAGCTCCCATGTACATGTGAGTGTGTGTGTGTGTGTGTGTGTGCGTGCGTGCGTGCGTGCGTGCGTGCGTGTGTGTGTGTGTGTGTGTGTGTGTGTGTGTGTGTGTAGGGTGGGTAGAATCACAGGACAACTTGTGAGGGGTGGATCTCTCTTTCTGCCAAGTGAGTCTCAGAAACGGAACTTGGGTCATCAGGCTTGGCAGCAAGAGCCTTTACCAGCTGAGCCCTCTCTTTTAAGTATATACTGATTATGTTGTTCATAGATCATAAAGGTGGAATTAGGATTATATATAAAAAATAATTTAAAAAACACCACATCCACACACAAGATAAACTTCTTATGAAATATTACCATTTCTACTCTTTTCAATCACAAATGCCAAATAGCATCACACACATCAAAAACAAAAAACAAAACAAACAAACAAAAAACCCTGTTTAACCGAAAAGAATTCCCCCATACAGCGAAAATCATCACTGTATCTCATACTGGATATAACACTGGCTTAATCAAACAACAAATAAAACTAATGGCTTTTAGGGTAGCATCAGAAACCTAATGATTTGGGATACCAGTTGGTCATTTTGATTTTCAACTACAGCTAAACACTTCAAAAAGGAACATCTATATATACACTGATATCTATCAGCAGTTTTGAAAAACACATGAGCTGCCATCAGATTGAAGTCTGGGATCCGATTCCCATGAACTGTCCATCTCCCACTCCAGTTCTCTGACGAAGTCCATTTAAAGAACACAGGCACTACACCATGACCTTTTTCACAGAGCAAAATTCAGGAAACAGCAAGCCGATCATGAAGTCACCCCATCCACCCCTAAATCAGGCACCACCCCAGACAGATCAGGCTCTCGGCCACAGATATTTACTTCATGGGTAGCAAACTGCTCTTTGACTTCTTCAACATCATCAGAAATGTCATCTTGTTCCTGGAACGTGTCCTCCGCAGACAGCAGCCATGTCAACACTTCCTCTAGAGCTATCTGGTAGCTATCCAAATCCATGTCCACCTCGGTGACAGTGCTGGGGGTCTCAGCGCGGGGGCTCTGGCCTTCCTCCGCCAGCACTGCGCTCTGTGGAAACAAAACCACAGCAGTCATGAAGATACAGGTGTTCGCCAAACTCTCACTGTCTGGAACAACCAAGCAGGGACCAGGGTCTCAGGAGACAATCCAATTCTCAGGAGCTGAGCGAGCAAAGCCATGAAGGGCACTTATTCAGCGCAAGAAGACACCAAGGAATACCAAACAGAGCACACGCATGAGTTCCACATCTGAGGAGATTCTAACATAGAGTCAGGGAGAGAAAAATATCCCGCATGAGTCACTGCTGAGCAAAAATAAATGGCCCTCCAGTAAGCTCTAAATGCCAGGGGTCCCATAAAGGAGCACTATTGGACTTTACGACATAGGGAATTTTGATGGAGGACAGAGAACATGCTGGCCCTTGAACAATGGTTGCAATTTACAGAAAAAACATCGAGCCAGGAACTCTGCTATGACCCCTGGGTAAAATTCTTTCATGACCCCACATTTGAGTGTTGCATGTTAAACAGTGAACAATGGCGGACATGCAACCTGTGGCACTGCCGGGATTTTGTGTTTCATTTTTGGAGGCAACAGCCCTCTAGTTTATGTGCTGCTCTGCTTGGGGTTTTTGGTTTGGGGGTTGAGGTTTGTAGAAGAAAACTCTGCCTATCTCTTTCTAGTTTCTCTTGAAGAACGTTCTGGTCTTGTAATCAAGCCTACTGCCCTTCTTCTTCTTTTGTTCCCCTTCAAAGCAAAGCTTATTTAAAACTTGTGAGCAGACTACCCCATGTTCAATCCTCTAACGCATTTTTAAATAAAATATTCCACACACACATGAATGAAGAGATGCCTCACATACGTAACCTCTAGTGTGTCCTAACATTGTTTCAACACTGTCTCAACATTTGCACCCAAACGACTGAAAAGTTGGCAAATCCACTTTTCCAGCTTTACTTCTAGAGTACACTTCTAGACCATACAATTAATCGACCAATTAAAATGACTCTGATCAGAGCTATGCTGGAACAACACCCCAACCAGAAACAAGAGGAGACAGCCATCATGTGTTTCTCCCATAAGCTTCTCAGTGGCCTCCTCTGGCGCTGACCCCTCCTGACTTCCCCAGCTCTCCTTCCCAGGAGCAGAACACAGTGGTCCCTCCCAGTTCAGCGGTCCTGCCCATCTGTGAGTGATGGACCTCCTGAAACTTCTTTTTCTTTATATACTTTGGCTGAGTGATATCTTCGCTTTCTACTGGATTTTTAAAAAATAACCCATATCCCGTAGATAGTCTATTTCTAGTAAAATCTCTTTTCTAACTTTCAGAAGTTCTGACACCTCCAGTGTCTATAAGACACATGCATCAAACCATAGTCACATTTAAACACTCCATTCCTTCACCCCAAAACTTACTCCCCCTCAGGCTCCATGCACCTAAGTACTCCAGCTGAAAACCTGGCTGACAGACTTGATCTCTCTCTCTCTCTCTCTCTCTCTCTCTCTCTCTCTCTCTCTCTCTCTCTCTCTCTCATCTCCCACGTTTAATCTGCAAGGCCGTCCTACCTTCAAAGTTCACCGCAAATCCACGCAGACCTTCCACATCTACAGCCACCTATGTCTCTCCTCGGGACTACAATGACTTGCTAACGTTTGGCACCCACCTCCCAATCCACTTCCCGGACAGCGGGGAGAATGATCCCTCCCATGGCTTCACACCCACAGGACTCCCTGCCTGAAATCCTTCACTGTCTTCTCAACGCTCTTAAGTCACAATTTAAAATTCTTCACATAGTTCACCATAATAGTGAGATGGCGAGAATCAGAGAAAGACAGTGTGGGCACATGCAGATGGATCTTAATGGGTTAATGAGAGAAGACTTTCCTTATAGGTTCTGTCTAAACTGAGGAAAGAGGGGCAGCTTACTCAGGGACCATATACGTAGAATACACTCCACACATGGAATTCAACATACATAAGAATAAGGGGGGAAAAAAATCCCACCCTGACTGAAATTATAGCGTAAGAGGTATTAAATTAACATTAGAAATTGAGGTTGGAGCCCAAAAAAGTTGTTTTAGAGAAATCAAATGAATCTGTTCAACTGAGTTACAGGAGTAAGTTGAATGAACCAGTCATCATAAGTCAAAACACTGGCTAATTAAAAGACAAACAGTGTCAAGCCATAGGAAGGAAAGTAAGCTAAATTCTCAATGTAAAATCCTGACATCGTAGCGCTAAGGTATCTCTAAAGGTGATTTGGGAGCCAATGTCCAGCATGTCAAACTAGGAATGTTGGTAATCAGCCAAGGGTCCTCTGTGTAGGCACGCATCCATGAGGGAGGGGTGGAAGGCAGGCTCAACATGCAAAGACTCAGTGGGCATTCGTTTAAAAATAGGTCTTCAACAGTCTCGTTTTTAAAGAGATGCAGAGATTACCTACAGGTCACCTAATGCTACTCAGCATGTTGGAAGAAAGAAGGAGAGCCAGAGAGGGGACTGGTTGTCAGTGACAGAAATCAGTGGGCAGCAGGACAAGTCAACAAGGAGATAGTTAAGACTTGATCACTTTTGATTTCCTCAATCAATGTAACTCAACCTCTAAGTTAGCAATAAAAGCATACAAGTGGAAAGGTAAGAGTTAACATGCTTATCCATAGACAAACAATACATGGTTTCTGGAATTCTTACCGTGTCACCTCACCTTGCACCCTAAAAAGAAGTGATTGTTTTATCTAAATACCATAAAATAAACAAAGTCCAGTTCTCTCTCTCTCTCTCTCTCTCTCTCTCTCTCTCTCTCTCTCTCTCTCTCTCTCTCATTAACTATTACTGTGTGGGTGGGTGCACACATATGGAGGTCAGTGAACAACTTTATAAGCTGATTTCCTTCTTCTACCTTTATGTGAGTTCCAGAGATCTAACCCAGACCCATCAACCTTCGGCACAAGCAAAATGAAAAGGAAAACCCAGAACACCATCTGAGTGACCCAAAGCAGAACAGCGTCCACACGACCAGAGCCACAAGAGAATAATTTGCAGAAATTAAGGGTTTTTCTTATGCATTATTTGATGGTCAAAACAAACAAACAAAAAATCTGGATTCACAATCAGGCCCATCTCCCCACTTTTCCTCCTCAGTAATTTTTCTCCTTCTAAAAATTACATTATTTTTGAAATGGATAAAAATAAAAATGACTAGTACATGCCATCCAAACTCTAAAAGAACAAGTAAATTCTCTAAATCTCATAGAAGTGTGAGGAAAAGATACTATGTTTAAGATTATTATCATAATTGGAGAATTAAGTAATTTTTTTTTTAAAAAAAGAATTTGCTAAATGAGATTGTCAAAACAAATCCAGAGGGAAATGCTATAATAACAGGTAGGCAGGCTTACTGAGTGTTTATTCCAAGTGTTGTCTTTACCAAGAGGGTAATATTAACCACAACAGTTGAGAGGCCACGTCACTGACCCCATATAAGTACCAGAGGATGAAATTTAAGCTCGAACACACACACATTCTTTCTCCTCCAAAACGCACTTCTTACAAATTTGAAATGCTCACCCCTCTTTCTCCCTGTATGTACATATCCATATGGTATGTGATGTGGTAGCCAGGTTGATGTCAGATATATTCTTCACTTGCTCTTATATAATTGAGAGTACATCTCTCATTGAACCCGGAGCTCATTCAGCTAGGCTGGCTGGCCAATGAGCTCCCATGACCCACCTGTCCCTGCCTCCCAGCATTCCAGGGGTACCACGGAACCCAACATTTATGTGCATGGTGGCATCCTAACTCAGGTCCTAGTGTTGAGCAGCAAACCCTTTACTGACTGAGCATTACCCTAGCTCCCCTACTACCTCTGAACTTACTAAAATGTTAGAAGGTGTGACTTTCAATATCTGAACAAAGAGTCTTCCTTTTATGAATGAAGACAAGGATTTTGGAGAAAAATCACAAAAAGATGAAACGTGGGTTGAGTCAAGGCAGGATAATGGAGGAAGAAAAAAAATCCATTATTCATATCTCCTTAGGAAAACCTCATTTACACTCTGATGAAAACATCTGTTAGCCCGTCTATGGAAAATGTGATGAGCCATTTATGGGAGACTGCTTCTCCTAAGGAAAATGGAAAGTAAGTTGTATATTTTATGAAGTCCTTATGAAAAGATAATGGAAAAAAAGTTCTTTATTAACGGCCCCCAAACATATAGAAAATTAACACCTAACAACAACAACAACAAAAAACCCTGAGATGACATGAGAGAAGCCATTACTCACACCTGACAGCAAACGATGTCAGGGTCTGACCATTGTGGTTACAAACCCACCCCTCAGCCGTCAGTTGACGGCAAAGCGCAGCCTTTAGCACGGCATGCAGCACCATGACCAACGGCCCTCAGACCCTAACTCCAACTCACCACGTGAAAGAAAACACTTCCCTTCTTAATCAGTTTGGCCGAGTCACACATACATGTAACAGCATGCTAACTAAAAACAAACAAGCTTAGAAAAGACATAGATATCAAGAAATTATGACCCCATACCTATGAGAAAACAAAGGGGCAAGTCAAAAGTTCCAGGAAAAATGGTCCAGTACCTGTATATTAATTTCTTCCTCATCACATTCTTTCTTGTACTTCCTTGGGAGTGTCTCCACCTCTCGGATGGCATCTATCGTGACTTGCTGAGGAAGCACCTCGAACAGAGACGTTAAATACATAATTATGGATTTCTTGTCAGGGAGCTGCACGGCAACATCTGGAAGCAGAAGAAAGGATGGCTCAGATGTGCAAAACACGTGAACTGCTCGGCGTCAGGTAAAGAGGAACTGCCCTGGGACCCAGAAACAATGCCTCATTTATAAACCCTGCGACACTGGGTCTCAGCAAATTGGTACTTCCAATCACAAAACATGAGACAGAGGCAAAGACTTATTCAACCTCCAGTTTGTAACAGTCTTCCATAAGCCAGCCAGAGATGATGCAAGTCTGCAATCCCAGCTCTTGAGAGGCTGAGGCAGGGGGTTCATGAGTTTGAAGGCTGCCTGGGCTATATACTAAGAGTATGCCTTCAGGAGGAAATAGAAAAAATAAAAAAACTGTCTCAAAACACTCAAAGGCAAGCTATACAACTTGCCATTTAAAATATGACACAGGCTCCATTCATACTATAGAGTGAACGGAATTCAAGCCTAAAGCTGCAGCTAGAATCTTCAAGCTATACGCAAATGCTCACACATACATGCATTTTAAGAAACTAAACCAACACTGAATTGCTTGTCTAACAAGTAGATTCCTAAAATTGTTTCAATGCTACTTGATACAACTTAACTATTATCCAGTGAAATAATTAACCCACTGCCTAAGGAACCTGCACATTTAAGTGCAAAAGGAAAAATATCTGCAAAAAAATGGTTTGTGGGAGGTGGGAGGTGGGAGGTGGGAACTTATTGGCAGGCCACCTTAATCACTGCCTTAAGAGATAAGGTAGAAAGTGGTAGAGAAAGACACTTGGCTTCCTCTGGGCCACACATGCATACACATGGGTGCACACACCTACACCACTCACAACATACACACACACACTACACACATGAAGGTAAATAAGAAAATAAATACAATAAAATGAAGATTCTTTAATTGTCATAATACATTCTAAATATGGAAACAGCATCACTTCTCAAGATTCAAAATGATAAAGCAGAATCACCTTCAACAGTATATTCTCAACCTTACCTTCAGGATCTAACAGCTTTTCAATCCCCAAGTAAGCATGGGCCTTGCTAAAAGCATGTTCAAGTCTCTCAATTGGGGACATTTTGACCACTCTGTCCCAGCTGAAGAGATCAGGCCTGAAATTACCACACAAACAAAATTCAGTAAAGGCAAAATACAACGGAGATGATGTAGACAATGTCATAATCCATTACATTCTAAATTTTGATTTTTTTAAATTTATGAGTGCTACTGTAAATTGTTATCTTTTATATCTCAAAAGTTTATAAAATACATAAAATCAGAAAGTAATTGACAGACATGATAATAATAAGTAAGACAATCTACGCTTCTTGAAGGAGTTGAGTATATAGTATTTCCCAAATAGTAAAATATGGGTAGAGGAAACCTATCAATACAGAGAAGACAAGAAAAAAAAATGACCCAGCAACAGTAGGAGAAATAAGCTCAAACCTAAATATATGAATTAGCACAGTCAATAATTTTAATAGACTAAATCCGGCGATTAGGACAAAGGTTCTGGGTCTGGAGGTGCATAGTGCTCAGGGGGCTAAGACAAGAGGGTCACAAATTAGAGGCCAGCCTCACCTACACAGCAAGTTTCAGACCCTGACTTGGTGCCTCTACACGCCAAAAGAGACTAGGGTGAAAGACAGAAACCACAGCTGTAATTGTTCTTTAGTTATTCTAACCACAAAGGTGCTGAGGGGATCGGTTCCCTTCCACTCACCCTCCTCCATGACAACTAACGTTGTGTTTACATCTTGTCTTTCTTCTGGTCTCACGACTTGGACAGTATGACTGGCTTGACAAAGCTTAAGTCTCTCATTTTCTTTGCACTCCATCCTTGTACTTTAGACCCATCCTGAGACCGGCCTCCCCCACCCCCTCTCTACCACTTCCTCCCTGCCACTCAGCCACCGCAGCCACTAGCCTCCCACATACCAGAAGGTTCTCCCCACTTACCTAGTGTATTTTTCTTTAGTGTGCCTACCATCTCTATATAATACAACATTTACAGTTTCACAGCCCCACACACACTCTGAGACAGAGTCTTCAACATGTAGCCCAGCCAGGCCTCAAAACAGTTGTGTGGCAGAGAATGTCTCTGAACCCCTAATCCTTCTACTTTCCAAGTTCAGGAGTCAAGTGTGCACCGCCATGCCCACCTACAGTCTACATTTATTTTTTAATTAATGACTGTCTCCAGTTGGAAGGAATGGGATGGCTGTCTGTTTTGTTCCTGCTGTATCCTTGTGTCTAATACAGGAAGCCACATTCCATATACTTGTGGAATCAATGAGCCAATAATTGCAAAAGGTACTAGATAAATTCAACAGTTTCTTAGCAGTACAGGGCAGCGCTGGAGAGATGGCTCAGAGGTGAAGAGCACTGACTGCTCTTCCAGAGGTCCTGAGTTCAATTCCCGGCACCCACATGGTGGTTCACAGCCATCTGTAACGAGATCTGGCGCCCTCTTCTGGCCTGCAAAGTTACATGGTGGCAGATGTTGTATACATAATAAATAAATAAACATTAAAAAAAAAAAGGTACAGGGCAGCATCCTCAAGATGGTAAAAGAAGACTAGGAAAAGATGAGGAGGAAAAGGGCTTTTAACCCCATGGCAAGCTCAAAATACCAAAAAAAAAGCTATAGAAAACATCAATATTCTGGAAAAATATTAAAAGCACTGGCTTTGATATTAAGAGCAAAACATGCCGGGCGGTGGTGGCGCACGCCTTTAATCCCAGCACTCTTTAATCCCAGCACTCGGGAGGCAGAGCCAGGCGGATCTCTGTGAGTTCGAGGCCAGCCTGGGCTACCGAGCGAGTTCCAGGAAAAGGCGCAAAGCTACACAGAGAAACCCTGTCTCGAAAAACCAAAAAAAAAAAAAGAAAAAAAAAGAGCAAAACATTCTTCTCACTGTCACTAATTTGAACCAACACTATATAAAGAACTGGAGCCGAAGAATTGGGGGGTGGAGGCTATCATATTTTTAAAGATATTCTAAACTTAGCCATGAGTACTTCACCATCTGAGCGCCTATCCGCAAAGATTAAAAAAAAAAAAAAAAAAAAACTGAATAAAGTAAGACACAAAGAAACCCAAACCTGTAGTGTACAGAGACAAACTTACTATGATGTAGGAAGTAAGTATAGAAAAGTGTGCATCATTTGTATATAACAGTCAGGAACATTTAGGGAATTCAATGAGAAAATTAATAATTCATAATAGCAATGAAACATAATACAATTTGCCTGTCTGTGGCATTTAATCTTTGACACATGCAGAATTTATTTGGGGGTATTGTGTGGCAAGGCATATATTAATACATAGTTAAACAACTGTCTCATACCCCCAGTTAATTTGCAACATCGGCTCAACTGGTTATCAGGTCAATCTATACAAGAGAGCGCCTCCTCAGCTCTTTTTTTTTGAGACAGGGTTTCTCTCTGTAGCCTTGGCTCTCCTGGAACTCGCTCTATAGATCAGTCTGACCTCGAACTCACAAAGATCTGCCTGCCTCTGCCTCCTAAGTACTGGGATTAAAGGCATGCACCACCACCTCCCCATTCGTCCTAAGCTCCTAACGCTTCCAGGATGAAACATGAGCGATCCTTCTCATACATCCAGCACAATCAAATGTTGCCACTTTCACATGCAACCTATTATTATCCTACTACATTTTATAGCAGCGTATTCATCATCTTGATTTCTTATTAGAAAGTTATTTCAGGCTGCTTATTCTTCTGGGATGTAATTGCTATTTTTGCATTATATTCTTACACACAAGTTAGAATCTTGTTGATGAGATCTCATAACAAAAATTGTGTAGCTCTTCACAAATGTGGGGAACACAATAAACAGAGTTTTCCTTTTGCCATAAGAACAAAAGCTACACACAAGTCTTTGCATACATTACTGGTTAGGGCTAAAGGAGTGGGATTGAACTATGTCAATTATCTTCCATTTTTTAACTTACAAATGTGTAGGAAGAGCCATGGGCTTTGCACTGCAGCCCTGAAGTTCTAAAGGAACAGCCAGTGGTTGGTCTCCTATTGCATAGCTTTGTTTAATGTTTTGCAGAACATGAGCAGTAAGGGCAGCAGAGGAAGGGGTTATGGGAAGAGAAGTGGAGAGGACACAAAGGAGGTAGAAATTTGTAGGCCGAAGGGCATCTCACTTGTGCCGGTGGAGCACAGCATTGAAGGCGAGCCCATCGGTCCAGCTGGTGGTGAAGTTGAGGACGTTGACTTGGCTGTAGGGCCTGGTGGTCTGTCGCACCCAGCTCAGCAGGATCTTCTCACTGTTTGTCTGCTGCAGGTCTGACATGATATCTTTCATGACATCTTTCACCTGTGCAAAAAAAACCAAAAAAACCCACATCTGTTTATAACGTACCATTTCCTTCAGTAAAGTTCTTAGAAAAGAAATATTAGACTAATCAAATATTGTAAACCGTTTAATTAGCATTTATTTCTAATTTCTACTCTAAAGGGTGGAAAGATAAATTTTAAGTGACTTTTAGGGTATAGGATTTTCTATACATTACATCAGTTCCATGTCCTAAACAATATTTGCACTCTTTAATTACACTGAACTTTCCTTTCATGCTATGAAAAAGCCACATTTTAATACCTTTTATTTGCAAGGGCTTTTTTCATAAAAACTATACACTAATTTTATTTTCTACAAAAATGAGAACAGATGCATGTTTGACTGACTACAAAATCAAAGAATTAAGCAATTTTCCTGATAGTAATAACAATCTACTCAAGAACTAATGTTTTGTTATTATCCTAAAGTAATATACATATGCATATATATAAGGGAAGAAGACCTCAAAGAATGATGGAGACATGTCAAAAGGACCACTAACCAATATAAGAAATCAGAAAGAGCCAAATTTAAGACAACTGTCATATCAGGATGAATAATCTTAGCAAAAGATGAAAACTCTATATAGAAGTCCATAATTCATCCATTGGTGAATGGGTGGGTGGGTGGGTGGATGGATGGATGGTAGAAATAGACAGTTGACTGACGGAGGGATGAATGGATGATAGAGATAGACGGACAACTGATAAATAGAAGGATGGGTGGATGGATGGATGCATGGATGCATGGATGCATGGATGCATGGATGGATGGACAGACGATAGACTGATCATTTGGGTCTTGGACTTGCAGACCTCAGAATTTTGAGGCAATCAACGCCTCCTGTTCAAGCCAAGCAGTCTGTGGAGCTCTGATTTGGCTGCTGTAGAAAATGAATAGAGAAACAATACTTTGTCAAGGTCTATTAAAAAGTGATCAGGACTCTCCCCACCTGCCAGTGCAGAATGATGCTCCACAGCAATCCTAATGTCAGCTTGTGATTTCCATCCACAATGTCAGTACCCCCGATATTCACCAACTCCACCTGTCAGAACAAAATGATAAAAATAACTCTTAGGACAATGTCTCCACACAACTCCAGGTTTTTTATTTAGTACATTTGTACAGCATTATAAATGAGGATAGAAATTTCATTTTAAGAATTGGATCAATGCAAAACTCAAAAATGTGTTAGTTATACTGCAGATCATTGAGAGCATCAGAAGTGCCATATGACTTATCCTTTACTCACAGAACAAGTTCAAAACTTCTACCATGAAGAAACATTTCCAAGCATCAGTTAATGCCAATGCTTACAGCAGCCAGCAGGCTTCACAGTAAATAACACCCACAGCAGCACAGAACCCCAAACGTTGCTTACATTGTTCTGATGTAAAACCTGCAGCACCCGGTTGACGTTATTTAAGGCATGCACCCTTGTGGAACCACGTTCCTTTGGCTGGAAAATAAAAACACAAAAGCAAGTAAGAAGCCACATCCCTTCTGTGGGATGTGCTGACAAACTTTAACATAGAGACGTAAGCAGAACAGCAGGTCAGTATCCATGTCACCAGCCTGGGCACCACAGGATGCAAATGCACTCACAACGTTTTGAAATTGTGGCTCACTAACCTATGAGCCTACTGGAATGCCCTAGGGAGCCTCCAAACGAATTTCCTGCCCCATGTGAGATAGTGACTTGAAAGACTTAGTGTGTGGTAGGGATTTGGCATTTTTAACATAACCCTAGTTACTCTAAGAGGCAGGCAGACAAGTCTGAGAATCAATTCTGTCAGAGAAAGCTTCTCCTATCTAAACTTCTCTGGAGGCAGAAAAATATCAGAGAAGTTGTGCCTGCTTTATTGTGACCAAGTAGGAACAACAGAGCAAGGAGACATTGTCCCAAACTCAAGGTCACATGAGAAAAGTCCCCACCTGGGACATGGCAAGCTAGGCAGCTTCCTTCCACCTCCCCAGCCAGGGACTCTCATGGAGACATCAGCTTTTCCCTGAAGGTGCCCAGTTTCTGCCAGGAAGGCAGAAAGAAGATGTGATACTCAGGCTATGGGGGGTGGGGGGGTGGAGGGGGTGGGGGGGTGGATCTCATCTTCAGCAGAACATCTCTCTATGACTTTATAGAAATACTGTTACCAGTATAAAATACTGTCGTCGCGCCGGGCGGTGGTGGCGCACGCCTTTAATCCCAGCACTCGGGAGGCAGAGCCAGGCGGATCTCTGTGAGTTCGAGGCCAGCCTGGGCTACCCAGTGAGTTCCAGGAAAAGGCGCAAAGCTACACAGAGAAACCCTGTCTCGAAAAACCAAAAAAAAAAAAAAAAAAATACTGTCGTCGCTAGGGAAGCCATAAAAGACACGAAAGACACCTTCACAGGTAGAGTTATTTCCATGCCAGGACAGAAAGCCTTACACATATAGTAACAAGTCTGGGTATGATGAAAATAAAGAAACATGGAAATAATGCTGAAACTCTGAACAGAAACAGAAATGTCTTAACAACTATTTCTTAATTGCTTATTAAATGGCATTTAAATGTGGCTATCTCTGCATTATCACCATTCAAAGCATTATCTCCTTTTTATAAATTCATTCCCTTTTTATAAGCCCCAAAAGCAGGCAGTCTCAGGGCAATAAACATTTGAAGTGACTTTATATTTGATGGAAATATAGAGCCCTCAAGAAAACCTACATACTACTCTATCCAAACATCGGTTAAAGCGTTGTACATAAAGTTCACCTTGCCATTTGCCTTCACAACTCAGTACCCACAGTGGGTCTTCAAATATCAGTAACGACCAGAGATGCTCTATCAGCCTCGTTCTCAAAGACGTCCTCTCTTACAGGCTAGAGATGTAGCTCAGGTGGTAGAGTGTCTGCCTTGCTTGCCTGCATGGAGCCCTGGGTTCCAACCTCAGCACTGCCCAAACCTGATGTGGTGGCACACACACCTGCAGTCTCAGTACTTGGGAGAGACAGAGGATCAGAAGTTCAAGGTCATCCTCAGCTACCCAGTTAGTCTGAGACCAGCCTGAGGTACACGGGACCCTGTCTGAGAAAAACAGAGATGTCCTCTCACCAATGACGTTCCTGTGAGGCCTTCTAGAAGATCCAAGAGCTTTCTGCCATCCTTGAGGTCTGAGAACATATCATTGATGGGTGGTTTCCCACTCTGCAATAAAGAAGAAGTAAAAGAGGGGTTACTTCAGAATCAGAAACTCCATAGGCTGGGGCTAGTGAAACGGATCAAGGGGCAAACGCACTTACTGCTGGCTGTGACAGCCTGAGGTCAGTCCCCAGGACACACACAGTGAAAAGAGAGAACTCTCAGAAGCTGTCTACTGAACTCCACAGGTGCGCCTTGGCATGAGTGTGAGTGTTCATGTGTATGTGCATGCTAATAAATACATAAATGTAATAAAAATTAAAAAACAAAAAGAATCTCCACATGTTCTTAACGTTTAAAATACTTTTGGCCATGTTCAATCCCAGTCTTAGCACTTGGGTTATCAAAGCTTACAGAGCTCTATCTACAGAGACAGAAAGGCAACATCAACTCTCCCTGATAAACACATCAGGAAACCCCAGTACATTATGTCACTTCACAGATCTGGCCTTCCTGTGGCAGGATGAGGTGTTTAAAACAAGGCAATTCCTGTTCAAAAAATCAAGAGCCTCCGTTTCAAACCCAGTTTGACCAAGAACTACCTGATGAGCCTAGCTCATCCATCTAACCTCCCTTATACCACCTTTTAAATATTTAAGTATCAAAAAGTATAATGTTGTGTGAGGATGCACTAAAAATCACAATGCATGATGTAATAAATCTGTAATGGCCTTGCATCATGTTGCTTCTTTTTATGAAATATTCAGAACTAAAAGCTCTTCCTGAGAGTCATAGATATTTCATAATCAATAACTGTGTCTTTTACTTCTGACTTAAAAAAAAAAGTACATCTTACATAGGAAGCAAGACTTTAAACTTGAGATGAAGAAGGAAGGAGCCTGAACCTCTGCATTCCTGTTTCCCCCGCCTACAGACTCCTCTCATTTTTAAATAACTTTCATGTGCAATCCATTAAGGACTCTTAGCGGGTATCTTAAAAGCTCATAGACTCTAAGAGGGAAAGCATGACCATGACCCATTAGAGAAACAGTGAACAAGCTGGGCCCTATCTCTGAAACACAGCTGATTCTCCATGCTGCCACTGTGATGGGGACACACAGATTATCTCCACTGATTACAGTAACAAGCAGATTAGCAGGACGCAGAGGCCACCTTCTAGAAGCAGTAAAAGCTGAAGACTTCCTAACTACTATCAACAAAGCAAAGGGCAGACAAGGCCCTGATAACTGCCTGTCCCCAAGGCTCCCCTCCTAACTCCCCTCCCACCTCCCAGAGGACAGTTCAGCCACCAAAGAACTCTTAGGTCTTAATACAGCAAAGAAAGATATCAGGTAAGGTCCATGAAACAGGATGAGTTTCATTAACTAACATCCACTTTCCAAAGTACCAACAACACACTATGAAGAAAGCTTATAAAATGAAGCAAATGCAAGTATTTTCTTCATATCAGACATAATTATGGATGTCTATTAATGGCCTTATACACAAACAGGCTGCGCTATATTATATACTAGCCACAAATTTTAGCCATGTTACCTGGTCTTTATATACTCACTTGTTTGTTAAAAACTCAAATGGTCAATCAATTACTATTATCAGTTATACCACAAGCAAAACTTCATGTTTTCTATTGTTACAAAAAGTACTATTGAGGCCAGAGAGATGGTTCAGCAATTAAGAACACTCGTTGCTCTTGCAGAGGACCCGGGTTCAGTTCCCAGCACCTACATGGTGACTTACAACTACCCACAACTCCAGTGCCAGGGGATCCAACGCCCTCTTGTGGCCTCTTCAAGCAGCAAGTACACACATGGTGTACATGCATGCATACAGGCAGGCAAAATGTGCAGACACATAGAATAAAAATAAATCTTTTCTTAAAGAACCGTAAGATTTCATCAGTATCCAAGGGGACTTATGGAAGATCATCTCAGTCCCAAATTCACAGAAATGATGACCTGTGGGAACCTTTCCTATTCAAAAACAATTCACATAAGGACACAAGAGCACACCTGTGTGGATATAACCCAGAAACCATGAACACTCCATTGCAAACTAAGACTTCTAAAAGGTAGCATTAATAGCACACTTTCTTTTTTCCTCACATTCAGAGAGTTGATCTATCAGGCAACAAGTTTAAGAAAGAAAGGCTCCTTCAGAAGGGCAGATACTGAGAGACTGGGAAATGAGTGGGATTGGGGTGCATGATGTAAAATTCCCAAAGAATCAATAAAAAATTATGTTGTTTTTTTTTTTTTTAAAAAAAAAGCTCCTCTAGAATACTCTGTTGGAAAAAAAGATGAAGACACAGTCCTGTCCCTGTAGAAATCAACCATTTGTGCAAGGTTGGGCAAAGCCCTTTTTCCTTTAAATACTGGCATACAGTAACGACAGCTCCATTTCTTTCTTCTGTTTCCCAATTTTAAATTAACGCTGATGACAAACCATACGGAACATGTCTTGAACATGTGCCCTTTTCCCAGTGTTCACACACACCATAAGCAGTGATGACATGATTGTTATTCACTGGCAGTCAGTTCTATGAAGGAGCGCCAAATATCTGCGGAACGGCGGACAAGGAGGGTGACGGGGCTCCCCCTGAATAGAGTGAAAGGAGGGGCCTGGTCTCTCACAAGGAAGTCATCAAAATCTACAGTTCCAAACTTACACATGACCTCCTTAATTACAATGTGCTTCTGCGTTCTGCTGAGTTCTTCAACCCTGGACCCAATTCCCTCAAGGGTCAGACAAGTATCCCAACAGCATGCCATCAATCTTTAAACACCAGCACTCGTCTCCACCTATTCCTACCATTTAAAAGATGAAGAATATTAAAATACTCTTGTTGGGACTAGTTCGTCAGTGTCCTTCAAGGTCAGGTGTTGCTGGTCACTTGCTCTTCTGTGCACTGTCCACTACACCACTGCCTTATAAGATGATGTGACTGAGCGTCCTTCAACATTTGAAGCACTACAAAGGAAGCTGCTTCTTTTTTTGTAGCTTTGTGTTTTCATTTACATTTTTGTTTTGTTTTGAGGAAGGTCTCACTATGTAGCCTTGGCTAGCCTCAAACTCGCTCTGTAGATTCGGCAGCTTCTTAGTCAGTGTCTTTGGGAGTTTTAAAGCCATTTGACTCCTTGGAAAAGGATCTGTCATGAGAGTTAAAATCTCTGCACCTGTATGTATGTATGTGTATATATATATATATACACATGAACTGAAATATATATATATATATTACATGAACTGAAAATATTTGCAGAGTTAAAATCTCTGCACCTGTATATGTGTGTGTGTGTGTGTGTGTGTGTGTGTGTGTGTGTGTGTGTGTGTGTGTATCAATAATACATGAACTGAAAATGCATTGGAAAAAAATTATCCATGAAACACACACCCATGGCATACATCTACAATCCCAGCATTCAAGACACTGAGTCAGACGAATTGCAAGTTTAAGGTCTACATAGAAAGTTCAAAAATAGTCTGAGCAAGAGCTTGGCAAATAGGAGATTTGCCTAGCAGGTACAATGCTCAGAATCAATCCCCAGCACTGCAAGAAAAGAAAAGTCACACCCAGACAGACAGACAGACAGACACACAAGCACACTCACCATGCACATGGACTGTCACTACAAAGCACTATCCCTGACAAATGCAAATACAAATGTCCGATACAAATATGGAAAGGACCAGCTGTGTCCAAGAGCACACGACCCCTTCCAACCTAGAAAGCAAAAGTAGCTCGTGTGTAAGCAGGGTCCATGTTCTACACACAAGATTAGAACATTCCTTGTATTAAGGACAAGTGAGTACAGACTGTAGCCATTGCTGGCTGTGTGCTCTCTGTTGAAACTACTCAGTCCTGTTGCAATGTGAAAATAAGCACTCATAATGCAAGAATGAGTGAGCCAACTGGAATAGCAACTTTGTTCTAATTTCATGGATACGGAAATCCAAACTCCATACAATTTCCATAAATTATAAAATAATGTTCTCCTCCTTTGTAACGACCTAAAAATATAACAATGATTTTAATGCAAAAACTATCCAAAAACAGGCAATATAATAGTGAAATGTTCTAAGACAATACTAGCCAGCACTTACTGTGTGCACAGGTAAGTTCTGAGAATTATACAGATTTACATTCATTATTTATATGTATTCTTTCTTCATAATAGTGTTCTAAAGGGAACAGCTTCAGCATTCCCATTTTATAAGTGAAGAGAGGGAGATATATAGTTAGCATAACAAGTGACTGACAGACCAGGATCCAATCCCACAAAACCTGGCTCCAAATCCATGTTCACAGCATCTGAGCTAACTAATATTACAAGGGCATAGAACTGTGACAAAAAGGGAAGCGAGTATTTAGTTGCTGGGATGAGATACAGGTAGATGTAAATATAGAAAGAGATGTAGATAGATAATAACTTCTCAGAGCAACAAGAAAAATCACCACCCTGTACTAAATTAAGACATGCATTTCCCAGCACCACACTGTAAAACATTTCTGGTGTTTTTGTGTTGTGGGCTGTAAACACTGGGCTCTGGGAAAAAGTCTAGAAAAGTCAAAAGTCATCTTTTAATAAAAATAAAAACTGATTCATCTTGACCATTAACCTCACATTTAACTGTGCAGAGACTGACTTGAAGCAACTTCTCTGGCAGTGAAAATACAGTTTAATAATTCAATCAGGCAAATATCGGGTGAATACCTCCTTTGTGCCTTAGCCCTGGCAAAATGCCAAGTTCACATCACCCTCCCCATTCAGAAGAGGCCGTTTTAATTGCCTCCCAATAAAGAGAAAATGGTACAGATGAACAATCTTGAACTTGGAGAAAAAATAAAACATGTGTCCCATTTTACTTTTTAAAATTAATTTTATTTTATTTTACACATATGGGTATGTCTGCCTTGATGCAGTCTATGAACCACATATGTGCAGTACCCAAGGAGGCCAAAAGAGGGCATCAGATCTCCCAGAATTGGTTGTGAGCTGCCTTGAGAGTGCTGGGAACCAAGCTTGAGTCCTCTGGAAGAGGAC